CGTTGTAGTACTACTGGCTGTTGTTGTTGTTACTGTTGTGGTACTACCCGTTGTTGTTGTTGTAGCTATTGTTGTAATACCAGTTGTTGTTGTTGTCGTAGTGGTTGTAATGGACTGAAGTGTTGCTGTGACTGTCATAATGCTCCGATATGTTGTTGTAATTGTTGTAGTATTGCGCGCTGGTATCTGATATAAATATAACAGTACATCAGGGGTCCACTCGATTGTGTAGTTTGGTGAATTGTTAGTGTAGAAGACACATGAAGAAGAACTTTGATAACAATTCATTGCAACAAATGTCAGATTTTGAACGATCGCAGTACACAGACACTGTTGGCAGCTACTGCCAGATATATTCACAGAAGCAATCGAATTCGTAGGCATTGGAATATACGATGCGTTGCCTATGTATCCGAACAATACCGAGTCAACATTTGACGATAAAATAAGAAAAATTGCTATTGTAATCATCCAAGCGCGGGATGTCATATAATGCATGTGTTTTCAATTATCGTTTTTCCTAAAATGATATTTTCTATTGAAAGGATTTTGTTATTTAAATCAATCAATGGATATTTACAGCGTTATGATAAGCATTTCTCTCTTCGTCGAGTCAGTTGTTTTCAATTCTAACACTATATAAGCATTATTGTAGCCAATAAAAGATATTCAATGAGAAATTTAAACACAAGACTTACCTAAAAGGTGATTTGAATAGCTGTAAATTTTTTTTGACTTTATGATGATAATTAAAACAAAAGATCTACCGTAAACGTTGAGCAATAGATAGGATGGTTTCGTATATTTACTTTAGTAAATGAGTTCAAACAATATCTAGAATTTGATAGTGTTTAACGCAGTAATCATTTGAAATTTGATAGCAGACTACCAACTATTATAAACATCTACAAACAATACATAATTTGAAGTAAATAGTCTTTAAGACGTTTCAATTCAACATTTCATTTCTACAAAAAGTATTTCTAGTGTTAAATAATCAACGAGACTATCTTTTTCAGATAATCAAGATTCCTCTAAGGTGGAAATATTGTAGAAACTTATAGAGATCTTATACGGTTTTAGGGCGTTCTCGGTCTAGCGAGAGTGTTGGTGTGTGAGCATATGAGTTGTGAGTATTTTTTATTATCACTCAGCTACACCCATCTTAAAAGTAATTGAAAATCGGTTTCTAAGCGATGAACATGATCAGTAATTGAAAAGTCTTTTGGAAAAGTTTCTTGTTTTTTATAGAATGCAAAAGCGGTTTTATATCGATTGACATACATACTTTGAAAACTGTCTGAATTTTATAGGATATTATTGAAATCATGTGATCCTGGCAGATTATTCGGATCGCAGCCGAGAAAAAGAGTGAGTAATCCATGTCGAAATCGGTACAGAAATTTCAAATCTAAAATTCGTTCGATATGATATAAGATCCAACCGTTTTCCTTCGTGTTTCTGATCGTACTGCTTGTTCTGGATATTATCCATTACAAGATCAAAAAAGTAAATATATATGGAGCAGTCATCCTATTCCGCAATGTTGAACATTTCGGGAACCAGTTCCGCTCTGGAATCGATTCCATACAATTCCGGAAACTCGATCGACACATATAATCTGACACCTACTCGAAAATTGATGGAGTTCCGTGGATCTCCGGAATCGGAACCAATTCCTGCAATTCTGGGATCGGTGGGAATCGGTCGAACTCGATCAATCTTGAATGGATCTCTTATGTTGTGTGCTGATCGAGTTCCCAGAATTAGACAGAATTGATTCCGGGGTGAAACTGATTCCTCCAATGTTTAACATTGTGGAATAGGATGTATTCTCTTTAGAGAAAATGTTTTTGTTATGAGCAAGGAAATACTTAACACTTCTTCGCGCTTCCCGAAACATAATTGTATACAACTCTGTCTGTTTCTAATTTATATTAATCAGTCATGAAATAGTATGCTTTACTCAATATATATATTAATGCAACGAGCAAACTTCTTTTTTTTCTTTTCTTTTTGATCGTCTTTGTTTAGTCTTTTTAACAATATAGCAAAAAATTTGATGACGTATGGCTGCTATATAAACAAATACGGAAAGCATTTATCAGCAACAGCTCTGTAACTAAATATCTTTCCCTTCAAAATTCTACACAATAATTCTTCCGTTATCTCTTCATTTTAAAGTATGAGAAAAGACATCCATACGTCACTGAAAACAATTAGTTTCTGTATGAATATAGTTCATACATTTCTAAAAACCATAACTGAATATATCAAGTCAATTTTCTTCTTTAGGTAGTAAGAAAAAAGCGATATCCACACTACTCAACGATCTTGCCTCTCGTCTTCCTAGGTTCTTGATTTTCTTAATAATCAGACAATATTGTTACCTAAAAAATCAGGTTCGAACATCCTTGTAGTATTCTTGTACACAGAAGCTTGTTTGATGAACTAAGAAATGTCTCATCAGGCAAGATTCTTTTCTGATTTGTTTTTTTTTTTGAACCTAACATGTTTATTTAAAAATCAATAAATAATAAAATTGATCTATTTACATAAAATTAATGAAAAAAAAATATTAAAACCATTTTATTTACATAAAAGTTGCGAAAAGAAAATAATCAAAATATTTTATTTATATTAAAAAAAACTCCTACGTATTACTAAAGTTCGTCTATAAATCAGTAGATCGTTGAAATACTTTTCGACTCTTATTGTAATTTGGAAGACGATATTTACGATTAGTATTGTTAATAAATGAAAATGTTGTATATGAAGTAGATATATTAGATTGGTATCTATGATCAAAATAAATATCTGAATCATAAACTACAAATTCTTTTTTAGTTTTTAAAGGTGGAAAATTATTATCTGTCAAAAATTGAATCATATAATCATTTCTTCCAAATGCATATATTCTTCCAACATTGAATAATGTCATTGTAACAAAATAATACATTTCATTGTTTGATGTTTCTCTAAATGTATTATGTACTAAATAAAGAAGTTGAATTCTACATAATTTTTTCAATATTATTAATTCTTTTGTTGATTTAATTAATATTTTATAATGAAATTCAAAATAACTTGATTTTTTCTTCCAAAATAATAATTTATCTCTGGTATACCATTATTTCTTGCTAATGATTTTATTTTTAATCTAAGAATATGAAAATCTTTCAATTTTGTATTCATTAATATTTGAATTTGTTCAATTATATTAGGATATATTCCAATATAATAGAATGATATTATTAATTGTTTTGATTGATTTTGATTATTTAAATGAAGAAAAATATTTCCATATTAATATTATTATTATTAATAGTAATATGAACTTCAAATATATCATGAATGATATCTGTTGGTACAAGTTCATTTATTATTGTTTTGTTTTCATATAATCAATAACAAAATCCATATTTTTCTTATTATTTATATAGATATCTTTTATTTGAAATCTTTTATTTGAAATAGTATATATGATATTCGTTTAAAATTATCTATTGATTTTGTTCGAATTAATTGTTCACCAATATCTAAATATCTTAGACAATGAAATAAATATTTAAGTAATCGATCTTCATCTATAGTTGTTGTTTGAATAGCATTACATAAAAATTGATCAATTGTTGGATTAATATTTGAATGTGAATTAATTTCATCATCATCATCATCATCATCGTCCATAACATATTTAAAACTATGATTATTTTCATAAAATATAACTTGTTTTAATCTTAATGGATTATAGTATTTTGTTAAATAAATTGTTTTATAATCAATATTATTTCTAATTATAAATTCATTTGGATAGAATAAACATTCAACTGCTAACATATAATTTTTTTCTAATAATAATTCAAAATTTTCACATGAATGTATTGTTACATCACAATTATTGAGACGACGTAAATCAAATGAATGAAAATAATCAAAATCATCTTCAAATTTTAAAGATTTTCGTTCATTTTCATTTTTAATATTCATAATAAAAAGAAAATCACGATCCGATTTTTCATGATTTGTACCGTAAACCCATGAACCATAGTTATAAATATTTGTTATTTCATCATTATCTAATTTAAGATCATTTATAATAGATGATATGATTATTTCCATAAATAGTCGTAATGTACTTCTTGTATAAATATATGCAATGGTCGCGTTCGATTTTCATTTCATCAGTCATAATTGCACAACGAATGCAAATGCACCTGTAACATTAAAATAATATTATAGTCACATGGTGAAATATAGAAAAAGAAAGCAAAAATATTCCTTCTATTTTCATTGGTCACTTATAAATGCATTTAAAAGGGTAGATGTAAGCAAGACATCTACAGTACTCTCAATCCCCTCCATAGGTGGTGCAAGGCCACTTTTTTAGAGAAAGATGGGTGTGGGTTTGGGTGTGCTGTGGGTATAAGTAAAGAAACGATACACTCACACCTACTCTCGAATCCATTACAGTATCTATTCAACGAAAAATAGTGCAATGAGCAACTTTTTCAGTGAAAGATTATCATTACTCTTTTTTTTCATTTATTCTCTATTGTGCCAATTTAGGTTCACATTTTAAAATAAAAATAAAAATATATACGGCATTTAGTGACATCTTTAAGTATATTTTGTAAAAGGTGAGAAGAAGAAACGAAGAAATAGAAGAGATGACCAATGAATGGAATCATGCGCTTTATTTTATTCGTTTCTCTTCGAATGTCAGCTGCATTTCCCAACTATTTAATAGGTATGATTCATACTTTTTCTGAAGGACGATTTAAAAATCATCATTACTCTCATTTTCATAATTACCACATTGGGTGCTTCTTCAGATGAACGACACTTCCGTCTGATTGGTGATATTAATGAAAGAGGAAAGGAACGAAAGGGGCGTACATTTCTAGAAGATCAATAAACTTGTATCAATTGTAGAAGATTCAATTGATTATACTTTGATAAGTTTTGTTATTGTATAATTGATAATATCCTATAAATATCGCATCACTATTCTGCTTCATGTCATTTACAAATGATTTATTCTCCATTACTAGCTTTTGACGATTTATCTATCCGCGAATGGAATAAATTAACTGATGAAACTCCAAAAACTATTGATTTATGTCAACATATTGGATTATTACATGTTTAACAAAACTTATCAAAGTATAATCAATTAAATCTTCTACAATTGATACAAGTTTATTGATCTTCTAGAAATGTACGCCCCCTTTCGTTCCTTTCCTCTTTCATTAATATCACCAATAAGACGAGAGTGTCGTTCATCTGAAGAAATACCCCACATTGCAACATTCGATTGCAATTTCTCTTACACAATTGCGTCATTAATCGTGTAAATAATGTGTCATGAAAGAAAACTATATTTTTTCGATGATATAATGCAGAAATTTGAATCTGTATGCAATAGTTTGAATAGTGACAACGTCTGAATCACATGCATTCAACATTAACAACAGATCTTTCCAACCTCTATGCGAACTTGAATGGAACTACGACTACGAATACAGAATATATTGTTCTACTCAAAGCTGGTTCTCTCAGTCCTATTCATCGTGCTCATATTTCTAATATGATCAGAACAAAAGAATATTTAGAGCAACAGCATAATTTTCGTGTAATTGGTGGTTATCTTTCGCCTAGTCACGATGATTACGTAGAAGCAAAATTAGGCGAGGAATTTATTAATGGACATCATCGAGTTCGAATGTGTGAAGAAGCGATAAAAGAAGCCAATCAACAACACTGGCTCAGTGTTGACAAAGCAGAGATGATGGGTGAGAAAAGTTCTTGACAATTTCGATTGCCTCACATGAATTAAATGTTTATTTAGATCTGCCATTCGTTTCCTTATTGAAGGTGACACTCAGTCTACAAATGTTCATCAATGAAATGCTCAAGTTAGAAAGACCGATTCATGTCATTTTTGTTGCTGGTCTTGATCTCTTCAATAAATGTTATGGTTTGAAAGGAATGCTACAGACACCTTACAATGGTATTGCAGTTGTTTATCGATCCGGTGAAGAGGAACATTTGATAAAGTCGATGTGCTCGACTACGTCAGAGAAATTATATTATGTTCGAGACGATACTTTTGAGAATCAAATCGAAGCATTAAACGAGATTAGTTCAACACAAATCCGACAAATGATAAAAAATAGACAATCATGTGAACATTTAACATTTTTATCAGTCTTGAAGTATTTCAAAGAGATTTCATCGTAAGTCTTGGAAAGAAAAAATATTTGTTTTTGCTGTTTTCTCACTAATGTCATACTTCAGACGAAGAAAGAAAGAAAACAGCTATAGATAAGTAACTATGTTGAAATAAATTTGCTGTTGTTTATATTGGCAGGTCAAATACTGTCATTATAATGACAAGTGACACATCAAAAACTATTTTTCTTGCTGGTTGTGGTGGTGGTTATGATATATTTGGCGCTCTACCATATTATTTCAAAATCAAATCGAATGTCACACTAATTAATTATACTTTCACTAAGCATACTGTTTTGTCTCAATATAGTGAACAACTAACCGCTTTACTCTTTCGTATTGATCCAAAGACGCATGTTCCGTGGCTGACCAATGATCTTTATTTTCCTGAACAACGACTTGCTAATGAACTGCAGGTGCCGATTTATGCTATCTTATGTGATTATGATCAAACAGATCGTCAATCCATTGTCGATGCTTACAGATATTTAATCAATGGACGAACTATTGATGAACTGATTTTAATCGATGGTGGTTCAGATGTTTTATTAACAGGCAATGAACTCCTACTGGGTAAGTACATGAATATAATGCAAGCAAAATATTTCTTCAACAAAATGTTTATTTATGTTAGGTACTCCCGTTGAAGACATGTCTCATGCACGTGCTGTAGATCTTTTATCTACCAACGAAGTGAAATCGAAATAGATTATCGTGGTTGGTACAAATCTTGAAGTTGGTCACGGTGTTCTGAAATCTGATATCGATGCTCGATTAACTGCTCTTTCTTCTAATGCAATTTTCACCTGGTTATGGCAGTATGAGCATGATGATGATATTCGTCGTTACGTGGAAATTTTTCATCGTTGTGCTCCGCGTCAATCGATCGTTCATAGTCTCATTTGTGCTGCATTACAAGGTCATAGAGAATACTATGTACCTGAACATTTACGTGATCGTATTACAAAATCCCTTGTTGAACTGAGTGAAGAAACATGCCGTTCAGTTGGATATCATTTCGATGATGTTATGCAACACAATATTTACTTCAAACGATTGACATCGGACATGAACTTACATCAAGTGTATGATGCTATATGTGATAGCATAGACGAAGGTTCATCCAACTTGGAAAAAGCATCTTCACAGAAAATGAGTTTATCACCTCAGAATTCGCCATTACCGTACTTTGTACAGGATGTTTTCTTTACTAGAAAGTGAGAATGTCGCTTCTATGCTCACACAAGTACCCTTACTCTCACATCCCTTATTTTATTTGCTCATTATTTCTATAATCTGTATCTATTAATGATTTTTTACTTAATCAAGAGTTGGAAAAGGGTGAGTGCGGATGCATATAAAACGCTTGAATCATTTAATTGACCAGTAGGAAATAATTTATCTTATTTGAAATAAAAATCATTATAACTTTCAACAAATCGATATTTTGAAATACATTTTAATGAACGTGAACAATTAAATAGAGATGAGTGCGAATATATTTGATCTGTATGAATTGTTCAACAGCGCTGACCAAGATCGATCAAAATCTCATCTAAAAGAATTCCACCTAATAATGTTCTATTTTGTAGGTTATTCATTTGGGTGTGGATGTGGGTACGGTTTATTTATATTCGTATTCACACCATCAGCTACAAACAGAACCAGATCCACCCCATCATTTGACATAGCTAGGTCGGAGAAGAAGATGACGTATTGTTACTGATATAATGCTAATAATACTATCAGGTGATATACAGAATCAATCATTACGAATCTATCTTATAATGAAGTATTGCACAGAGTCAGTCATGGGCTAGGCAAATTGATTTCAAATGTACGTTATTTTTTATGCAAAAGAAACATCAACACGGATAAGAACAGAGCTTCCTCATTGTATTAAACGTGCTTTTTCATAAACAGAAGTATCCTATTTGTCTATTATATCTTGCTCTTTTCAATCTGTGTTATATTACCACAATTATCTCCTATGTGATCGATTATTGTATATGTCTTTCTTTCAGAAATGAGTTGATATAGTCTAATAAGCACGTATAGCAAATACTTTTCTATTAAAAAAGTGATTAAAACGTTACCATTACTTACATCTATCCAACGATATACAACAAATAGAAAATGATAAATTATTTTATTGTTTTATTATTTTTACGAAGATAAGAGTACTGTTATCCAGTTATAAATACGTTACTCTTGAAAATGTTCTCGTATATAACTACGCAATCTGGGTATAGGTTAGGATGTCCTGTGGGTATACGTAAAGAAAAGATACGCCCACGCACATACACATACCCGACGAGCGTTATTTCTTCATGTTTAACAATATTTTCCCCAAGTATGTACTATCGAATTCCTTCTTATAACTAGTCGATGGTAATACATGGAGAACAAAGCCAAGTACTTGTGGTGCGTACGACAATAAATACGCTCCAAGTAATGTGTGCTGTTGCCAGTTAGTCAGTTGAGTACATGCCATACTAAATGTGAGAATGATTTGTGGTAAACCGGAGAGAACAATAATTATCGGAGTAATATAGAGTTCTTTCTGATTTTGAAACTGTTTTTTCAATATTTGATCGAGGGTTGACTTCTTACCAGTCGTCTTCACTCGACTATATGCAGCAAGGACAATCATGAACGTAATAGACAGTATTTGGATAATAAACGGAAGTATATAGTGAATAAGAGTAGAAATACGATTGTATATAGAGACTGTGAAAGTATCCAAGTTTATTACACAAATGAAGGAACCGGTAGGAAGATGTTCAATGCTCGTATAGTAGGCGATTTCGTGCACATGCATGCCTAATAGGATCATGAATGTGCCTATACTTATCCAGATCGCTCGACGAGCGTTTTTAAGAGAAAGTGAAGTTGGATAAAGAATTATGAGAAAGCGATCAACGGTTATCCAGCTTGTTAGCCAGTAAGTCGATCGTGTAAAGACAGAAAAGAGAAATGTGATTACTTTGCACGTTCCTATATACGAAAGGCCGAAGGAGATTTGGGCGAATTTGAGGAGGAGACAAAGCAAAGCGACTTGATTGAGACAGGTGACAATCAACAAATAGTTGCCAACGGTAAATTTTCGAGGCTTTGGTCGTTTGAACGTTACGAAAGAGCAGAGATTATTGTAGAGTCCAATGCTGAAAATTACGAAAGCAAGAACGACAGAAATGATCTTCACTTCTTTCGTATAGCCGACAAGAAGTGAGTCGAGAGTGAAGCCGAATGGTTGAAGGTTAAATTCACAACGATGACCTTGATGACATGAAGGACAAAGACAAATAAAGTCATTCAGATCTATTTGATCACCTTGGAGACATCTTCCTCCCGATAAACAATTGTCACAATGATCAAGTTGAGGATTGTGATTAAAACATTCGGCTCGAGAATTATTTGATTCACATATACAAAGATAGTTTTCATCATGAAAACAGAAACGATCTGTATCGTTCTGACATAAATGATGATACCTGAAGATCATTGGTACAGATCTATCTGACACTACAAGCAAAAATCTCTATCAATGGCAAACGTCCGTTGATCGAAAAACTCACATTCGGATAATAACAACAATGCTTGTGGACAATACTTGGGCGATGATGTGATATTGATTACTCGTTGATGTAAAACATACATGATTAGATATTTGGGATTTGCAAAGTCTTCGTACATTTTGAGAACTCCAATATAAGGTGCATAACGATTACTATGTTCGTAATAAACAGTCGACGGTAGACCATGGTGGACTTTTGCATGTTGAATGACAAGTGTAAGTCTCTCAACACGGTAAAGTTGCACAACAGTTCCACGAACAAAAGATGTATTGTTCATGTTCAAAGTGACGCGAACAGCCGGCTTCTCCTGTTCACATCGATTCCCATAGAATTGTTGTGAACAAGCGCACATATACGATGCAGTTGCACTTCGATCCATGGTAAGAGAACAGGTTCCATTGTTCAAACATGGATTCGAATCGCAGCCGTCGAATTTCAAATAGCAACGTGGTCCAAAGTGGTCCAATGAGCAGACGCAATAAAGATTGACTTTCCTACCTTGTGAATTGGCATCAGCGCGTCGACAGAGTGAGTTGACTGAGCAATAACTATCACAAGTAGATTCGTACAAGCTGCATTCTTCTCCATAATAGCCACTTCGGCATGAACAATAGTAAGAATTATTTTGATTGAGAACTGGGATACACGTCGCATTCTCCATGCAGTTATTCGACGCGCAAGGATTCAATGTGGCATTTTCTAACCAAGACGGGTACTTTAGGACAACGGCTAGACGAAAAGCTGGTAAATAGTCAAAGTAAACGGGATAATACCACGAGCCAACTTCCTTAATAGTGCTGTTCTTCCCTAACGAGAAGAGATCGAAACGAACAGAATATGGATGATTATGGATAATATCAGTTCGATTGAAGTAGCGCCATCGCTTATGTGCGAGCATGTAGTCGGACCGTGAGTAGAGAAGATAAAATTTATGTTTCATCTGTATGAGATTTTCGATTGTGGGAATAATGTGAAACTCATGAGAATCTACTGTCACTCTATTGAATTGAAGTGTGCATATAACCTTGAGTGTGGTGTTAACTAGCATTGTAGGCAATGTTTTCTGATCAAACTTTACAATGATGCTAATTCGATCACTAAAGAATTCGCACCAACGTCCATAATAAGCCGGTGGACACAGACATATAGTCTCATTCATTTGAAGAATCGATACACCTCGATTACATTGGTACGAGTGCATAATTCGAAACGGGTTTTCTGTGTGATTGATGGGAGTGACTCCAGCTTGTTCATTGTCGGATAACGTTATAGGCGCAAGTGGAAATTTTGAATCGAAGACAACTTGTTCAATATCACGAATCGAACTCATTCTTTTTCGTGACCGATAAAACACTTGATCATGTATCGTACCAGAAGCACACCAGTATTCATCCTCACCGTGTATACAGTCTCGCTCTCCGTTGCATCTTGCATTTCGCTCGCATTGATCACTTTCGAGACACCGTACATCTTTAATACCTGAGCATCTTCCAAGATCGTTTCGATGATTCGGACAGAGAATCTCCGTACAATTATTTTCTTTCACTGAATCACAACCATCTGTATACGGGAAAGTATTATTTTTGCAGGTAAAATGGAAGCCCAGCATGGTCATTTGCTCTGAATTCACTGCAAACGTGTTCTTCTCATCGTATGCGTTATAACAATTTTCCACGCCATCGCCGATTTGAGTGAGATTGATGCATGGACGATACAAGCGAATATCTAATGGATTTGCTACTTTTGCTTGATAACAGCCGAATTCAAATGAAGTATTACAAATTTCAGAAAATGTTGACTGGAAATAACGTGTTCGGCATTTCTCAACTCGTTCATTTAAATCTTCAAATCGACTATTGTGAATCGACCATTTTTGAATGAGTACGATAGCTTCTTCGTCTGACGCATCAGCACAATCCCATTCTCCGTCGCAAACCCAGGCAAAGTTGATACACTGTCCTGTTTGACATTGATACTGATGACTTTGACATGTCCAGTGCTGGCACGATGAATTCAATTCGTCTAAGTGCCCTTCTAAGTCCCAAAAACTATCGCAATACGATCGAAAGGATATCCGATCACTAGATGTGTTCTGCTTTGAAATGTCAAGCAACGTGTTGTTGCTTGAATTCTTGGATGAAGACTGTTGAATGTACTCTTTCCAACGGTCACAATCTCTAGTATCACCTCTATAACACATCCTCGTTCGTAGAAAAGAATGATCAAGTCCATACCAACTTTCATCATATTCATTGGAACACTGAGCGAATCCCGTACCTATGAAGAATAACGAAAGACATTGGTGCTCATCATTGAAGCATTGAAAACGATATCGCCCGACGTTGCCTGTGCAATAGTTGCTTTCTGTGTCTATCTCTTCATCTTCGTAGACGAGACAATCATCAGATCCATCACGAATACGATATTGTGAGATACATTGTCGTTCATAAGGACACGCGTCCGGGTTGACTGCATACGGTTGACCATTGAATGTTAGAGATTCATTCCAACAGAACTTGTCATATTGAAAAGATGACGAAGAATCGATGAGACCTTCTGAGGAAAGCCTCCAGTTACAAAGTTCATGGTTGATACGAGGATTTAACAATACATCTGGAATGAAGTCTACGCCAACAGGAGTGTTAGTTATTAGTTGATATCCGGGACATTTTATGTTTCCATAAAAGAATACAAGAGGCTCGACATTTAGACTTTCTCCAGATCGATTGAAGTCGTGGAAGAACAATAGATTCCCGTCAATTAATCCTTTCGGTGGATAGAGGACGTGATGACTGTATTGACTGTTTTTGGGGCAAACCTTCATCATCAGTGCTGTACAATTATGGCTGTTACATGGACAGTCACGCTCGAAACCATCCGACAAAGTACATCGAAATAGGTATTGACACTTTTCGTTTTCAGTTAGTCGCGAAGAATCAATCATATTCCATGGTAAGTATCGAGGATCATCGTAGCCTTCATCTACTGAACATAGGCCACTTTCCAATGTCCATGCAGATCGATACGGATTTGCTTCGCACATATAATTAAGATTTCGCCCGCTAAGACAATTATCCGATGTTTCGGCAAATCTTTGAAATGCCATTCGACTCGTCCATAAGACACATTGTCCATCGCCACATGAATACATAGTGTAAGGACACAGATGCTCATCACATTTAAATGAGTCTGCGTCGAAAGGACATGTTTCTCCCTGTTCACGGAAAACTTCGTCACTCCAATCCATACAATCGTGATCACCTGAGAAGACGATCAATTTCAAGAAAAAGTCATGTTCTAGCAAGGGACGAACGTCAGACTTCGTGGCTCCACTTGACTCTATGTGACTTCAGTCTTATATGAAGTTCTCAGTATTATTCAAGTATGATATTTTCTATTGCTTTAATTGACAATTGAAAACAGAAAAAAGCTGTCCGCACAATTCTTACAGGACTAAAGAGTGGAACTCAACCAACCTTCTCATTTCTTGAGGGTGCGGGTGTGGGGGAGTATTCTATTTTTTATTTTCCACCCAAACCGCGTGGTTACGTCTTTAAGCGAGCGTGTGTTTGTGAGTGAAGAGATAATATCCGAGTCTAGACCTACCACAACCACATTTACTTCCACACCGACTCATTCTTAGCCTTCGTTTGAACTAAGCGCAAGTCAAACAGCACTTTTTCATTGATGCCATTATTCGAAGGCTCAGAGCGCGACCTAACTGAAATTAGAGACCGTTTCTGAATCGACTATCAGCTTTCTTCTGCTCAAACAAGTCTGCGCTATAAGCTGTAGCTTTAATGGAAGCACTTTCGACACAATATGTGCGAATGATCTTCGTTTTTATGTCAACTTTGACCCATAGTCTAGTGTCGAGTTTCATATACGATTTTTACAGTGAGTTCGAAACGCCATATATAGTGTTTTGTAGAGAAGACATTGGGCTAAAAAATCCACTATATCTCATGTTGCTGGAATCTAGCCATCCCGAGTTATGGCGGTCGACTTTCTACGCATAAACAGCCAACTGTGACAATTCAAGTATGCTGCGAAATTTTCTCAAGCAGCCCAGTTTGTAGAGTTTTTCGTAGCTCATTTTGAGAAAAAAAGCATTCGATTTTCATGAGTGAATAATAATGGTAGGGTCAGAATACTGAAGAAACTCGACTAGCGAAAGCTATTTTACGTCTTTCGGTATTTCGACTCTATCCCAGTCATTTGATAATGAAATTAAGAACTTCTTTTTACCAAAATGATCAGCAAAAACGTCTTTACAAACCTGAGTACCTTAGAATATTTTCTGAGATCTTTGTGTTTTTGTAGTTGAAAACCAATGATAGTACTCCTTTGTAAAAAATCTGGTTTTCTCACGAATCGTCTCTTTAGTTATTAACTCTCTAGACCATACCATAATTTCAAATAGTATTCGATAAAATATAGGGAAGTCAGAGTGCTTCAATTTTTGGGTTTACGCTGATTGAGGTTTCCTTTTTTTTCATAAAAAAAAGAAGAAACCACATTTCTGCATTAGGTTTCTTGAGATAGGCCAGAATTTTATACAATTTCATTTCACTCCTGGAAGGTGGAGTCTGCCGTTTCTCCCTCGACTTTTAGACAAAAGTCACCTACCGTCTAGCCAAAATTCCTCTGCAATACACATCCCATTCGTACATCGAAATTCATTATCCTCACATTCATTGAATTCTAATTTGTCCCAATTTTCCTCATCGATACCACTGGAACATCTCTGAACACCATCACAAATCTCCCGCCAATCAAGACAGAGATCACCTGTATTACACGGCAATGTCTCATAGCACAGAATCTTTCCATACCGCTGTGTATTCCATAGATGATCTTCATCAGCTTCTTTTATTTCAAACTGAGTTTTGATGGCGTCACTAAACGATTTGGCCTCGTTCGTCCATTGATATTCGCAATATTTGCCGAATGTTCCTAACATTGTACAATTGCATATAAATGGATCGTTGTGATTTTCAATTAACGATCGATTAAAAAAGAAAGCAGCATATAGATCATTTATCTCTACACTTGAACTCCAATCGAGAACGTTGCTTGGTTTAATACCTTCTTCGAGTAGATTAAGAAATGATAGTTTTACTCCTTCATTTTCGCATTGGCTTCTATTCCGATCGAGCTGTTGAGTCTCATTAAGACGTCGACAATAAGGAATCTCCTCTCCATGATCGTACATGAAATATACACAATCGAATTTTTCAATCGTTTGGTTATTGTCAGTATTGTAAAGTAGAATATCACCATATGTACCAGTAAAAATCAAAATGAAAAACGCTCGTATAATCGTCAACATCTCTCGTCAGTTCTTCCATATTAACCAAACTTAACTGACAGTAGAGTTCTCATCGGCATCATTATATGTCTATTTAAAAAGAGGAAACAAAGAAAAGTCTTATATTTACTAACAGTGCGAATCTCGATATCATGTTCAAATATTTTTCCTGGTTGCGTGTTACCTATATATATACATATAACGCAGAATATTTGTCTGTCTATTCTTTATGTATTCAGTCACTCTAACAGCTAGCGTGTTGTGTGACTATGTCTATGAATGTAGTAGAAATGGGTACTCATAGCCACCCACTAGGGTTCTGTATTGGGATTTTCTCGGAATTGAGTATTTTTCGAAAGAAAAATTGAACATGAATCTTGGAATTGTTTTGAAGGGTGTGTGTATGGGTATGGGTGAGTATACTGGATCTATCTCACGCCCACACTGAAACCAACACCCACATTCATCGATTTCTACAGATATGTGATGAGATTTTATGTAAAAATCTTTCTGTCAGATATAATGACATAATAAATAAAAAGATTTGCCAAGAATGGGGATCGAATCATGCTCACCATTGTGAATTGAGCCCTAAGTCCAGCGCCATAACCGCTCGACCTTTCTGACATACCTTATAGACATCCTACTATATTTTCATTCAACCATTTCTTGCGTAGAGCAGGTACAAAAAATACCGAATCGATTTATGAGGATCAGTTTTCATGAGCTGTGTTCTATGATACTGCTGGGTTAATTAGATCTGTCAGATGGTATTACTAGCCCTTAATTCTTTAGAAGAATATTGATTTATTTTGCGTTCGTTGTGTAAGTTGAAAGCAATGCACTAGGGTGTGGGTGTGAGTGGCTATGGGTGTGGATGAGAATAGAAAGAGTACACTTCCACACCCGTCCATACCTACACCGACACTCACACCAACACCCACATCCTAGTTCACCCCCCTTTTTTGTACAATAGCAGATCTTTAGTATGTGATAAATAAAATTATTTACCTGTTGTTTCGTTGTCGAGACTGGACAGAAGAATAATGATGAATACGTAGATATTCCACATCATACAACAAGATATTTTTGTTTTGATAAATCAGTCAACTGATATAATAATCTTTTTCTTCGTCCGTGTCGTCGATGGAAAAAAAATGAAACTAGTTGTAGATCTTCTCTCTAGTTATATATATCTCTCCTTCTCTCATTCATTTCTTCCAATATAATGCACAAAGAGAAAAAATAGTGTTCAAGAGAAGGTTTTGTCGTATGTAAAATAAAAACGTTGGTTTTAGATTGGATTAATGAACAAAATTGATGATTTAATTTTATATTTTTCATTGAATTTTACTGTTTTCCAAATGAAAAAATGAAATTTAAATTCGAAATGATCGTTTTCTTTTATTATTTTATAGAAACAATCTTTGATTTTAGTAGAGAAGAACGCGATGAAGAGAAAGAAGAACTGATTAATATCGGTCTCAATCAACAGGCGTATTTTCAATGAAAATACGATATTAAAAATCATCGTCAATAAATGATTGACGTCAATCAATAAATCATAATTAGATTGATATATTTTTATCAGAACCTGTCAAATAATTTGCTTTATCAGGACTAACTTTGAATCACATTCTTCGGTTTTTTTATGCGCCATAAAAATTTTTGTAAAAAGTTTCCCTCCTTGAATATTGTGATATATTTTAGAATAAAAACTCATTAGATATGTAAAAATCAGAATTATTCATCGCGATACGATGCATTTTTTTAAGAAACATCAAAAAGATGCACGAACCTAATTCGAAATTTAATTTATGCAAAGTAAAGACTCTGAAAATGGTGAATGGATTCTATTAATTAGTAGCAAAAGTTTTATTTATACATAATCAAAGTCGTGTAACTCCGATCAATTATCTAATATTTCTTGCAATCCATCCGGCAGCGACGAGTTGTCAATCACGATGAACATAGCTCATTCAAATTGATAGGTGTGAGTGTGAGAGTGTGGTTAGGTGTGGGTGGGTGTTGGTAGGGGCATGGACCGACACCCACTCACACCCTCAAGATAGTTCTAAAGATATTATCAAATTAAATATCATATATACTACAATCAATATATAATACTTTTTCATGATTAAGTTACGTAGACAAGTAGCATTCATCCAAACTCGATTCACTTGGCGTTAGACTGTCGCGGTCCGCATCCTGATATAATTGTACTTAGATACGAAGAGAATGCTTCCTATTCCCAAAAGTTACACATTCCGGAATCGCTGCACCCAGCCAATTTAACATCCTTCAATTCCGGAATTCCTTGCATACGATTCCTGCCTTTTCCGGAACAGATCGAATTCGATTCCTGCCAATTCCGGAATTCCTGCACATTCCGGCTTTTCCGGAATTGCACGGAATGGACAGGAATTCCGGTATAGGCAGGAATCGAATGCAAGGAATTCCGGAATTGAATTATGTTAAGTTGGGTGAGCCAAGCGATTCCGGAATGTGTAACTTTCCGGAATAGGATGACTACTCGATACGAATAAGAGTCAATCAATATTAGTTTTGGCTTTTAACAGGAAATCAAATTCAATTTCTACTTAGTATAAAATCAAGCATTCTCTAAAACTTTGATATCTGACGAATGAATAATAAAGTTTAAAAATGCTTTAGCTTTATTGAAGTCAATTTTATAAAAAATAGGGTTTCAAAAAAAATACAGTGTATATCTCTTTATTATTATATATCAAAACTGGGTTTAAACTCTTTTATCTATGTGCACTATAGCAAGAATATTAAACTGACAAACTTATTAAAAATATTTTACAATAATACAGCAACTAAATTTTTAATATGGAATTACAATGCGTATGTTTCTAAGCTTCTCATTCTTGGTCTTATTTTAATAAGTCGTCGTACAGGACGTTTCGGTACATCATCGTTTTTTTCAAACATGTATTAAAAATATTTGTCGATAATAATAAATGATATGCTATAGAAAAATAGATGAAATTTTTTCAAAGCTTTAGAATACTGTATACGCGAACGTTTCGTTTTTCTGTTATTGATATTATTTTCATCTTTCTCCGTATTAAAAGTAAATTGACTTAGCCACACTTTTAATTTATTGAATAAAATAATGATCTATATATAATTAAGAAATATTTTAAATATTTAAGTTAGCGCTCTTTTCATACGATTGAATAAAATATTATATATTAAATATTATGCTATTCAAATAAAACGATAATAGCAAATAAAATAATATTATCAAAAATATACCATAGTTACATGGTTATTTGCGCCAAAAAAATGGTTAAATGTGCCAAAAAAATGGTCATTTGTACCAAAAAAGTGGTCTGTGCCATGTTACCGACAAAAATAATACATGTAAATAGATAATTCCCGTTTCTAGACCCTATCCTTTCAGTCTAGGGAATATGCAATTGTCGGGTTCGATTTTCATTTCATCAGTCATAATTGCACAACGAACGCAGATGCACATGCAACATTAAAATAATATTATAGTCACATGGTGAAATATAGAAAAAGAAAGCAAAAGTATTCCTTGTATTTGTATTGGTTACTTATAAATGCATTTAAAAAGGCAGATGTAAGCAAGACATCTACAGTACTCTCAATCACAGCTCAGTAGTGAAAGTGGTTTTTCTTCGAAATTAATTTTTCAACGATAAAGTCAAGTATTTTTAGTATTATCTTTAACTTCACATTCAATGGGTTTTCGGGTTGATACTCTCGTGAAGACTTTTCCCGTACAAAGCACTAGTTTATAATAAACATTCAGAATTGAATATTTATCGTTTATTTTCCAGAATATGAAACAGTATAACGCTGAAATCAATAGAATTATTCTTGATTGGCAAAGAGTAGATAAACAGAGAGTTTGAACATCGGTAGAGTTCACTCAACATTCACGAGAGTTGCTTCAATGACTTTGATAGTTTTCTCAGTTGTCCTTTGTTCTCTTCTTGATGTTCTGAGATGTAGATATACTCTGCCTCTTGTTCTTCAGGTAGACAGTCGAAAGATTTTGAATTTGAAAGAAAACTATGAGCTTCTTCAGCACTCAGCAAGAAAGATGACATTGAATCAGGTTTGGCATGCATTGCAAGAGGATCGGATTGTGATGATTTAGTCAAAGTAGAACCGATAAGAAAAAGCGTCATCAGAAGTACGACGACAATATCTATTGCAAAAATCGACAAAAAAGTCAATGAAGAAAAAATGTTGAATCTATAAATAACTTACATGTTAGATTGTGTAACATTGTTCAGAATGTAGTAGACTATGAGTTAAAGTTTTAGTTTAGTTTCACTATAATTGTCCTATAACGAAAGAAATGACAACCTTGTGTAACTGTGAAATAATACAATGATTTAAATAGGGGAACGTATTTGGTTTTACAAGTTATTTAAAGCTATCATTTGGCATAGCTAAGTTAGAAAAGATGGCGTGGGTGTGAATAAGAATAACCTCCCACTACATCTATACCCACACCCTCAAGATGGTATTAGGTGTTTATACCGTTTTCTGCCGTGTTTCATATAATCTCTACAAGGTCTACCACTATCTTATTCATCACAAAAAGAAACGCGAGCGCTTTCGAGCGAAGCGACTAACATAAAAAAAAAAGTTATAAATGTGATACTTTTGTAATTGTTCGCGTATAGTATTACGCAATTTGAAACTTGCCGTCAGTAACAAAGTGCAGATCTTATCTTTTTTATGATTAATAGCTATGAATCAGTAATGTGGACGTAGGCGTGCATATCAGACGAATATAACGCCAACATCTAGCTTATTTACGATCTCTATTTGACACTTTCCAACATTGTTTTATGATCAAGAATTCATCGTGCAAAATTTATTCTACACGGGTTTTTATATGTTTTCGGTATTCAGAACGAAAAAAACTATTTATTAAAAAAGTAAAGTGATCGTTATATCATTGATACAATGTTGGTATTTTCAAGCAATAAAATTTAGATGCAGAATAGAATCATCTTTGATAAAACTGATAAGAAATTTTTCGAGTTGATTGCCAACTACTGACGTCATTTATAACTCAAATAAAACCTACTCATAAATATTTATTCGACGAACGCAATAATCAGTTTGCTTCTTTTTTTTATCGTCCATTCTAAAATAGATATTGTATAAAGCACTAAATGTTTGCAAGATCGAAGAATAATTGAATTAAAAAATGAGATAAGAAATTTTTATTTAATTGAAAAAAATTGATACTATCTTGTGACAATTATCAATTGTTTTTAGCAGTCCATTAGAGAGCAGGTACAATACTGTAAATATCATTAGTACTTGATCGAGTAAGTCAAAACCAATCACGATGAATCTATAAATTAAAAAAAGAAGATTCAACAATATATTAGAAAATATTGATATATTCAAGTAATCGATGAAAGAACAAGATTAAAATCTAAGAGAAGATTGTATATATCGCCGTGTTGTAATTCGTTTTCGTCTTCCAGTAACTGTTCTGAACCATGATTAAAAAAATCCAATGCGTAACTATTGAGATAATACATCGAATTGGTATGATCACGACAATCCAGATCGGCAAATGGAACAGTTCGTGTTGATAAGTCGAGATTGAAAGCAAGATCCCATGAACCAACAACTGAATTATAGTTCAACATATATTTTTCATGTGTGAGACCCGATGGACCGGCAAATGGCGATATTGAAGGATTCTGAGTTTGTTGCGAGCGATGATGATGAAGATCGTACTCGAATGTTCCATTATCGTAAACAGCCTGATCAGTAAATGAAATATTGGAGAAAGGTAAAACATATTCTTGACCATTAGCAAACGAACGCATTCGTCGGGTCACATTTTCAATGTAGAAACCATAAACATCTTTCACAATAGAATTATACAATTCAACTCGAACTCGAAAATCTCTTGATATCGGTGGTAAGAATAATTTTGAATTGAACATTTCTTCTCGTCTTGCTAATGAGAGAGTTTCGAATTGTTTGTGCGTTATTAGCCTATACGTCAAAGATTGATTTGACAAAAAGTAAGAAGAGATCAAACAAAGAATCACTTACCAAGGCTTCTTTGTAAAAACATATGCAAGTATGATGACAATTTCACTATAATCACTTATTTCGTGAAAAAGTCTGGTATCCATTAGATGAACAAGTAAAATGTTTGCTGGTTCGAAGTAGTGTAAATGGGTTGAAAGTCCTGCAAGACCGATTAGAGCCCCATTCGCATTGACTAAATTGAGTCGATGAAGAAAGTCAAGTGTATGTAAACAATGAAAACGAATTTGAATATCAACTAAAACATGTTTACTAGCTGATTGAAGAATAAATGGACACTCGAGTGCAACCAATGATCGATTAATAGCATCTTTGGAATCTTGTGCACATGAGCATAATTGAAGAAGACGCATGAGAAATGTCACTGACGATGGAAAGTGTGCTTCAATATTAGGTATGACTGAGATGGTTAAATGACGAATTTTCGAAAGAGGAATATCAATAAAGACCACATGTCCTTCGATATCAAAACCACGACGACCAGCACGACCCGATGATTGCCGATATTGAAGAGCGTCGAGAAAAATTGAATCTTGAAGAAAAGCGACGGTTTTTGTTGGCATGTGAATACCCATTGCTAAAAACAGAAGATTATCAAGAGAATTGTCAGAATTGAACTGTCCTACCGAGTGTTGATGTAGAGAAAACAATTTGAATGTATCGATTACGAAAGAGTGCTTCGACAGCTACTCGACCTTTATTATTCAACCCAGCATGATGATAGGCAACACCCCTTCTCATCAACCTGACTAACATTGAATTTTCAATTTCAGTTCGTGTCAATAATGGTTCGACTAATTCTTCATCATATCCATGTCGATTGGCCAATGTTCCTTCCTCCAATATCCCACAAAGTAAAGCTTTTTCATGTCCGGACAATTGTGTTCCACTAATAATATCATTAAGCATCATTTGTTTCTCATAGATATTATTACCACCATCAGTGTCCTCCTCATTCTTCGCTCTTCGTTTACCTGACGATGTTTTTTTCATACTCTTGATCAAAGCAAGATTCATTTTTTCAGCTTTTTCAATCTGTTGTAATCGTAGTTTAACTTGATCAATCTGCTTTTTGTACTTTGTTTGTCGCAATTCACGTTCAATCTTGACAAAATAAGCCGCTACCGTTTTAGCCATCGTTTCACATATCGATCGACTATCCGAAAATACAATACATGGTAGAAGGTTTTTTTCTTTTAATGTTAATACGAATTCGACGATGAGAGATGACATTGGTTTTATTTCGGGATATTTAATATTACTTAAATCGGCAGTATGAATTGATGTTGTAATAGCATCAATGGCAGAATTTTGTTTTTTCATAATTAAACGATTGAGTTGATTACAGACAAGACGTGAATAATGATTGCACGCATTTCGTTCGATGATCCAAGCAGGTGAAAAATATTCAGTTAAAGTCGATACAGGTTTATATTCGACATCGTCATTTACAATATCCCTAAATGTTAGAAAAACGTTCAGATTCGTTATCGAATTGTGTATGAGGATGGCTTAAAAAATGCACTTACGTGTTATTAGTTATTGTTTTTTGCATTGCATCACTGAGCCGTACAGTCTCAGAAGGTGACATAAAAAAATCTTTCGGTAAGCTTCGATTTATCAATTGTTCCGCATTCATAAGACCTACCGGATGAATAGGATGCAATTGTCGCTCCGCATACAAATACTTATTCAAATCAGCCATACGCTCGTAATGCGCAATGAAACATACGGAACGAGGTGTCGACATTTGAAATAGAGTAGCTCGTCGTTGCTCGATACTTTCTATCCATTGACGTATTTCATCACCATTGTTCACTGTAGCTGATAGGCCAATCATGGGACAGTTGATGAGTAACATTGTTCGTTCCCACACGTCCGAACCAAGTTCACCGGACATACAATGGATTTCATCAAAGATCGCATATTGAATTCGTTTACACCAACGTTGATAAGTTGGAGAGATGAGAAGAATTTCAAAACATTGTGGTACGGTTACTAAGATGCGACATGTTCCCATGTTCATACGAAAATCTCGTGTAAAAATGCCAAATACAGTACCAAATTTAGAATAGATCGTAGCTGAAAAATAGTATGCCTGGATGAGCTTCACATAAAGATAGAGAAAAGATTGACTTACCAGCAACTTGATTTACAAGTGCTTTGGTCGGTGCTACATATACGCAGATCGCATCTTTTTTTTCCAATACTTTGCTCATGGCATAGTAAGATGCATACGTTTTGCCTATATTTAAATAACAACATAAGAGCAAGAAAATGAACCAATCTCACCCGAAGCAGTTGGTGCTATGATAATAATCGATTGATGTTTATCAACAGCATCAAGAAACTCGATTTGCCATTTGTCCGGAATGAAATCGGGTGTTCTGCTATCAGCCACGCCTTGTTCACATCGTGGCAATCGACTGTTGACCTTTTCAAGTTGAAATCGATACCATTTTTCTCTATCCAATTGTGGATCATTTACAAGCTCTTCCATGTATATTTTCTTTTCATTAAACACATCAACAACATTTTCCAGATGAGTAATTTCAGCCATTGTAGCAAAATAATTTATTTCGAGTAAATCCAGTTTTGATCGATCTTCGTTCGCCAAAACAATTTGATTTCGGAGTATATTTAAATACTTTCGTTGTAAATCGAATTTTTGCTTAAGTAACTTCAGACGATTTACTGATGTTTTAAAAAATATCATATGTCTATCGATGAACTCGATCGCTTCGAGAATATTATCGCGTGGAATCTGTTGCAGTCGAGTTTCTATATTTGTGAACTTGTCCGTTTCCTCAGCAGTAAGTTTGTCGACCTGGCGTTTTTTATTTTCTTCAATAATCTTTTGAGCCTTGGTTTGATGAATCTCTTTCGATTGTTTTTTCTTCTTACCACTAGCATTTATGGTAGCAACTGAAGTTTCTTCGCTTGTTGATGTTGGAATCGAAGCAGTTGGAAGGGTGATCTGCATTTGACTGTCTTTTATGTCTCGGCTCGTGAGTGATTTACCGTAGAGAGTAAAATATTCGTAGCTAAAGACAAATAAAGTCTTCTATTAATGAAAAAATTTCATCGAAATTAGATTTCAAGAATCATACCAAAAATGTTACTCTATCTAGTTAAAATTTTAGATTTAGGCTAATTATTCTATTGATATCTCTTTTGATTTTTATCGCATTCATAGTCTGCATAAAATTTGATTAAAAAATATAGGATTAAACTTTGTCTCTATTGTTACACATTCTGTAAATTTTGATCTTAACTCAGTAGACCTTTAAGTCTATTTTTATTCGATATTTATTTACCTATATGTAGCGCAGAGGTATCATTAATGAATTACTATTCGGGAGCGATTCTGGTATCCGTCAAGAATGTCCTTTAGAAAATGTCCTGGACGAAATGTCCTACAGTTTTGGTCCTTTAGAAAATGTCCGGTGTTATAAATGTCCTCTCTACAAAAAGTCCTTTAGAAATAGTCTTTTGACATATAGTCCTACGAGAAAATGTCCTCCATTATTAAAATGTCCTTTGGCTATAAAATAAAAAACTAGTCGATAAGTAATGTGAATCATATATTTGTATTATTATGACGAGTTAGGGTGGGTATGGGTGTGGGTGTGGGTGTGGGTGTGAATGAGGGTGTAGATGTGGGTGAGGGTGGGTGGATGTGGGTGAGGGTGGGTGGATGTGGGTGAGGGTGGGTGGATGTGGGTGAGGGTGGGTGGATGTGGGTGAGGGCGTGGGTGTTGAAAGAGTAAAATACCCACCCACACCCTTTTCTTTTCTTTTACTCATTGTATATAAAAGTAAATCCTCTATTCGATTTACTTAGAACACTATGAATTTTAGTTAAATTACAGCGTCATCTGTATTTTAGATACACTTCATTCGAAATTCTCTTATTTAAATATAAAGGACATTTTTCAATGCCGGACCAATTCTTAGAAGACATTTTGTCCAAAGACATTTAGTTCGGGGACGTTTTCTAAAGGACAATATCTAAAGAACATTTTCTGAAAGGACTAAAACTGTAGGACATTTCGTCCAGGACATTTTCTAAAGGACATTCCTGACATGATTCGCGATTCTAAAGGAGAAAATGCATCAGAGGTAAAACTTACAATTTCTGATGACTTCTTGTTCGGTATTTGTAATTGCGAACGTTTTTATTTTCTCGATCATTGTCTTTTATACGACTGACTGGATCACCTACCTAGATTTAAAAAGAAAACATAGGTGTATAATGAGTTAACTTTCGAAGAATAACGCAAGAAACTTACTTCTTTGTACACATGCCAATGATGCTTTCCTAACAATTATTGTTCTCTTTAGTTTAGAGGAAAAAACAGAAAAGAACTGACCTTGATATTGTGCCCGGCTGCAATCATTCGAATCGATGAAATCAATTGAGAATTCGTCGTTCTTTGATGAAATAATCGGTTTTAAAAAAGTGTCGATAAATGGATTGGAGATTTTGGCTATTTGTTGATGTTGTTCTTTACTCGTTGTCACTTGTTTAGCCAATTTTGATGATGATGATGACATATAAATAATGTTCTTTGATAGAATTATTTGTTCAAATGGATTTACAAATTCATTTTTGTTCGAGTATATATTCAATAGGTTTAAACTCTGTTTCACCATGTCAAATGTGCATGAATCAAAACGAAGATTCGATGAAGATTCATTTATCTGTTTTAAAGTAAAAGCAAATAGACGTCCATCAAACAAATCGGTTATTTTGGCCCATGAGAGAGTTGAACAATTTGATGACAGAGATAATGAGAGACGCAATTGAAATTGGCAAATGAGTTCAGAGAACATCGGATTAAAAGAGTCCGAAGTAAATGATGATGGAAGATGACGATCAACTAAAGATAGACGAATAAGAAGACCGACATGAAGAAGAAGTAAAGGAATTAAAAGATTAAGTAATTGTACTTCTTTCTGCTCCTAAAATAAAGAGAAATAGAATGATTAGTTGAATGATGAGACAAATCGAATACCTTTTTTTCTTTCATCAAATGCATGATCGATTTAAGATAAAGAAAAAGACGCACATCACCTTGAGCTGTTTCATGGCACAATTTTTCTAATGACAGTCGATCCTTTTTTTCGATCGTAGTCGAAGTGAATTTCAATGGTACTCTCTGTAAAACTTTTCTGAACAGGTGCATTGGACATGGTCGTATAAAATCGATTTTAAAACATTGAACTAATGTATCGGTTAACATCAATTTGTTCATTAAATAGAGATGGCAATCAATAGTATATTGATGATAATTACCGAAGAGACGGTAAACGAAGACAAGTTGTCGAAGGACACTTTCAGATAATAATGGACTAGTTCTATTACTCAGATTTGACATATCACTGTAGAACATGAACATAGGCTTTTCATCTTTAACAAATATAGCATAATCACTGCTAAGCCACGAATCAAATTGACGAACTTTCAATGTACCATATATATTGACATTCTTACACAGGTGTGTAATTAAACAAGAACGAAGAAGATCAAGAATTGGTGTTTGATATTGATAAATTTGATAATGACAATCGAAAAAGACAAGTGTATAATTGCATTGATGTGCTTGATTGAAAAGTGTCAGAAGAATGCGTTCAATTAGAAAAATAAGATGAATTGTATTACCATGAAATGAGACAAGATCAATATTGATATGATGAGCCATGGATAAAAGAAACGAGTCACCATCAATAAAATAATGCGTGCTATCACGAAATTCACGACGAACATCGAGAAAACAAGAAAAATAGGGATAAATGATTTCAATATTGTTTCCAGAGATCGTCATCATATCATTTTCAGTTCGGGTAGGGGAAAGAAGTAATTTAATAGTAGCCAAAATAGGTTTATGTGTTTCTGAAATAGTTCCAGATGGCATATTTGATAGAAGAGATTTTATCAGATTAATATGTTTATTTTGTATACTGTCCATATCTTCGGATAAATGAAGTAGAATTTGTTGTAAAGCAGCCGTAACCACTTTCTCATTTTCACTTTCAACACATTGCTTTAGTGTTCGAAAATAGAGATCACTCATGTGACTGGTGTGTCGTTGACTATATTGAAGAAATTGAAGAAGTCGTTCACATTGACCAGCGATGTTGACATAAGCATTGAATTGTGGTGCTGATGAAATTGCCTTTTAAAGAAACGTAGAAACAAAGATTCAGTCACCGAACTATACACTAAAAGTTAGAAAGGATAAATTATCTTTCTCTCGGTATACTTTAGTATTATTTTACAGTCCCTTTCCGAAAATCCATTCTGAATGTTTTCATATAATTTTTGATTATCTATAGTAAATCGTACTGTTCTAAGAAACTTTATGTCAAAGGCTGAAAATGTTCCTGTTTTACTTGAATACTAACTTTTTCTATTGGTACTGGTTTCTTTTGTTCGTCCTCGGACGATGATTCTTCTTCTGAACTGGTTCCCGACGATTCGGCAAAACCATCATTTTTTATGATATTATCAGCAGCTGCGCTTTGCTCAGCTCGATTAATATTTCGCCATAGTTGCAGCTTTTCATTAACAACTTGTTCAAAATCGTTTCGATAGCGTAAATGAAAAAGTTCGTTATTTTTCTTAATATCTTGATTGAATACAATGTTCGATGTTGTTTCCGTATCGAGCAAATAATCGACAAATTTTTGAATGCGATCACTCATATTTCTTTTCCTGAATTTGTCAACGGATGTGCGAGTTGAAGAAAAAGTCAGTTAATGCTGATAGATCTTGGAGAGATAGTAATCACTCACTTATGCAGTTATCTTGAAGTATTTGTGTTTCAGTATCTAAAATTGAGCAAAGCAAAAATGTACATTAAAAAATTTCTTCAAAAGATTTAGAAAAAGAAACTTTCAGCACTATACTGATGAGTGTTTTGTGAAGAAATACTAATTTAAGATGCTAACAAAACTATCGAGTAGTTTAAATATGCGCGTAGAACGACAGGAGTTTTCGTCAGTGGCATATCACGTAAACTAGCCGTGTTTCTTGCTGAATTTCAGAATTTTCAGTGCGAAGCATTTGACTAAAGTTTTTCTTTCAAATACCAAGAATAGGTTTCTCATTCAAGGACAAAACTTCTTTTCTAATTTTGATGGAATTATGAGCTCTCAATTGGGAGTGTTGGATATACGAGAGACTGGACGAGAAAAGTATATTTTTTTTCAATCGTAGAAAACAAACTAACAAGCGAATGTCTCCTTCCTCATGTGCAAGAAAAGAAAAAGGAAAGAAAGCGTGAATAACGCGATCGTTAACTCAAATGAAAATGCATTCGATCTGTTTCCAGTATTTTAAATTCAAATGAGATATAATGTCTGAGAAGTCGTACGAGCTGCATCAAATTATTACATAATAATGAGCAGAGGATTTCAGACAGAGACACGTCGTCTCGGACTACACTACTTTTATGAAGTAGAGAGGATATGAGTGTGAGGATTATCGTAAGTAATGAATGCAATATCCATATATAACCATCCACAATCCTACACCCGAATTTTTCTATATGATAATACTCAAAACTAAATCGAATTCGATCGTAACTTTTGCAAAATTGAAGACACCCATTGACTCGTCTCTACAAAAGATAATCAACTAATAAATATACTAGTATTTAAAAGTCAAGCCTATTTAAATATTATTCAGTTACTTAATCTTTCTGCATAAGTCTGACCAAGTAGCTACGTCTAATTCAAAACACTAACTAATAATTTCAAGTAAAAGGTTTAAAATGTTTGGAATGATAACTGTGTCCAGCATCCTAGCTACAAGCACTAAATAAATGTTCTAAAATTAATTAGTAAATACAGTTAGTTGGTTATAGAAAGATATAAACTAACACCGACTCAATGATTTAAATATCAAAAAAAAAATTATTTTTGAACTATAGAATTTTGTCACCTCCAAGTTAATAGTTTTGAATTCTGAAAACAAGTGAATACCACCGAAAAAAATCCGATCTCAAATACTGCTCTCATATTTCGTTGATTCTCGGTGTTTTTCACTCAAAACCAGTCCGTACGTCTCCATCTGGGTAGCTGTGGTTGTATTTTAATAGTTCTAGAATGTAAATAATTACAATATTTGAACGAAACAAAAGAAAAATCGAAAGTATGTTACCGATAAATGAGCTACTTGAAGTATTGTGTTATTGTATATGATTGGAAAAAGTATCGATTGTGAAGTTACGCTCGCATACATGCGACACGTTTTATTTACTTGACTGACTCTACTGCTCGTAACGTTTGTTTTGATTTTGTTATTTTTCTTCGTTTTTCTTTTTCTTTCCTTTCCTTTTCTTTTTTCTTCGATCCCTGTTGTATTACGTTACCATACAACACGCGCTTCTGCTTCAATCACGCACATCTAGTATCATTAAAAAACGATTAGTATCGTTGTTCTCTCTTGAGAAATGTAAATCATCTAGAGAGTTTTATTATTTTAATAGAGATAAGGAAATTTCCGATCATATACGATCATTTTCAATCTATAAGTGGTATTACAAACAAAAATAAACTGTTGAACGTACATCCCATTCATAACCACATCCACCCTTAAGGGAGAGATGTCTACAGTTCGTATGTCATTACAGTAGAAGAAATAAATAATGAATAAACAATTGAAACTTGGAAAATACCTTTGTTAGTGACTGACTTTGAGTGGGTGTGGGTGTGGGATGACTAAAATACTCACACGCAATCTCACTAGATTGTGAATTCTTCGTACGTTAAAAATCATCAAAACACCAAAGTAGCACGCAACAATAGGACAAAAAAGTTGAACAGAAATAAAATATTCGTATGGAAAAAGAATATAGATAAGTGCGCAATCATTTTAATCGTTTTAATAAAATATAATAGCACATATGATGACCTTTTTAGTTATTGATAAAATGTGGTTGTTAATGCTTCATGCATTTCTAACATCCTCACCCACCTTCAAAATAAAAATTATTTCGACATGATTCCAAACAAATTGCTGAAATATTCTGATCAAAATATATTCGACAACAAAATCGAGTAACTCAAACCAATATACAAATTGTTACATTCATAAAGCATCGTGATACTGTGCTTCCAAAATCAACTGTTCGAGTTATGATTGAGCAAATTACCATTGTTGTTTATTTAATTACAACAAATTTCATATAATAAATAGCGTAGAAAGAAATGAATAAATAGAAATTTTTTTTATCAAAAGTAAGTAAAAGAAAGTGTAGCTATGATATTTGTTCAAGTATAGATAATATTACACGTCTCCTCGTTGTCTTTTTCTTCTTGAAGTTCTTCTAAATCTGTACCTAACGAACAACATTTTGGATTATCACATACATGTGATTTGTACCACCATTGTGAGTCAGATAATAAACCCGGATGATTGTCTGTAACACGCACCATTAGACCTGTACAAACAATAGTAGAATTTGGATCATTAAAATCCATCATAGTTTTTCCTTGTGCATCAATAAGCCATTCAATAACGTCATTATTGAAATTGGGATCAATGATTATATCATGAGCCGCAATCGTTTCTTGAGCAATCTTTATTATGTTATCCGGATGTACACGGCATTGTAAAACAAATTGAACATATTTACCATCCTTAAAAAATGTACTTTCACCCTTTGATTCGATTTTTTTTATTTCAGAATACCTTGGATGAGCTGTATAGATAATTGATGGACTAGCGTATATACCACCACCATGTACTGCTATATTTGCTGGTTTCAGACCACTAAGTAATATAGATAGACCGTATGCAAATTTTGTTCCATGATAACATACAGACCATCCTTTAAATTTTTGATAAAATTTGTCAGCAACGTAGAATGAAAATCTCTGCCATCCAAGTGGACAATAATATGGATGAGGTCCTCGATCTAATTGATCAGGAGCAACTCCAGGCCAATATGAATGATTTATGCCATAAATACGATTCCATTCGGGATGTAATGTGACCTGAGAACGAAATTTAATTGTTTCATCATATGTTTCAATGTCACCCATAAACATGAACAAAACTTTTAATAAACCTAACGATTGAAGTATTTTATCCGTTATTGAATTATAAAGAGCTTTAACTTCAATTTTTTTATTTATACCAGCGACGTTTTTGTAAATGTCAAATATAACTTTAACACATCCATTTTGTATCTTACGTATAGTGATATCATTGATGTTTAATATATTGGCAATGTTGTTTAAGAATGTTTCCGGATCAAAATCACTAGCGTCTTGATCAAGGACACATACTAAGGAAGCTGCTAATAATTCGAAATCATCATAGAATATTTTCTCCGAAACAGATACGAGTGGTTGTTGTATAATATCATAATACTGTTTGCATTTATGATAGTGAGCCTTTTCATCGGCTGATACCGGTTCTGTAGACCATATATTGAGTTCTTCAGGTGGTTGATCATTTGAATGTTCACATCGAATATCTAAATACAATCAAGCAATTAACGCATTAATTAAAGGAACTATTTTACAGAAACGTTTCGCGTCAGATCACAATTACCCTAGTAAGAATTAACAGACTTTTGCTACTTACCGGAAGAACTTGAAGATGACACTAGCGCTGATTCTGGTCGTGGCGGCGAAGATGGAGATCGATGTAGTGATGGAGGTGGTGATGGATGTGGTGATTGATGTGATGGTGATAAAGTACATGTGCGTGATCGTTGTGGAACTGGTGATGGTGGTAATGGTGTTGATGGTGTCGAAGAAACACGTAATGGTGTTGGAGGTGGTGATGGAGATGACTTCCTCGTTAACTTAACGTTGGAGTAATGTCTCATTATTTCGTCTTGTCGTTTCAATTTTAACTTGTCTATGTCCGTTGTCAGGTCTTCTATACGATTTTTACGTCGTTTTTCAGTCGTTAAACCACTTTTGTCTTTGCTATACGTTATCGAGAGTAGACGCGCCCGTGACTCTGTGATATCATCACTAAGTCGATAAATTTTATTCAATCGTTTTTCTGCTGATTTGTCCATAATTTAATTTTATAACATAAATTTTAATAATATCTAGAGCAAAAAAAATACTTACGAAAAGATCTCTCATTCATTTTGTCAGATACGATCGTACTAGAAAAACCTGTTGTATTAACAAAGAATAAACTATCATTAACTAGTCTAACAATTCTCGCAGTAAAAGATCGCTTTTCGTAGAATAAAAATGCAAAAAATGTCGACTTCTGATAAGAGATTCAAGTAACATACGCTTCTTTTATGGTTACACCTTATAAAAGATTTTATTCGTTCTCCCTTTACTTGGTTTTTATGGCCAGGAATACCGAGAAAAGGTTTATCAACTATTATTTGGCTTTCGAGTGTTCTATTGCAGATATTCTTACGCCCACACCCACGCCCTTAAGCATTAAATAACTTGACGTTTGTTGAAAAAAAGACTCAATGAATAATAGATGGCGTAAGTTCATGATTTGTGACTACGAATGAGGGAGGATTGCATTAAAAATGCTATTCGTCATCTTTAATAATGTTAACAGAAAGAACAAAAGTTTTCTTTTTTTTCCTTAAATTTGTGTATTCAAAAGAGGAGAAAGAAAACGGCATGATGGTAACAAGTATTGTTGTCGATAAACTTGTTAAGAGAATGAATGTAAGACGTGGCTAGTTGTTAATGACTCATTCTCACCTGTGCATTTGCTGCATTTACAAGTAAAGTAATGGGAGTAAAATTAACGTTGCCATCAAAAAAACTCCCATGTAGTAGTGTATTCGAAATACTTAGTAATGATGTTATACTAGAATTGTTCGATTATTTTTCTTCAAATGAAATATATCTATCATTTGGTAATTTAAATAATCGTCTCGATAGTTTGATTGATAATTATCCACAACATGTCAATTTTCAATTCAATGGAATTATTCCTCATTATATTCGTTCATTAAAAATAACAAGCAGAAGTCAAGTACCTTTGTTTTTTACTCTTCAATCTTCACAACTGTCAACTATTCGAAGATTAACTATTGGTAATCTACAAATACAACAGTTACTCGATATTTTTAATATTCTACAACTACAACAACTTGAATATATTTATTTAGGCGCATGTTGAGATGATTTAGATAAGAAAGGTCTGCTAGAATCTATACAAACAAAAATTCTTTCTTTGAATGAATATCGATTACGTCGATGCCATTTACGTCGTCATCTTCTTGTTAATGTCAATAATTTATCATTATCACTGCCTTCATTGGAATATATTCAATTAGATAGTTGTCAAGATTTTTCTGTTCTTTCTTCATTTCTTTCTCGTATGCCGAATTTAAAATTTCTTCGAGTATCATTACTTGATTCGATACAAAACCCTTTACAATCAGTATCATGTCGAATTACTCATCTAGTTCTACTACTTCGTTCAGATTGTTCAGTATCAGAACTCAAAGTATTCTTTGCTACTTGTTGTTCATATGTTGAAAATTTAATTATTCAACCATATATTGAAAATAATGGTCGATCAGCATTGATGGTTAGCAAGTACGAATGGACAAACATTCTTCCATCTCGAGTTACTTGGTTTTATTTGAAAACAAAAAATGGCTATCATCATAGGTTATCTAATGTGCATCTAAACTCAAAATTATATGATCAAATTTGTTTAATGCATGCTGAACAAGATGGTCATCATTGTCAAGTAATTATTGAAGAACCATTTTCACGTATATGGTAAACAATGAATAATAAATCTTTTTTGATATTATTTCAATAAAAAGTGTTTAGGAATTGTTAAGCATAATCATTACAATTGAGAGTGTGTGTAAGTGGGAGCGTGAATATGAATGTGCGTACAAGTAATATATTTGTACATCAGTCATACTTACATCTATATTTTCAGCATGATTACTTCTGAACTAGTAAAAATTTGTAAATATCTATCTTTGATATACTCTAAAACAAGAAAAATAAAACATTTAGATGTAGATATGAAAGAGGAATAGATATGTTGTTATCCACACCCACCCTTTTTATTTTCAATTCATAATAAATTATCAACAATAATAGAATCTGTTTACTTTAGTTCAAATAAATTAGATTGATGATGATGATAAATCTGAAGCAGATCAAATTATTTTTCTTCTCGTTGAAATACAGAATGATTTAGCAAATGCTTAACAACTACTATATTATATGGTATAGATAGAGAAGAAACGCGTGATGATACATATCTTTTTAGAATTTTTACTTATACTATGAGTTTAGTGTGCGTGAGGGTGTGGGTTTGTTTGAAGAGGACACACTCACCCACACCCAAGATATACGACAATCGAATTTTGGATTTAAGAATTAAGATGTGAATAAAATTCTCTTTGTTGCATATTTATACGTATAGATGATTATTTTCTTGGTTATCATTATATTCAATTTGATCTATCAAGAAAATTTTTATTAAACTATATCAATCATTATTTGTTAATATATATATATAAATGTAAAAGAAAATATTTTTATATCGTTTTTACTTCTTTTAGAAATATAATGTCTTTTATACTTTGTATTTCCTCTTTCATTATATTTATAAACGGAGAAGAACAAAAAGAAAAACTATATAAACGTGTGTCTTTAATGATTTAAATATTTTTCTATTAATCAATTTTTATCATTATTTTAATAAATATAAAGAATATGGAACTTGTTTATGGGGAAACTAATATTTGAAACAGTTAACGAAAATCTGACATAATTTGAGAAAATCTGTTTGTTATATTGTAAGATTTTAGGACTGATGTATTTATAATAACAAAATCAGATGATTTAATTAATTTGAATTTTGAGGGTGGATGTGGGTATGGATATGAATATTAGTGAAGATATACTCACACCTTTTGGATAAAAGAAAAGTAAAACATCCTCACCCAAACTCATACGCACACTCACCCACACCCACACCCATATCCATATCCAAACCCACATCCACACCCATATCATCACCCTCACCCGCACCCACCCTCAGACTCGCAATGATTTTTTTATGGAAACGACAGCAACTCAACAGATCAGGTTACATTTTATGTCGATATATCGTTTGGTATCAGGAAAGTGTATAGTTTTATTAGTTGAGCCTGACTTTATATTATGATTATGTGATCATGATTCTACAAATTAGAAATAAAGCATGAAATGTCAATATATAGAGTATGATTAAATTGATATTGATTTTTTCCTATAACATGTGTAACTATATACTTGTGATGAAATTAACATTATCATTTTAGCACGTTTATCAGTTGTTTGAACATGGTTTTTTATTACTAGTAGACAAGTCTATCAACGACAGTAATTGATCATTCACATTTACAACACAGCAGAAAAAAATTTCCTGTCACTAAAAATATAAAGCTCTTTATTTCTCTGAACTAAAGATAGTTTGTACTCTTACAATCAGTGAAGATAAAAATAAAAACGATCAATGATGGATACAAGTTCATTAAATAAAGGTAAAATTATTTTTCAACTTTTCCTAATAATGTTAATTCGATGGACCTATTACTTGCCAATTGAATTTTTACCATACTGAAGAAGTGATTGCAGGTAAATCTTTACAATATAACTGTTTGAATTATCGGGTTTACCGTGAGGAATCGGTTGATTCTGGATTATCACATATGGTTGATGAAGTCATTCCATTCTGTTTTCGTCCAGAAGACTATTCCGAACGATCACTCGAAACCTATGTTAATCCGCTTTCTCAAAAACTAACTTTCGAAGAATTACGCCTGGCTCATATTACTTCAGAAAAACTTCTCTCATGGTCAATTTCGATTGATGTAGCTCAACGATATCAATTGTATCTAAATGAACCGAAAGCTGAGTCTAATGAGATTCTCAACAATTGCACTGAACCTTGGTTTGGCCCTCGGTGTCAATATTCGTTTCCTTCCGGTGGACGTAGATCTTTCAACCAGATTGTTGAAGAGGCTTTTAGTCAAAGGACAGCCTTTCCTGAGGCATCTGAAGCGACAGTACAGGTGCCATGCTATGTCCTTCTGGAATGTCATCGTAATGGACAGAGTTGGTGTCTTGATTGGCGCGAAGTGTGCAATGGAATCGTTGATTGTTTTGATGAAGGTCTCGATGAAGAATATTGCTTCGATATGAAGATAAATGACATTGGAGAAAATGAATATCGATGCTACAATGGATTATGTACATCAAGCGAACTTCAGGAAGAGGGTGAAGGCGATGCCGACGGTCTTGATCGATCAAATTAAGTGTTGGATGGCTTCAATATTAAATCCTGTTTTCAAGATCCAACATTCCGTTGTGAAGAACATTCTTGCACAGCACACGAAGGTACGTTTCCCTGTGGAGATGGCCAATGTGTTAACGAATTTGATGAATGTTATAATGGACGACACAAGTTATTAATAGAATCAATGGCACCCAAAGGTAATCTAACAGACGAATGTTCAATTGCTATGATTTATCTCACTGGACTCGCCGAGCAAATTAATGGAAGTTTATCTAAAATATGGCCGATGAACGGCTCAATTTACGAATTCCTGAAACAATGTGATTCGTTTTTTCAATTTCCAACTATGCCAGTTCATTCTGCTGATATTCGTTTCTTTTACGAAAAGCCTTATTTAAGACAGAAAATTAATGAATTCCTTCTACCTGGTTATCCTTGGTACAATCAACAATTCTGTGATTTTATTAAACGAGGGTTGAACAACTTTTCGATCGGTGAGGCAAATGGTAAAATCAAGCGTGAAAAATGACGCCCAAGTAAAATATATTGATTTTCTACAGACTAATGCTACCTAACCAAACTCGAAAACTAAATGCTTTTTCTATGGAAAAGATACTTTGAAAAAATGAATAAATGAATTCTCATACGAGAAATATTCTTTTTATCTGTCACTTATATGTATGCATCTTCAGCAGAAAAATGAAGATTCACAGGAATAATCCTGAGGGTGTGGGTGTGGGCATTGCATATGATTGTACTAACCAAGTGATACCAATTAGAATTAGAATAAAATACGATAAATAATAATAGATGATAAATATAGAGTCATTCGTTAACAATGTTTTCAAAGTAAGAATAAATTATTCATGATAACAACAAAGACATAAAACTGAGAGTATGAATATTCTAGTTATCTTTAATCTGTAGCCTCATTCATACCCACACCCACACCCTCAAGATGGTCTGCTATCAGAAAACATGTACAAATAAGTTTCATGATAATATAGAGAAAAAGATGACTCATTCTAAATGAGGAACTGGTATTTTTTTCATTTTTATCGCATTCTACTTAAAGGTAGATGATGGAAATGAAGAGAAAAACTTCGGAGACGGAAAAAAAGAAAGAAAAAGCATTTTTTGGGAGCCGAACGAAGAATGATTCAAACAATGTAGTTAAGTGTATGTTATGAGTGATGTTCAAGACAAATATCAACTTTTTTTTATAAGAATAATTTTTATAGGATGGACAGTATTTTAGTTGAAATTTCTATAATTAGAACATGTATTCATGTACATGGTTTTTCGAATGAAAGAAGGTAGTGCGGCTACATTTAAGTATACAAGCGAAAAATATCATAAATAAGATAATGTTCGACGTCATCGGCAAAATCAACGAAAAACAATAGAATTTATATGTTTATCCTTGTTGTTGTCACCGTCTACGTTAAATATATGTGAAATAAGAAGAAGCAATTTCTTTTCATCAGACACATGTGTTTACTGAGCGTATAGATGAAGTCATTAGTTAATATCACCACTTTTTTTTACTCTTTCTTAATATTTGGTAAGCACTTTAAAAAGACAATTTAATTAAGAACAGAACTGTTCATGCCTGGTTCTCCTATTAACATCTTGATGGTGACGGATTCAATTCTCTAAACAGTTAAAGAAACAACAATAACATAGTGTAGTTATGAATGTATCATTTTTGTTGAAAGAAAACTTGTTGCAAAACGTATGGTACTTTTTTTCCGGCAATAAATAATTACTAAATTAGAGAGAAAAAGTATTGTAGAAAATAAAAGAAAGAGAATGGTGATAAAAATTAGTCAAACATTCATAAAATATTTTAGAAACTAAAGAAATACAACATGTGTTGGCTAATATTTATTTTATCGTTATTTTCTGTTTGTAATTCTATTCTTATTACGAAAATAAAAAATAATGTAATAATTGGTATTATGTATAATAATTTATTCAATATAACAGAAAATCAATGTATATGTGAAATGATAAAAGTAAATGATTCAATATCTGCTTTAAATTATTTTTCAATAAATCAAACTTGTCAATTATTTCGTTCAAACGCTAGTACAATTTATATTGAATTTTATTCAAATTCTACTTTTATATTTCTTAATCAATCATCAATAACAATACTGAATATTCAAGAGTATCGTAAGTTTCCATTTCGCAAGACTACAAAAATATCCTAACTATTTATAGACCCAAACTCCAATAATTTAAATGAATTTGATGTTGATGCTTTTTTAAATTCTGAAAACGGGGTCATTCACAAAAAATGAACTAGATTAGTGGATCGAGAAGTGCTAGATTCTTAACAAAGCTTTATCCAATTTTCTTGTTTCATACTAATCTCATTTTTTTGAAATAGAACCGAGTACGTCATCATCAACACCGACAACAACCTCAAATACATCAACATCAGCTACAACATTAGTAAACCCATGTAAATGCGAAATAGTTTTATACAGTTTCGATTAACTATTAATCGCAGTTATGAGTTATAACCCTTTCTAATTGGTAATAAATGGAAAATAAGATTTTTTTGCACTAAATTCTTTCAAAGTGTTTGTAGACTTAGAAGCTTTCTGGTAAAAATATCTGCAATGTGCATATTGAGATGAATAGATATGATGGAAGATAATCTATTTATGGAATGTCTACTGAAACATTGTTGTTTTATTTTTAGGTGCATCAGGTGGCTATCGCTGGAATACAACAGGCATAACTATATTAAATTCAACACAAATAACACACGCTGCTCATTTATTTTTCGATTCAAATGATACATTATATGTCGTGGATGAATATGCGAATTCTGTTATATGGAAATTGCCAAAAAATGCTGTCAATCCCATACTCGTAGCTGGACAAGCGCTTTCAAGAGGTCCCAATTCTAGTCAGTTGAATCTTCCTCAAGCTGTTTATCTTGATTCAGGACAAAACTTGTATGTGACCGATTATTATAATTACAGAGTACAAAAATATATTAATGGATCAAACATTGGAATGACAATAATTGGTATAAACGGAACGGCAGGTACAGCATCGAATATGCTTGGTGGTCCCCGTCATCTTTGTTTCGATTCAACAGAAGCGTATATGTATATTGCAGACAGTGACAATAATAGAATTTTACGTTTTCAGTCGAATTCAACAAGTGGTACTAATGGACACATCGTAGCTGGAGGAAATGGAGCTGGAAATGGAACTACGCAGCTAAACTATCCATGGGGAATACAATATCTTTCATCAGTAAGCAGTTATTTCTACATAACAAACTATAGTGGACATACAGTAATGCAATGGGCGCCAGGCAATACGTCGGGCAGTTTCATAGCCGGTACGCCCGGTGTATCAGGATCAAATGCTACACTTTTGAATAATCCAATAGGTATTAAAATTGATACCTATTTAAATATATTTGTTGTTGACTATGGAAATTCACGCGTTCAATTGTTTTGTAATAATAATCAGACGGGTACTACCATTATTGGTACTGGTACCGCTGGTGCCAGTGCGAAACAACTCAATAATCCAAGAGGCATCGCATTTGACTCATTGATGAATATGTATATTGCCGATTCTGGCAACCAACGCGTGCAAAAGTATCTAAAACTCTGAACCCTATAACTTGTATATATATTATCATTTTTCATTTCATCTCTCAATAAAATACTTATTTTGTTCTCAAACTCTAATTTGTTTTGTGTGAAAATTTTTTATATTAAATATTATGATCAAACATATTTCGACACGAAACTATTGTTGATGGAACCATTAAGTAAGGCTGAGTGTAAGACGAATATTTCGAAAACGACAACAGATAATAATATAAAGTTTTTATCAATTGAAAGAGAGTAGAGTAGGATGTTTTCTTTCTATGTTAGATATTGTATTTTTAGTAAAAAAAAAGTTTACAAATCATCTATTGTTCTTCATTGTGATTTATTGTTTCAATGGTATTAACATAATCCTTCAATATGGTGGCTAACAAAATAAAACAATCGTGTCTTTGATTATATACTTGCAATACTACTGAAAACCACTGCAACTAGATTTGGATGAGTTTACAGATATTAATAAAAATTATAGAGAAATTTGGAATGCTCGATGAATTGATAACTATTCTCTTTACATATGTTCAATGGTTATTAACCGGATTATCAAAAACGTTCTCATTTGCCAGCATATCGTTTAACACTTAAAACATTTTTAGAAAGTCTTTTATTTTATGAAGAAAATGGCTCTATTGGTGCAGAATGATCAGTAGTTGCGGTAACTAAAAGTGGATATCATATTTTTAGAAAACTATTTTGATCTAACATGTTTAACGTCTAAAAATTCTTATAATTACATATGGTGTGAAAAAACATATAAAATAACTTTTACTCAGCATTCGATAGAAATTACTATTGTAGAATAAAAAATAGTTAATAAGTATTTCCCTTTTTCTAGATATTAACAAAAATAAACCTTAGCTGAACTTGACAGTTTTTTCAGTAATCAAGATTTCTTCAAAATAATACAGTCTTAGCTGAGGTGTACATATCTTTGCTGAACACTCACACACTTTATGAACTATTATATTGTTGTTGTTAGCATGTGTTACTAACAAAAAAAGATTTACAAGTATGATTTATTTGGTTGAAATGAAAGAAAACGAGATACTTCTGACAACTAATCTGCCCACGGTATTGTCCCAAAATCCGGAGAAAAAAATTCGGAAGAAAAAATCCGGAGGAAAAAATCCGGAGAAAAATAAATCCGGAAAGAAAAAATTCGGAGGAAAAAATCCGGAGAAAATAAATTCGGAAAGAAAAAATCCGGAGGAAAAAATCCGGAAAATTTTTGAAAAAAGATTCAACAGTTTATTTAACAAAGAACTATGTACAAGAAAGAAGAGAAATCATTTGATTTGAAGAGAAGTAATGTGGTTCACTTTTTAGTAGCCACCAATAAAGAAAGTCCCACGAGATACTCATCACGATCGATCTCATCGCTCTCGGAATGTTTGGCATGTAGGACTGTGAAAGCTCAGGCTCAGCTCTTTCGAACTGCAACTGTCACATTCCTATTGACAAGAGTATTGACTTTAGTTAGATGGTGTGAATAAAGTATGGACACAACACCCATACTCTCAAGGTGCACGTCTGTGTGTATTTGCTAATAGAAGTGCAGAGCACAGTACAGTAGAAGGGCACTCGGTAGACGATAATCATGATTGACGTAGACAACCATAAACATTTATGAAAGAATATTATCATTCTCTTCTTCTAGAACAATATCAGAAATTTTCCGGATTTTTATTCTCCGGATTTTTATTTTCCGGATTTTTGTTTCCGGATTTTTTATTCTCCGGATTTTTCGCTCTCCGGATTTTTATTTTCCGGATTTTTCGTTTTCCGGATTTTTACTCTCCGGATTTCAAGACATATTCCTGCCCACCATAAGTAAAAGCTTGAATCAATAACTTTAATTGAATAATCATTTTCCAATATTTAATCCAATGTGGACTTGCTACTCGAATACATAATGAGAATAAATGAAGAGTAGCATCATTAATTTCTGATAAGAGATAATGAGCTGTGGCGTCAAGTGATCGATCAGATAGACCAAGTGAAATGTATTGAACTCGAGGACAAAGATGAATTAATACTTCCATCATTTTCTTCGTATAATTAGATTGAATAATGATCATTTTAACTTGATTTTGTTTCGATACTAATTGATAAGCTTTACTTTCTTGAAGTGAAAGTAAATCTTTTAGAGTATTTTTTATAGATATCCATGTAACTGTATGAAGATTAGGTGTCAATTGTAATAGATTGATAAATATATTCAATTCATAAAAAATATTATTCATCGTTAACTTAGTCAGTTGTACTAGAGAAAAAATACGACGTAGGTCATCCATTAAATATGATTTTCTTTGTATAATATCTTTATCATGGAGAGTTAGTTCAGTTATTTTTGGAAAATATTTCGAACAAATGGGAAGTACTGCTGCACTGTTGACAATAATATGTTGAATAAAATTGGAATCTGTTTCTTCATGACATTGAGATGTGGTCACATTGAAGTTAGAACCCAATTTAAAGAATTTATTTCTAAAAAACGAAAAAATGACATTGATATTTATTTGCTAATAATTATTACCTGTGTGGCTGAATAGAACAGAATATCTCATGCAAATATTCTTTCGACATCGGCTTACGAGTAAAGAATCGTTGACATAAACGTGATATCTTCGAAAAAGGATAACCATAGATAGACTCATACATCTCCATCATTCGACTAAAGAATGCTAATGTTGAATCGTTCAATTCAGAAGTATATAAATGTAGTATAAACGAAAGAATTTTTTTTTTTAAGTATGTGTGCATGTCGAGCTTCAAATTGATGAGACATGTAATATGTTAATACGATGAGAATGTGTTTTAACAAATTCTTCAATACTTATTGGTGACACAAAATCTCCAGTAATCGATATATGTGTTAAATCATGGAATATTACTAGACATAATAGTATATCTCGCATACAAGATTGATTGTGATATCTAACAGATAAATGACGAATTCGAGGAACATATGATAAAATAGTATGAATGTTAGATAGATCATAATTAACAGAGATAACAAGGCGCTCGATAAGGCTTGATGAATTCGTAGACAGAGGTAGTAATTTTAAGGGACTACAGTCTCGAAAAATCATTTTACAATATTTTAATACTGGTAATTGAAATATAAGTTTGTAGATTGTAATTTTATCAGGCAGATAATTAACACAAATGGATAATGATGATAGATTAGGCAAATATACTGCAGTTGCAAGAATTTTTTTTAAACACTCACATTCTATGTTGCTTAGAGTCAGTGTTTGAAGTTGAGAGCATTGTGTAGTATCTTCTGTTAGTGATACAAAGAAATCATCGTAATAACGTTGAAATGTTGTTTTTGATGCCGATGGCATTCCTACTTGAATCGAAAGATTTGCATGTTTACAAAGATTTTGAAATCGTATATTGAGATGAAAAAAACTTTGATAAATTTGATAAGTATCAAGATTGTTAAAAACTTCATAGATAAGTTCATTTGCTAGATCTTCAAAACGGGTTACAGAATATTTTTCATAAGAAGTACGTCGGAACTTTTTCATTTTATTATCATCTGTTGTTGAACATTGATTTCGTTTATTTTCATTCATTATCTAAAAAATGATTGTATAATTCTACTTGTTAACAAATATTTTTATACTAAGAAGAATAAAAAAGTAGCATTCAATAGAAATGAAAAAAAAGATTATGTAAAATAAATAGAATGTTTGAGATAAAGAGATTATTGCCATTACTATCAAAGATAACGTTTACCAATGATTATATTCATGAAACAGTACTTTAAGAATTTGGGCAATAAAAAGCGAATAATTATGATTGAAGATTATCAACATGTTTCGAGTGTCAATTTTTACTATCTGAAACAAATATTGAGCAAATCTTTGTGATTTTTATATATTTAGTTTGATAAAAAGGAATAATAAAGTATAAATATATGCGGAAGAACATTTAATATTTTAATCATACAACAAAAGAATAATTTTTAAGAAGATTTGGTTTAGTCAATGGCGTATGGTTTAGAACGAAAATTGAAGATAATCAGTTTAATAGCATTGAGAAATCTTGAAATTCGACATAAAAAATAGAGACGAATAAAAAGATTTACAAAATATCCACTCAAACCACTTATCTCTATAAGTAGTTATGTATTTTATACGATAATAATAAATATTACATGCTAACCTAGTTGTAATATATGACGTTGCTAAGCAAGTAGAAGTATGCTGAGATTGTTTTGTTGCATTCCCTTCATCATTATTATTTATCTTCATGACCAGTAGTTGATTTCTTTTATTCGTATTCATCTTTAGTAGGAAAATATTTATATACTGAATATTACACGTGAATTTCATATGTTTGTGCAATTATACTTCGAACAGAAAAGAAAAAAAATTCTTCGTAGCAACTCAGAGAAAGAGAAAAATATTATATTCAGTGAGCATGCATGATGAATCACAATTGGTAGTAACTCACAAACAATTTCAAATTATGGCGTATTAAAGAAAAAAGATGTTTTTTCTTATACTGCAAAGATGTGTAACATAAGGATATTGATAAACTACTGTATTCAAAAAGAAGTACATTTTGAGGATTTAGATGAAAATGATAGTATGATAAAAGTAACAGTCACATCCTCAAAATTATTCTTATTTGTTTTTCACTACATCGACAAATTTGCAAGTAGCTGGTAACCGAATGACCCTAGTAGTATCTATAGTATGAACAATACAAGAAAAGAGGAAAAAAATCAACAGATATATCGTAACCAGCAGATACATAAGAGTGAAAGATCAATATATTGGATTTAATCCTCAGAAAAATCAATTGTAAATTATTAAATAAAATTCGCAGTGTATATATGAATGTAAAGAAAAATGTCAGATTTGGTTACAATGGTCCTAATACATGATACGTCGATGGACGAATAGCACTATTTATAAAATAAACTAAGAAAACAAGCATTTCTAGTTGTTAGCAAATAAAATTTATTTGAAACTTAAATCACAATTTTTTATAAGAAATTGTCATGAGTATCGAATGGTAATAGTTTGATTTTCAATCATTCTGAGGATAGGTACCCTTATGTGATTGAGTATTGAATAGCTAAATCGATCATGTCTTTGTTACTCTCATAAAAATCTGTATAGATGAGAAACATATTAGAAGTCGCTCTGGCTGACTGCATATCTTCGATGATACTCTTACGTCTTGCAATCATGTTTTGTTGAACGTAGATATCGTAAAGCGACATATAGCTGAGTTGCAGATTATTCATGTTCTCGATTGCCAATGCAATCTTAAAAATGTCGAGCACGAGCATTTTCATGATTGGATCAAAATCTGCGATAATATTGTTGACGATAATACTTGCAGCAATTACATTTGTCGGTGTGAGTGTCATATAGATAGCCGCTGGTGCCGGAATTCCTCCGGCATGAACGTAATTAGCTGTCTGGTTGCTGATCACTACTTCAATAGCATCAGTGTTAGTATAAAATCCGTACAATGTATTACTGCCTCCATCAGGGGAAGAATAAATTGAAGAGGAGAAGAAAGAGTTGACATCGGGATTGATAATGTCATCAATTACAATGACGATGCGTGAGCAATCACTGTTAACGAGCTCTCCATAGCTGTATCTCAACAAATTTCCTGGATATGCAACTGGTGTAATGGCAAATCCGTCACGTAGAAAAGGATTAAGAAGTAAGGCAAGAAGATTGATATATTTCTGATTAAATCCATATGGATGCCCCAAAGTTATGTACACTAGTTCGCCAGTTGTGCCACGCAAAAACTTCAAAACTTGCGCTAGAACGTTCGATAGGGAAGGCCCTTGTAGGATATGTGCAATGTAAATATCGTTTTCGAACACGCTCAAGCGTAAATCGAGCGCCCGATTTCCATCAATCAATTGAGAATAAATGTCTTTCGTAGTGCACTCATTGACAGCTTGAACACCATTTGCAAATAATCTAGCAATGTGATCAAGTGGTTGACCGATCATAGAAGCGATGTCACCAAGACAGTTGTACAGAGTTGTAAACGGTGGTCCATACGAATCGATATTGATAAAATTATTAGACAAATTATATGCACCTGATCCATGTGTTGCCACTAGGGATATGTCACCCAATGTCTTATGTGAAATTAATGACGCATGATCTGTCATCCATGTTGTATAGTTAATTTCTTGGGCACCAGCTGTAAAGATCCATGCAAATAAGAAGACGACACGAATCATTGTTAGTTCAGTTACTTGATTGATAATGTGAGATAAAGACACAGTTAACGACTGATATGATCGTAACGTAAAAATATTGATGAATTAGTAAATGAAAAATGAATGATGATGTTGTATATATGTATTGAGATAACACTATAGCACTTCGGTATATAGTATGACTCCACAGTATAACAACTACTTTCTAACTATCTGTCTACGTTTTTTTCCGCCTCTTTTTATATCCATCCACTATTATTCACCATACAAGGAGATAGACAGTAGACATAGACAAGGTCTGAACTACAAAGACAAGAAGGATAACATAACACATCCAAAGTACACTATCACAATAAGATATATGAAGGATAGATAAACGAAATAAATGAAGGTTAATATAACGAGATATATAAATGTTTTATATTACCTATATCATATTTAACGGATTAAAACAAAAAGGAAATGGAAGGGAGAAAAAAGAAAAGAGAACAGATTATTTTATAAACTAGAGATCATCATCAATATGGGTACCATGATTAGGGTGTGGGTTTGTTTGAAGGAGACACAATCACCCACACCCACATCCTATCTATTTATATTTATTTGATGGGTATCATCAAAGTTAAGTATAATTCATTTTTATTAGTCTTTTAGCTCGTTCTTCGTAAATGCCAAACATTATAATATTTATATATACAATATTAAGTAATGACATTTTTGAAAAAAGTGACTTTAAAGAAATAAAATATGAAATAAAGAGATAGCAGTAGTCAATCTTAAACAATCAATATCTATGAAACTTATTTGTGCGTTTGTTTATACTGAACAGTGAAAGTAACGTGTAGAAAATAAGTTGATTTTATCAAAGTGTTTTATATCATGAGAAAATCTTTTCAACACGTAAGTGTCCAATAGAAGAAAAAAAATTTGTTGAAAAGTTTATTCTTTGATGAAAAAAACTAAATGGTATTTAATGTACGTGTAAGAAAGAAGATAGTTAATCGATTCTGATGAGACTACATAGATGTATAGATATCGTTATTTTTTCGTGGCACTCTTGCTCGTAGTCATCGCACTCACTGATCGTTACAACTACCATCAACTTATATGGTCGAAAAATCATTGTCATCGTGTACTATCTATACTCCTATACCATCAACATTGTAAGTATTCTCTCTAACACGCTATATTTCTCTATTTAAGTTCCTGTTATAGCAACAAAAGAATATTATCATTATTACAATAGTTAACAAAATAAAACATATTCAATTAAAAGGAAGTCACTGATCCATTGAAGATACTGAGCCGTTGATGGTGCTGATAATTCATAGATGATCATACTTATTGATTCTATACTAAAAGGTGTGACTGGACTCATATAATATCATTATTTAAGATCGATACGAAATCGGTTTTGTGTTTCATACGAAACGAATACATAAACAAAAAATAAGTGAAGTTGCGTAAAAATAAAGTTTATAGATAGTTTCAGTATGAATTTTATATTTCGGCGTATATATCACTTAAGTTAAATATCCAAAAAGAGATCTTTGTTTTATTATTTATAATATAAACTCGACCAACAGTCATATTAACAACATTTCCGAAGATAAATATAGTTTTGATGAGATAATAGTTTCATTTTTAATTAGAATCTGAAAGTCAACATTCTCTTTGAAAATAATCGGAATTGAGTTATCTTGTAGAAATATAAGTTATTCATTTTTGGTAATTTAAAAAATAATTTGTTTTCTTCAATCGAAATCTATGAATTAGACTTCTTATCAAAGATGATAAAATATACTTTTTCATAGAAAAACTTTATTTAATATTTATATACTATTTCATAGTTGCATTTTCTTAATTAGAATATTGAAAACATATGAAAATCAAATCTATGTTATATTTCACCCATTTTTCGGAAGGAAGAAGAAACGTATATTGCTATTCGAAACGCAAAATCAATAAAAAATGATGCCTTTTGAAAGCGATTATGTGCGTATGATTATCTTCTCTCAAACCAGTCACCTAGTAAGCACACTTTTCTCATAGAATACTTGCTATCATTTGTCTTGCTTTCTTTCTTTTCTAGCAATGTATATATATTTATGGATGATCACAAGAAGTTGTTAGCTAAGCAAAACTTCGCTAATAAGAAAAACGTGATTATTACAACATCGGATTCATTTGTGAATATAACTTCAAGCAAGACAAATGCTGCTAATTTCGAACTATTCAGACTATTTCGAAAAAGATACGGTAGTATTGATGCCCATCACTATTATTCAAAGAAAAATGAACGCTTATGCGTCGCGTTCTGGAAAAAATACGAAAGGGTACTTCAAATATTAAGCAAAATGGCACGTCGTTATGGATGCGTATCAGCTAGCTCAGTGCCTAGTGAAAGTGCCTTCTCTATTGCAGGATATATAGCTCGTAAAACTCGGTCATCTATTACAGCTCAAAATCTTAAATATTCAATGTTTCTAAAAGATAAGATTTATTTTGTTTTTCTCTTATTTTACTCTCCTCTTGTTGGTGACAAGTCAGTGTGTAAAAATAAGTAACAATAAACTTTGATGCCCTAATGTATTTTTATTTTGTGAAAATACTAAACAACTGCTGCGCACATTGATGCTAGTAACAAAGTTTTTTTTTGTAATGTATCCTATTTATTTGTGTTTTCTTCTGTTGAAATAAAGTGAATAAAATATAATTATACATGTTGAAGGTGGGTGTGAACGGGCGTGGTTGATGAATGAAATGAGCAGCCATATTCACCTTCAAGATACTGTTATCATGAAAAAGTATTAAAAATTATGTTGCCAACTTTGAAGTTTGATCATAATATGCAACTAATTTAACATTTAAACATGGTCCTCCATCTACATAGATAAATGCTAGGATCGACTACCTTAATAGTTTTTGTTATAGAGATTATTTTCGGCTATAAAGGATTTATTTTTCTATTAATATTTTTATTCGTAGGAGAGGTCTCACTGATCATAACAAGAAAGTGGGTGTAATGGAAGGTAATTCTCACTCACATCCATCCCTTTTTATTTTCAATTCATAATAAATTATCAACAATAATAGTATCTGTTTATTTTAGTTCAAATAAATTAGATTGATGAATATGATGGAGTGCTTCAATTTAAATGTGTTCTCTTTGTAGTTAAGAATAGGCTTACTCTTCTGCAAGTTGACATCGTATTCACGGAGCTATACGTTAATCGTGACGTGAGATGACGTTTCTGGGTAAGCGCGCTCGTACGTAATATCTAACGTCATAAAAAGGATAGATAATTACTCATATATTGATTCATCCAAAGAATGGATTGATAGGCATTGTCTATTGACTCATAATTATATAGGCTTTGCATGAATGATTCGATGACGCTTTTCTTATATGAAGAACAAACGAATAAATACGACGAATATATCTACCCATTAGTAACATTCTTTTTTTTTCGACGACAATTTAAACAAATATTTATACAATATGCATCATCCATTTCTTGACATGGCAATAGTCGGTGCTGTTGGTTTGGGTGCTTATGAATTGTGGCATCATCATCACTACGGCAATTTTGGTTTTGGAAATCCGTATAACCACGCTGGATTTGGTGGCTATAGTAATCCTTATGGATATAGTGCGCCCTATGGATTTAATCATCCTCATCATCATCATCATCACGTTCTTTAACAATAAATAATGTTAACTATTCTTGATTTTCTGTTATTTTTAACGATATTATGTCTATTCTAATAAATTGTAATTCCTTCTGACTATACATTTTGATAATCGACAATAATCATGTTGCTTCGAATGTTATATACACATTACTTTTGTCTCAGCATTCTTGCATCAGTTTTTAAATTTCTACAATATATTTCGTATCGAAAAAATTCGCATTTTCATATCAATCATTAAACTTTATTTCTGAATCCAAAATCTATTTATATTACTACATGGTGAATATATTTTTCACTAATTGAACTTCAAAGTTTTAGTGTATTGAAATTTCAAAATATTTCTTATTTTGTTTTAAGAATTTTAAATCTAAAAGTCGAGTTTTATTCAATTTTATAAAACAATGGTGCGTCTGAGTTATTTAAAACATTTCATTTGTTCCTATTATAAACAGTATTTCTATTCATAATCATTATGTATCTTCAGTCGACAAGAAAACAATCTTGTTCTAATTCTGTTTGCTTTGTGTGTCATCATCATAAAATAGTATTTCACAACGATATCGTAATTACGTTTGGGTTTTTTTCCGTGTGGATTAGTATGTTATACTATTTCGAATTATTGAGAGTGTGGATGTGTAGATGTAGATGTACAAACAAATGAAACGCCAATATCTACACCCACGCTCCTGTTATTTTATACGAAACAAACAATAATTCTTAGATTTTTATATAAAATAATCTTATCGAAATTGAATTTTTTTTGTTTTTCTGTAATTGCATCATATGACAGAGTGTCTTGTTGATTTATGATATGACGACATTTATTTCGAAAGAAAAATCTTATCTTCCGACTTTTATTTACTTTATATATCATATAAAAATGTTAGTAATATTGCATTTGTCTATACTATTCATATTTTCAAATGACTTCGACACAACTATATACAGTACCAATTATTCCGGACGGTTTACGTCGTGTGGAACTAATTAAACAATTTGCTGATACATTCGATTATTTGGATTCCATATCACAAGACATATTTAATCGTATATCTAGTCGTCTTAATGTTTATCGTGCAGAAGTAAATCAATTCGATAAACAGATTCAACATTCAGATGAACATATCAATCATATAAAAGGTTCGAAATATCCTATTCAAGTCCATTCAAGTGCACGTTATCCAATTGAACAAAATCGTTCTATATTTAAATCAATATTTGAATATGATACAGATAATAAACCATCTGTATTTCATTATGATTTATTTCATTCAAATGAATCCGATGAGAAATATATAAATTCAAAATCGAATGATGATACATTAATTGTTTTGAAACAATATGAAGAAAATTTTCTGCAAAAAACCAGAACAACTAATTTAAACGATTTTGGAAGATTGCCAACGAATATTAAATCGGTTATTTCATTGCTTAAACATAATACAAAAGAAAATCTGTAAGTAATCAACAAAATAAAACTGATTCTCATCTAATTCTTTATAGTTATATACAATCAACAAAAAACGATTCATTAAATACTGCTACTCGAATGCGTAAACAAGTTGATGAATCGATTCATACACGTAATGGTTTTATTGAAAATCCATCACCTCTATTTTATGAACAAATGTTCGAACGTTCAGCCATGGCTGATATAAATTACAATCCCACGTTAGGACTTGTACCTGAATTGTCTCTACCTGATAATTTACCTGAATTGGATAATTACGCGACTTTTGCTGATAATACTGTCATCGGTCAGACAAAACAGCAAATTGTTTCTATTGCACCTTCATTTTCTGATTTAATATTACCGGATATTATTGATTTAACATCAACTACTATAACAGCTTCTCCAGTTCAATCTCCAGAGCCAACAGGTAAATATTTTACTGTAAAAATTAAAATAAAATAATTTCATTTTCTAATTGAGTACCTACGTTACTACTAGTCGATATACCAACAATCATTCCTGATCCACTTCCTTCACCAGTACCAGTAATTGCTCCACCATTATTGCTTACAGTTCCTTCAATATCAATACCGGTAACAGCTGTTGAAGAATCACAAGCAACAATTATTCCTACAGTGGATGATAATGATAATGATAATCCCTTATTGATACAGATACGTAATTTTTCGACAAAAAACAAACTTACACCTGTTACAAAGTCCAATGCAGCTGATAAAGTACCGTCAGCAAGTTCAAATATTACTACAGTGGATGGTAGTGATAATGATAATCCGTTATTGATACAGATACGTAATTTTTCGACAAAAAACAAGCTTAAACCTGTTACAAAATCCAATGCAGCCGATAAAGTACCACCATCAAGTTCAAATATGATGGTCGATATAAAAATAGAAATAGAGAAACGACGTGAACTTATTTTACGAAAGCAAGAAGATGATTCGGATGATTCAGATGACTGGAATGGTGATTTTGATTGAATCAATAATTTATTAACCCTTTTTACGATTTTTTTATGTTGATTGTAAACATATAAAACTTATTTATTTTTCTATTGAAATACATGTATTTTCTTATTTCTATTCCGAATGAAACACGTAGTTGAACATACATTTTCATCGTTTTCTTGAGGGTGTGGGTGTGGGTAGCTGAGTAAGAATATGATGTAATTACTGTGCATACCCATACTCTGATTTTATGATAACAAAATATATGCTTTAAATAATTGAATTATACCAACAAAACTCCCAACTTCTACATATTAGAAAAGATAACGATTATTTAACTATGATAAAATATATGTAAAAGACAAGAGAATAGTTTAAATATTATTTTTTTTCTTTTTCACTTAGAATTTAGTTGTTGACTATATATAAAATAAGGCGAACATATCAAAGATCTTTCTATTGATTTAATTTGATTAATTAATTAATGGCTGCATCAACTCTCTTCAATGATAAAAAACATCTGAGGGTGGGTGTGGGTGTGGGTGAGATGAATACGAAATTTACGCCAATACCCACCTATACTTTTCAGCAGACTCATTCGATTGTCACGTATTCTTATTTTGGAGCGCGATCTTTAAAAATAAGCGTCGTACATCTTGTTAAATAATACTCTACCAAGCGTGACAATAGACTTGTGTTGATCAGTACGAAAAGGACTTACAGTTTAAACGATAATTACTCAACAATCATGATTCATCTCATAACGCACCAGCACGACCTCGGAAAGTTCTTTTTTGAGAGGAAGCAACAGAAGATATACGCTGTATATAAGATGAATTTTTAAAAAGATTTGTCAGGAATGGGGATCGAACCCATGCTCACAATTGTGAATTGAATCCTAAGTCCAACGCCATAACCACTCGGCCACCCTGACATTCTTTATAGATATCTTTCTAGATTTTCATTCGACTATTTTTTTCGTAGAATAGTCACAAAAAATACCATATAGATTCATGGGATCAGTTCTTATGAGCTACGCTCTATGACGCTGTTGGGATAATTGTGGGTGTGGGTAGCTGAGTAATAATATGATGTAATTACTGTGCATACCCATACTCTGATTTTGTGATAACAAAATATACTGTAAATAGTTGGATTACACCAACAGAACTTCCAACTTCTACATATCAGAAAAGGTAACGACTATTTAACTATGATAAAATATATGTAAAAGAAAGAGAATAGTTTAAATATCATTTTTTCTTTTGTACTTAGAATACTAGTTGTGGACTATATAAAATAAGTCGAAATTTATTGAAGATCTTTCCATTGATTTTGTTTCATTAATTAATTAATGGGTGCACCAACTCTCTTCAATGATAAAAAACATCTGGGAATGTTTTCTCTCATTTGGCTAGATCAAAATGCTAATCTTAGTCAAGATATTGAGCAATCATCGGAACAGAATCGTTTAATTCTTATTGTTAATGATGAATTTGGAAAAATCATAGTACTTCGTATTCATTATATTAATAAACTTCTATCGATCTATATTTATTGTTCTGATAATAATACAGAGAAATAATGGTCATCAAAATTTCAAAAAGTAAAAATTTCTAAAAAGCAATGCTAAATTTAATTTCTTTCCTTCGACTAGATTAAAAGCATTGTTGTTGATATAGATGAACTTATTAGTGAAATAAAAAAAAATTTTCAAATTCAAAGAAAACTTGAAGAATCATTTTCAATCAAGAACACGATTAAATATTCCATTTTTATTTTTACAAATATTTCTTGATTCTCTTCTTAAATTAAAATCAAATGAAAATGATGAAAATAATTTAATTTATTATCTTCAACATGAATATCAAAATAATCCAAATGAATTAAATAATATTCAAGAATTTAAAGAAAATTATTTATCTAATAAAGTTTTATGGTGGTATAAGAAAAGAGATTTCTTTTTTTCTTCAATATTAAATGCTTCGTTAAAAACTGAAAATCTTTCAATGATGTTTTTATTTCGTTCATTTCTATTTGATATACAAGAGCAACTAAGAAAATATCAATCAAAACAACGTTTGAAAGTCTATCGAAGTCAAATCATGTTACTTAATGATTATTTTTATATAAACAATGTAATCAGTTATTTATCAATTAATTCATTTTTATCTACAACTATTTTTATCTACAACTACAAGTTATACCACAGCATGTTCACTTATTGATCAAATGGATATTGGTTCTCAATCTAGGAAAGTTATTTTTGAAATCGATGCTGATCCAAATATTGTAACAAGTAAACCATTTAGTGATATAAGTAAATTGCATAATCATTCAGAAATTTTGTTTATGCCTGGATCAATATTTCGTATTGATAAATGTTTGTATGAGTGAAACGGACTAAATATTATTCAAATGACTTTATGCAATGAAAATGATTTAAAGTTAAATGAACGAATCGGTAATGATATGACGAATCCCAGATTAATAGGGAAAATTTTATCTAAAATGGGTAAAAATGATTTAGCTGAAAAATATTTTCAACGTTTGATTGAACAACTATCAACAAATGATCCATTATTTGCCAATCTATATGAAGATCTTAGTCAAGTATTATCTCAAATAGGAGATGATCAGATGATTTTGAAAAATATGACTTCTTCGTTTTTTTGTTTTGAAGAAAATCTTCTCTTTTTAACTTTATTTCCCATGTGGTATTTGTGTTGCTGATTGTGGAAATCATCGTATTGTTTAATGCAGATTTGGTACAAATGATTGGCAAGTTGTTGCTGGTGGTAATGAAGAAGGAAATAGATTAGATCAACTGAAGAAGCCAATGGATGTTGTGGTTGATAAAAGAACTAATTCTTTGATTATTTGTAATCTCACGTAATAACGGTCAAACTGGAAAAGTGATTATTGCTAATATTCATTGTAATGCATTAGCAATGGACAAAGATGATAATCTTTATGTTTTAGATACTATGGAACGTGAAGTGAGAATATTGAAAAGATGAAACGATGGAGAAACATTTATTACAAGTGAAAATGAAGATTGTATTCAATTTAAGCAATTATAAGACCTTCACTCTGTTTTTATTGATGATAATTATTCGGTTTATGTATCGACGTGGTACGGTCGTCGTATAATAAAATAGGAGAAAGGTTTGAAAGAAGGAATAGTCGTTGCTGGTGGTCCAGATGCTTTAATTAAAACGGATTATGCAGAAGGACTATCTGTGAATCATTTAGGTGAAATTTTTGTAGCTGATAATGGTGATCGTAAAATAACATGTTGGTCACCACAATCGAAAAATGTTCGTGTTATTGTGGGTGCAAATGGTAAAGGATATCAACCAAATCAACTCAATTGGCCGAAAGGAATAACATTCGATCGTCAAAATAATTTATATGTTGCTGATAGTTTCAATCATCGAGTTCAAAGATTTGAAATTGATAATAGTTAAATTAAACTTTAGAAAGTAATCTTTTACTACTGATTTATCTAATCAATAGAAATTATTTTCATACAAAGACTTTGTAATTTTTCTTTAATCGATTTATTCGTTCATTTTCATGTAAATTTTGATTCAATCTTTCGAGGGTGTGGGTGTTAACATGATTTTCATGTATACTAGATATTCAGACCTATGCTCACACCCACCAACACCCACACCCTCAAGATTTTTCATATTGTTCAGTAAACGACATTTAGAAGCAAAAAAAGAATTTCAAATTCATTAAACAATACAACTGATTAGTCAATAAAATCTCTCTATCGATTAATAATAAGTGTAGTATCATCATCAATTGCATGACAGAATCCTTCACCCATCAGTACAATATTTGGCATTAAACGAGTAATTAATAATAAAAATGGTGAATCATTTATGTCACATCGTTGAATTTTGATATTAATTTCAAATGTAGATATTGTTGAATATAGAGCAATATCAATAATTGTTTCTTTTCTTGGAATATCGAATTGGTTTTGAACTGTGAATTCAGTATTCCATAATGGTAAAATTTGAATATTATAAGATAATGCATGTTGAATTCGAATTCTATAATTCGTCTTCATCGATTCAATTTGAATATGTTCAACAGCTAATTGACGATTAAAACTATCATCAAATGTACAATTTGTTGAACTAAAACATGTTCTTTATATAATTTATGAGCACTTATAATTGAAAATTGATCAAGTATAGGTGATAGAACAAGACCATGATATGTATTAACTGTAATTGATGATTGTTGTGATACAAGTGAAATATCAAGTGAATTATTCATTGAAGTTTCTGCATTATAAATTGATTCTGATATGTGTTTAGCATAAAACGTATTTGGATGATTTTTCGTAAATGGTTGACGAATACAAGCAACAATAAGAACAATAAAAAGACTAATTAAAAGAACAGTTAGTAAACGAAGAAATTGTTTTGTTCGCTGTAATATTGGAAGAAAAAATAACGTGGGAATAACAACAATACTACAAATAATTATATTCCCACGATGTATCCATCCAAATGAAAATCGTAGTGATACAAATGGAATAAAAATACGAAGTATTCGATTGACTATTTCAGTTGTATGTATCAATGGAAAAAAAGATATTAACAATGGTAAATATAATTGATGAGCGTTTTTTTCAAAGATTTGTTTCCAATGAAGAATAAATTCAATAAGAATAAGAATAAGATATAATGGACAAATAAATATTGACCAAACAAGAGTTATATAAAAGTATTGCGAATTAGAATAAATTGAAATAATCATTGATAAACTATAAATGATAAGAATAGAAAATTTTTGTTCAAAATCGAAATGAATTTCATTTGCGTTTTGAGAAGATTTTCGAAGAATACGACGATGTAATAGATCGAATAAATATCGAAAAATAATAAAACCAATTAAACATGGTAAACTAAAAAGAAATATGGCTAATGTTGAATTACCATACCATGAAGCAGGTTGAATTATCGATACAATACATGCTAAAAGCAATGAAAATAGAAGACCAATAATCATAGATAGGATATTAGAAATCGAATATATAATGATAGAAATAATACGAATAATCAATGGATTTTTAAATCGAAAATAAATACAATGAAAATCATTACATGAGAAATTTTGTTGTCGATGATATATATGATCCAAAATAATTCGCATTATACCAATAATAATAATTAATATAATTAAAAGTTGTTGAATTAATATTGATGTTGATAATTTATATATCATCAAATATCGACTAAGAATATCAAAATAAATTAAAGGATCAGGATCGTATTTATCGGCTATCTGCTCATTATTTTCAAGAAGTATATTACGAACTAATATAACAAGATTTTCACCAAGATCTTGAATAACACCTTGTTTAAATGTTGATGGATGATCTAGTGGTGTATGATATGTGTAACCATCAAGATAGAAACCGAATTCGTATCCTAATCGAAAACCATTGTATTTGAAAGCATCATAATCAGTATTAAATCGAAACCACATTGAAGTTTTCTGTAGAATTACATTCGTACGTGGTCTTGTCACTCGACTATAATCCATGACAAGCTACAAAAACAATTCATACAAAATTAATTAGACTGAAAAAAATACCTGTGATGATGTTGTTCGCATTAGATTAGCTGGCTCAGTGCAACGAACTGAATCAATATTAAGAAAATGGCGAACATTAGAGCGCCAACGAAGATTAGTAATAAATGCCAGTGCACCTTGTAATCCTGATTCTTCGGCATTTGTAAATAGTATAATTAAGTGAACATTAGAAAAATCTATTGTTAAATCATTAATTAAATTTGATAAAAGTTCTAGTAAAATAACAACACCTGAACCATCATCAGCAGCTCCAGGACTAAATTCCACTATTAAAACACACAAACAAAGAGTTTTACATTAAATGATTCAATTTCTAAACACACGTACCTGAATCGTAATGAGCACTTAACATTAGACTTGGTATATTTTGGGATTTATCAATTGAATTTGACACACGAACAAGAATATTTTGTAATTGATTGTGTTGAGAATCAGTAAAATTTTGAAGATCAAGTTCACATTGGATATCTCCTTTATTCATTGAACAAATACGTTTTATTTGTAAAATAAGATAATCACGAGCATCAAAATTTCCACGTGTATTACTTACTCTTGAACCATATTGAGTTAAATTAATTAAATAATCAAGAGCACGTTCTTCACTAAATACATGACGTGCAATTGTTCGTGTTTTTACTGTTGCTACAGAATAGGATAGATGATGTGCAAATGGACCAGCAAGAAGTAAAAGACAAATTAATAAAACAAACCATAGAATAAATTCTTTGAGATGTTGATTATTATGGGATTGTCGATGAATTTGATTTGTATTCGAAATTTGGGGTATGAAAACAGTTTCTTCTACTATTTCAGTCATTGATAATTGTTATTTATGATGTGTATGCTCTTTTTATATGGAAGTCAAATATTTATTTATTCCTTTAAATGGTGACATATGCACGATAGATAAGTTTTTTCCGTATATGAAGAAAAAGATAAGAAGTAACAAAAAAAACTCTGAAGAACAGAGAGAAAAAGAATAAAGGAGTATAATAAAAAATTATTTATGACTATTATGCTAATGTTAACATTATCTAGTGATTCATGGGAAAAACTAGAGATATTCTCGGCGCGATACGCACTCAGACAAGAATGGAAAAAGAACGGTGAAATACGCGTAAACATTTAACGACAATACAAATCAAAGAGAGCACATGTTTCCATGAATGCAAAACAAGTTTACTTTCTTTGTAGTCGATGGATGCGTTTAATATGTGACTAAGGTAAAATAAATCGATGTTTTTTTTAATGTCCTCAAACTTCTTTATTCTTCTTGAAAAAAATTACAATTTCTCCTTTACACGTTCAAGATTATCTTTTCGTAACTGTAAAATTGGATCATCCGCTGAAAGTGAACATAGTCCAACTTCAATCGCACGTTCCAGAAATGAACAAGCTTGTGTATGATTATTCATATTTTCATAGGTTACACCGATATTATTGTAAGATTCACCAAAATCAGGATGATTTTTTGGTAATACTTTTTCTCGAATTGCCAGAGCTTTTTCATGATTTAAAAGTGCTTTTGGTTGATCAGACATACGATTATATACTAAACCGATATTGTTATACGATTCTACTAAACCAAGATCATTATCAGGAAGTATTTTTTGTCGAATTTCAAGTGCTTTTTCAAACGAAGCTAATGCTTTCGTACAATTATCAGTATTATAGGACAATACACCAATATCCATTAAAGCAACAACTAAGTCCGGATGATTTGGAGGAAGAAATTTCTGATTAATTGCAAATTCTTTTTCAAAATATGACAATGCTGTAGGACAATCATTCGCAGCAACATATAATAAACCAATATTCCCATAAGATTTCGCTAAATCTAAATGATCGGAAGGAAGTAATTGTTCACGAATCTTTAAAGCTTCTTTATGAGATAAAAGTGCTTTTGAAGAATTGTCAATTTTTGAATAAGCCGTTGCAATACCATAATATAAATTTGCTAAATCAAGTTGATTAATTGCTGGATTTTTCTGATAGATCATTAATGCTTTTTCATAAAATGTTATTGCTTCAGAATATTTTTCTCGTTTATATTCAATCCAACCAAGTTGTTCATAAATCGATGCTTTTTTATTCATATCTTTCGTTTCTTCTAATAGTAACTGATACACTTGTTCAGCTTTATCAAAACGATTCATTTTAATTAAAACTGCACCAAATCGATACCATCCATCTTTCTCTGAATTATTTTCTTGTCGAATGTAATTCATTAATGCAATATGATCTTTATCTTTTTCATTGATAAGACTTAAATGTACTTCTTGAAGTCGATTACTTGATGTTAATCGTTTGATATCATTAATTCGAAATATTGTACCAATTGAAAATAAGATTTCATCTTTGATTTCAGAATAATTACTTGATTGAGAAGGATCAATATTCATAACAAACATAATTCCTACTAAATCACTTCGTGCTGAAATATCTTCTGCAAAATTAAGTGAACCTGTTAAATTCTTATTGGTTAATAAGAAATTATTAAATGAAATTAATCCACCTCGACTTTTTTTTAATTGTTCAAAATCATTTTTAGTTAAACCTTGTCCATAGTAAACTTTAAAATTTGTTGAAGATGATGAATCACTTTTAGATTGTTCGATTTGTTGATGAAGATCAGCAATAAAAAATCCCATACATATTAGAAGATTTCCATTCATTGATCGTAATGCACAGTTAAGCATTGGATTTATGAAACAATGTTTCTTATACCACCATATAGGTGTTTCTTGACGATATTTGTTCTCGAATTCTTTAACATCAATTAGTTCTTCTTCATTATCTGCAAATAATTCACGACAATACGCAGTAAATTCTTTGATATTTTCATCGCCGAAATGACGGGTTAGAATAATTTCTTTAAGGAAATGTGTATATACGAATGAAATATCTAATTGATCGAGATTTTTAGTTGAAGGGATAAAACTAAGTGGTAAAGCATTTTGTTCACAATGTTGAATTGTTTGTTTTAATGTTTCACAGATAAGTGTAGTGTCTGTAAAAATACCTTTGATTTTTGACCAAACTTTAGTTAAAGATTCATAACGTTGTTTATTGTTACAAAAGATATAAATTGAATCAACTTGTGATATATTATGTATACGTGATATAAATTGTTGTCCAACTGATCCGAAGATAACAACACAGGCTTTAAGATCATCAAGAGTTTGAGTAAATTCAATGCATTGATCATTATCCGAAAATGTTACACAATTGTGAACTGTATGTTGTAATTCTGCGATAGTTCGTTGCCAATCTTTGTTTTTAACATCAGTATTGGTGTTTAAACAAATGACGATAGAATTTCGAACTTTTTGACTAATAATACGACGTCGTTCAAGACCATGTTCTAAAGTTGTAAGTGATTGATTCGTATTTTTATTATTTACTGAATTTTCAGCACCCATATGTGATTGATTTAAAAATTCTGTTAGATGAAAAAATGCGATTAACAATCGTTTTTTTACACACGATTTTATTTCTATTCTGTGTTACTATGAAAACAATCGAAAAAAAACGAATTCTTTTTATTGTGTGTTGTTTACAGAAATAAAAGAAGTCATTGAAAAATTTTCTTTACGTCACATGGTAGTGACGTTAAAAGTTGTGAATATATATAGTATTGAATACATAAGAAAGGATGGATGTGACTTGGGCGAAGATGACATTCACACCCACACCCTTACATGTATGCTAGACCAACATTCAATGCTTCTTCATAAGCCTGGATGCTATGTGTCAGCTTATTACGCAGATTGGTTTGTGTGTAAGATTCACGCATGTACTGAACCAGCTGCGACGAAGGCATAGAAGCAACCAAGTGTTGATCCATTTTTAAGGCACATTGCGTAATGAAATGATAGTAACAAGTTTGTGCAATTGTATCAGTCATACGCTTTTCCACCACCTAAATGAGAAAGAAAACTTAATGAATCTTTTATCGAGTATTCTATTTGAAATAGATTAGTTTCAAGAAGCCATAGTGTAAACATAGTCTGTCCAGAATTAGTAGGAATATTTTACTTTGGAGTATGAATGTAGTGCAATTTGAATGTCGTTTGCTGCTTGAGCTTCATTCGATACAGGTGCATAAGCAGTTGTATTCATAGAATTTTTAGCCATTGGAGTTAATGATGCTTTAACTGATGCTTGATGGTCATCACTTTCCTCTTTGTTCTTCTCCTTCAATTTATTTATCGTGTCCATGTAATAGTGATTCAGTGTAAATACACGTCGTTCCGTATCAAGTATTTCCAAGACACGCTCCGATAATTTTTCTTTAACATCGTTAAGCTGTTTAATGACAACTTCTTTTAATCGATCTTTCAGACGACGATAAACGTTACTAAATGCATGCTCGAATAATTGTAGCAAGCATTTGGACATATACTCATGCATCTTCTCTACCAATTCATGACAGCAATCTGGCAATTTCTGCAATTCTTTTCTGAAGAGTCCGACAATGATTTGGTAACTAGGAAAATTTGGTAGAGAAACACCAGCAGTTCGATCAATTTCACGAAGCACGACTTTTTGATAGTTGCTTGAAAAAAAATCTGTAAAGCTATTTCTACATTCCTTTTGAAACTTGAGTTGTAAATGATAAATATGATACGCGATATGATCTTCGTCTTCGTTTGAAAGTGATCCTTCATCAGATTCGAAAAGCGTAAAATTGAAATTGATATCACTGTCGGATTCGTCTTTTACATTCTTGGATGTGGTAGGTACATTGGTGATATTAATCGATGCAACTGGACCGTACTCACCTTTTACATTGTCAGAAATACTCTCCCGATAGATATTAATCATTGATTGAAAAGTAGTCCAACATTCACTTTCTGTATTCATCGAAGCTGGGATCTTTTTCAGTTGAGCCTTTTTTTCAGCTATTTGTTTTCTTAATCTTTTGATAATATCTGGAAATGTTGAACGAATACGCTCTTGTTGAATGGTAGCAAGACGTCTAACTAATTGTTTACTACCTTTGAATTCGTCCGGAAGATGCTCAAATGCTTGTTTATGATCAATAAAGAATTGCTCTTCACGTTGTTTCATCTCGTCGAATGAAATATTCTGATCGATCTCATCTTGATTTCGATTGAGTACTGCAACGCACCCTAATTGAAGTTCCATAGAACCTAAACCACGACCTTGCAGTTTCTCCGCAATACCCTTATCGTATTTGTCGATTTTAGAAACTCCAATTAACTGTCGTTCACATGATGGATCGAATACTTTGGCAAGTTTCATCGATTCTGATGTTGTAAAATCGACTGAAGCTGGAATGACGTGTAATACAATCTAAATATACCAAACATAATCGATTCTTTAAAATGGTAACTGAATTTAACTGTCCGAAAAAAAATAAAAATGTGCTTACCGCGGTAGGTGGCTCAATATATTTATTGATTAAATCCAAAATTTGTTGATGAATATTTTCTGCTTGACCTGGTAATGCATTTCGTGTAATGCCTGGTAAATCAATAAGAGTTAAATCATACAAAATATCACGTTTGTATACAGTTAAATAAATCGGATTTGCACTAACATTGACTCCTTTACCGGCAATTTCCACTGTCAATCGAGTAACTTCATCGGCAATTTTTGTTAGATCATCAAAACGTTTCTCAGTAGTAGAACCAACGGCGCCACGTATTATTGCATATTCCTTGTCTTCAGTTGTTTTCATTCGCAACTCTAATGGACAGCGAGTACAAATATTTTGTGCCCGAGGTAATTGAACACCAGATATAGCTTCCAATACTGATGATTTGCCCACAGATTGGTCACCAACAACCACAATTTCCGGTAGAGTAATCTTTTCTCCATGTAAAAGTTCGCGCATCTTATCAATAGCCGATAAAAGACTACGCGATTCAGCACTATTTAATTGTTCACCTAGCATGATGTCTGGAATTTAATATTGTAATGAACACTGTTGTGGTGTCTATTCTTATTACTGTTATTTATACATCAGTAACAGTGGGAAAAAACCCAGAATTGTTTTCTTATCAGTATAATTACCTGGTTACTAGCGAAGGAAAGAAAAATAATAAAAAAACATCGGCATCGCTGAGTTTCATTGTTGCTTGCTTAAATGTATTGTGTTCCTTCAGTGACTTGACTGATATATAACACTAAATAAATATTACTTTTTTTTACATTCTTTCACTTTATTCGTTCTTTGGGAAAAAGAGAAGATATGCTTGCAGAAACTATATTCTATGTTGAGAGTATTGGGATGTTTCATATTTCTTCTTATTAAGAATCGCATTGATTTCATACTAAGCATACATTTATATATCCATCCACGAGAGACAACGAAAGAACATGAACGAAAAGGACAATAGGGACGAGCCGTGTTAAAGGTGTGGCTTTGAGATGCTGACAATACTCACACTATCTTTAGGGTGTGGGTGTGGGTGAGATATAGAAGATATGCACACATCTTGCCACGTCAATATCAATCGTTTTCATAACCTCAAAAATCATAATCTCGATATTTTTCCGTATAAATTAAAATAAAAAGGGTAAAAAAATGGATGAGAGCGCAAACTCATGACTTACTGATTAAAAAACCGATTGATGAACCGTCTTTGCTAAAGCATCCAATTTAGAAATATAACTTTTCACTTATTCTATTGTATTATGATAGATAACTAGTAGGGATGTCACTTTATCTTTATTTTTCTTTGAATAGATCACAAAAAATGACGATATTACATTATGATTGGTAAATATTCGTGTCGAAATAGTAAACAAGAATAGTAGACTTTCAGATACAAAGAAATTTTTCTTCTAGGATATCACTGTTACTAAAAATAAAATTTCATAATTAGTATATTTGAGCCTGAAATAAATCATGATCAAAATCGAAAAGTAAACAAAAGATTGGAAAAGAATTTGATAAGAGATGCTGAATCCTCCTTGACTGAAACCCATACTCTATATCAACCATTCTGTAGGATCTGTTCTTATGATGAAATTTCAAATAAAAGAAAAATATTTTATTCGTCATTTTAAAATAACCATTGAAAATGTAATCAAGTCTAGATCAGAACGAAAAATATTCGCATTACAAGAGATATCAGTTAATATCAATAACTCATATTAAATATTACCATTTGCAGTCTTAATACATTTTATCCCCATTTAATCTAATTCGATATAGTTTTAAGTATTCGATTATTCTAAATCCTATACCTTATGAAGACTTTATCAATGAGTTATTTATAAATAAAGATTTCAAACTGAAACAACACCGTTTGATTTGTTGATGTATGCCACGTCAACTTTCGATTCATCCAAAACAGTATTTCTGTGTCGGTAATAAATAAAAAAAAATTATCGTTAGTCTGTAACAAAATTCTTCATTGTTTTTCTTATTTACTATATATGGTAATATTATTGTATATAGAAAAAGAATCGACTGATGATTCATCAGTAGAACAGAAAAAGTATTGCCCAACAAACATGACGATTGACGTTATTTTGCTGTTCTTACGTCAACTTATATATATATATAGAATGATAAAAACGAGATATAAAGTAGTCGACGAAGTGTCGAGCTTCTATACACGAAATTTTAACATTTGTTAACAAGATATTTATTGTATATTTCGAAGATAATTTCAGCTGATACCATGATGGGATCAAATGTTTGGATGATAGATAAGATGGAATATTATTTGACCAACGATTTAGAAGCAACACGTGAAGAAATCAATTATCTCAAACGTTTGTATACTCTGAAAACAAACACTAGATCAGATCCAAGAAAACGTGCAAGTGCATTTTTACCATCTACTATTATCGATGATTTTCTCTATCATGGAGATTTCGATCATGCACGAAATATGAATTTATTGAACGAATTAGCTATTAAGCATATTATTAGTGTTTGCAATATTCAATTAGATAAAGAAATTATTGATAATTTCAATGTTTTATGGATCAATATTGACGATACACTTTCTGTAATTATTCGAATACATTTCGATCAAACAAATCAATTTTTACTTAGTTGCAAGGTGAAAGGTGAGAAAGTATTAGTTCATTGTCAAATGGGTATATCTCGGTCGTCTTCAATTGTTCTCGCATATTTAATCAAGTAAAATTCTTGAACGTTTTTCACATACCAATTATCAATCTTTCTTTTTTCTCAGGTACCATCATGAGAATCTAGTTGATGCTTACAATCATTTACTCAATCGTCGATATATTGCTGCGCCGAATTTTGGGTTCTTTCTCCAATTGATTCGATATGAAAAGGCTCTCAACAATGACAAGACAGACAACAAAGATTCTATTACAAAAGGATCATGCAATTGCATGTAGGATTAAGCACACAAATTGTGACAAATTTCATAAACAGTTTTTCGAAGTAAAATTCAACATTTTCAAAACAGATAATTGCAACCTGATAGAAGAAAATAATAAAAAACGAGACATTAGTTCTAACCAACAGTTTTGAAGTAACATAGGACGATGTATTTTAAATATTTTCTATTTTATTTCACCTGTATTTCTCTTTTCACAAATGATGCACTTTATTTGGATCAAACTGACTATTCTGTTCGTTTCTACACTGTCATTTGTAACATATAACGGTGAAATGGTAGTTGAAGAAGATCTGATGTCTTCTTATTCAACATCAATACACTGCTTAAACTAACAGACAATGATATTAATTCATATTGATTCCATGACTATCTAGGTTTTGATGCACGTTATTTCAAGTTATTCTGATATTTATTATGTTGCAAAGAAATAGCAAACAGTTCTATCAAATTCCCGATGAATATATTAGTTTTAATGCTCAACACAAAATAATTGAAAAATGGTTTCAAGAGAGAGCAATACGCCATGAAATTTCTCTTTCAATAATAATGTAAAATATTGAATATCCAATTTTTCATAAACATTTAAAATTTGCAATAAATGATTGATTGAAAAAAGATTTTAAATAAAACAAATATTTTCATTATATGAACATTTTTTCTTTTACAATCACAAAAACATAGTGCTGTTGACTTGAGTATGCGACCCGAACGATTGATGAAAAGCATCGTTGTTTTTTAAATGAAGTTTTCTCGGCTTCATAAATGTCATCCTAATTGAGTATTCTATAACGCACTACTTTTCTCACTATATTGCTCGAGTATATTAAAGAGAACAATTACTTTTACTGATCAGGGAAAAAAAGTGGTACCTAACGGTACCTCAGAACTATCAGTAACTCTCTTCATTCTTGCTCGTAGGAGATGTCAAAAGTATAGGGTGCGGGGATAAGATTCATTCCACAGCCACACCCTCACACGAATCGTCTCATAGAAAGGGGAAATAAACAAGTTTATTTTATCAGCTATGTGTGAAGAACAAACTATGTCGCAAACATTCTACCATTCAGGGACTTTTTATTTTCAACAATGACTCATTACTTGTTCTTCTAACTCTATTAGCTTTGATGAAAAAAAACACTTTTTTTTCATTCCTTTTGCCCACAGAGGAAAAATGATTACACAGACGGCAGTTTTTTTTCACACAATGGCTCAAAGAATAGATGAAAAAAAAATGACGCACTCAAGAATATAAAAAGAACAAACAATCTTGATAAAGTATAATTTACAACACACTGTTGTTAAAGAAAAGTACGATTGTAAAAAATAAAAAAAACACAGTAGAGTATCAAATTATGGCAAACAATGAATCAGTTGATCGTATAAGAGTAAGTGAAATCTTTGTATTTTAAACTTGGACTAGACTAAAGAGATTTTACAATAGGATGTTACAGAAGAAGCTGACAAAACAAATCCAAATGTTTCATTAATTTGGTCATTTGACGATGAGACAGATAACGTCCAATTTATTGCTCAAAGTGAAGAAATATCAACTATCGATGTTCCAAGTTATGGTAAGACCAAATTTTAGATTGAAAGATTTTCATATATAATGATGATATGCTTTTTATTTAGATTTTACGAAACCTATTGAACGTTTTGATACAGATATCTCATATGATAATGTTCAAGTTTTTTTCCAAGATATTGGATTCAATAATATCACGATTGATCGATTAAAACCTTATTTTTCTACATTACAAGATTTCGTAGATTATGATATTTTTGGTATTATTAAACGCCTTGAAATCGATCTTCTCGCTAATGAAGATAGTACGAATAAACTTTCTATAAAAAGCCAACAAGATTTCTTCCAAGTCCTTTGTATGTTTGGTTTTCGAGATGAATGGGCTCAAACTTACACATGGGCAATGGGTAAAGCCTATGCTGATCAACTTGTCAAAACTTCTATTGAAGAATGTATTCGACTACGATTAACACCCTCCAATACAATTCAGCCATTTCCTGACTGGATGACAGGAATAGGAAACAATGAATGGCAAACTTATAACAATTCAGAATTTCGAGACGGCAATGACTTTTTCATACGAAAGCAAACACGACAGAATCTATCAGACTCTTATGATAATCTTAATGAAATTGATTTTAATAGTCTAACAAATCGAACTCGTCCGAATGATGCCGAGCCGCAGTACTGGTTTCACGCCACTGATTGGAATAGTGCAGAAAATATACTGCGAACTGGTGCTGAACGACGCGGAGAAAATACGGATTTTTCCAAAGGTCCTGCTTACTATGTAAATAATGATTATCGCGATTGTTATGAGTTTTTATCTAGACGCAATCATAAATTTAAAGGACAACATGCAATTTTCATCTATGAATTTGATCCTGAATTGTTATCAAATGGACGATATGTTTGTATCGATGAAGAAACACCCGCTAATGTAAAAAGATGGGGAGAAGTTGTTTTTTCTTGCATAAATAAGAAACAGAAGAAAGAAGTTAACGACATACATGGATGTGATTGCGTATTCGGCTGGCAATGTGCCAACCCTAATGATGGTAATCTACAACGAGCTAATAAATCTACTCCCCACATACGGGTACGACAATATGACGGACAATATGCTACGCAACTTGCCATTCGAAGCAATCGTATGTTAGCAAAAGTCGACGATCATCTAATTGGAGTGGTAATATTTCAACAATTGTAGTTCTTTCAAATTACGGTGCGAATATGTACCAAGTACTCATTCAAGACATTAATAAAACTTTTTATTCTTTTTTTGTTAACAATGACTTTTTATAGCTAATTTTGTTAGATTAGAAGAATGATTGTAGATGTGATTATGAACGTTATATTATTCTGTCACTCACACTCTCGAGATGATTAAGTTTTTATTGTCCGCTGTATTTGTTTGGTAGTAATTCACATAAATCTTGAGATGAAGCTGGGTGTGGGTGTATAGATAGAAGCTCGACGCCCACATCCACATATTACCGAACACGAAAATAATTTTACAAGAAGAAAAGAAAGAACAAAAAAATGTTCGATATTCTGACGATTAAATACGTATATTCAAAACTTAAAACAGTAATCTTATCTATTAAACTGATGACTATATTTATAAATTTAATTATTTACGAGCTTTAATTTGGTATAAAATTCATTACATATTCAACTTGAAATCATAACGCTACACTTCCAGCCGGTATATATCAGTGTACGTATCGTTAGAAAGTGAGCGAGAACAAAATAGTGTCGAGCAGATAAAACCATGTTCAGTTTCGATAAAGGAAAGGAGAAGAAAAAAAGTAGATATACATTTCTATATTCTTATATGTTATAATGTTGTCTCATAGAAACACTGCAACAGTTCATAAAAATAGATTTCGTATTAATCCCAAAACCGCACTTTGTGAGGATCTAAATCTCTCTAACTTATTTTTGTCTTTATCTATTACTCGAAAGCAGAAAAAAAATTCTCTACAAGATACACTTATAAAATTTGTGGTATAAGAACGTTAACACCACATTTTTAAATGAGACATGATTCGAAATAGATGATCGTAAAAACGGCTGAGAAGGAAGTGAATTGCCATTTGCCTGATTTTTGTAGGAGACTACGGAGATTTCAGGACATACGCTATCGATCAAGCATAGTTTGATTAAAATCTAAAAGTTGTCATGTGACGAGCATTTTTGATGAGTTGATGACTCGTCTCTTGAAACTATACAGAAAAAAACATTCTTTATTCATTCATGAAATTCTTTGAAATATTTCGTTAATAATAACCATTGGCGATGTTAAATTTATTTTTAAGAAAAACGAAGATAAAAAACTCTCTGGTGATCATCGAGCATTACAATAATGTTCATTGCAACAACATTCTTTTGAATAAGCTTGACCAGCTATGTAAGATGTGTCACAGTCATTTATATAATTATAACACTCAGTAGTTAATTGAGTTCCACGTTGCACACGGGCAGCTCTACCAAGAAGTTGTACTGTCTTTGACTATAAAAATGAAAAAGAAGTATTTAAGAATATATCGAGAGACAGAGGAAAAAAATATGATTAGATTCTAAACTTACATAACATCGTTCCATTGGATGGCTCATTGCACATTTTATTTGTCCATTGTTATTACAAGAACTATTATTGGGTTGAAAACATTCACTTCTTTCATTATTGTCATCATTACAAATAAAGCACAACTTTGGTTCTGTTATACGCTCTAAGTAATAAAGATAATAGATAAGATTCTTATTTTATCTCATTGAGATAATTCTATTTATTAAATCATTACTGTTGCAGAGATTATCATTCATGCAGCAACATCTTATTGTTTGTACGCCATCAATAAGTGTTTCATTTATACATTTGTTATATATATCACGACATGCATCATCATTCCTGTTTTTCAAGCTACGTTCAATACCGTAAATAGTAAAGTTTTTCGTATCATAGACAACTGCTTCCTACAGAAAGAGAGTAGTTAATCAGAATTTATTTTCAATTAAAATAAATCTTACATAACATAAATATATGTCTGATTCATCTATTGGTGTTTTTTCATCTATTTTAATGCAATGATTTTGATTGCCATCATTATCATTACATGAATAACATTTAAGGGCATGGATATCTAGAAAGAATAAGAGTATATATGAGAATAATTTTTTATATATATTAAATAAAAATTAATTGAATATTTCTTACTTTGATAATACGTAGAAGAAAGTAGAATAATAAGAAAATAATAATTGATCATTATACTATTTAGAATCGTGTGTTTAAGACATGAAAATAAAAATTCGATTTTTTATATTGATTTCTTATCTTAAATCTTTGAGAAATAATAGCAGATGGATTATTACGCGCATAGCACAATCATTCGAACAAGAAAGTAAATTTATTTTTCGTTGTTTTCTGTAAAGCACATAGATTCTTTCCTACGATGTCGCTCTACATTTAGAATTTTATTTAAAGATAAGATGTAAACTTAATCTACTTGTTCATCTATTCATAATAGCAAGGAAAAAAAAGAAAATCGGAATACTATATGTTTCAATATAAAATAAGATAATTAGTATCCAACAGTGACCATTTCAAGTTTCGATAAGTTCATATGTTGTGATAAATGATAATCTTTACTTGGCCATGCTGAAATTTTAATTGATTTAACATTAGTGATATATAATTTAAGACGAGTAATACAATCAAATGTCGATAAGTTGAGTGAAGGTAGAGTATTATCCCATGCTAACGACGCATTATTGAGAATAACAATACTTTTTTTCGGACAAGGTATGGTATAGACTTGTAACGAGCAATTGGAAAATTGATCACCTACAATATACCATTTTTTTCATTTAACCAGAATGAAGTACGAAATCGATTGATAATATCATGTAGAATAGGACCGGAAGAAAGATTGTCTGCGAAGATATACAAACGAAATGAAGTCAAACGAAGAAGTGACGTTTGTATTAATTGTTCCTGTTGTTGACCATCATAAAATTGAATGTCACGTGTAAATACTGATGTTGCTAATGATAATATTTGTAATTGTGGAAAATGAGTTAATAATGATGCAATTTCTGCAAATAATATATGATATCCAATTTGAATAATAAATGATCGTAGATGTTGTCCTTGATCTCTAATCAATTGAGAATTAAATATGAAAGGACCTCCAATAGCACAAGCAATTTCATCATCGATATCGAGTGTAATTTGAAAGTATTCGATTTTGTTCAACTTGTCAAATATATCAATTAATCTAGTTATATCTTGTGGAGAATATCCTAAAGACAAATGTGTAACAGTTGATAGTATTGATTCCATTCGATGTATAAGCATATATTTATTGAAAATTGGAGCAAACGGATAATATGAATATTGTTTAATTGATAATGAAAGATATTTAAATGCTGGTAGTGATACATTCATAATTTCTCGTACTGAATTATAACGGAATTCTGTTAACGAACTCGTAATATTTAATGAAACAAGTTGAGTAAGTTTTGAAAATACAGTTTTTAGAAATATATTCAATGCTTCCTGATCAATATCTATAAATTTTAGATGATTAAGTTGATTATGTGGAATTAAATCAAGATATCGCTTGATAAATATTTCAATTGGACCGAGATGATTTGTGTTTGATATTGTTAAAGAAAAGACATTGGTAGTAAATGGAAAAATACTATCGAAGAAATAGTTAAAATCAACTTTTCGACAGTATCTTGTATTGATATGAAGAAGCATATGATTTATAAGAGAAGTGAAACGAGAATTAAGTCCACGAAATGCAAATATGAGATGAAAACCATCAAGATAATCAAAAATTGTGTACATAATTTCATTTGCTAATTGTTCTAATTTCGAGACGGACATTATTATTGCTTAATAAATGATAACTATAAAAACAAGACTCTTAGTATTGAGTAAGTAAAAAAGGAAAAGCAGTTATATTCACATGAAAGTAACACACGTGGTCAGAATCAGTCAAGTCTAACAACCATACGCTAGTCTATTTTTTTGCGTTCTTTACGTGGAGTATAAATAAATGGTGAATGGCGTGTTTTAAAATAATTGCAATGTTTACAAGAAACTTTATCATAAAAGATATTTTACCGCCAATAGAGATTCTTTATAAACAACAATACATGACGTCATTAATCTACAATGTAATAGGAATCACTTTTTGAAGATTAATCGATAATTCGAAACAATTATTTTATCTTCCGTATTAATCACTTGTCCACATTCATTTGCCGACAAAGTGAATGTAACCATCTGGATACTTTTCAGATTATACCTTATAACTTATGCAAATTTATTAAATATGTTATTTTTCTTGTCAGTCACCGTGGGCCTAGTAATCGATATTATGTTTAATCTTGAGGGGTATGGGTGTGGATATCTATCTTCTCTTAACCCACACCCAAATTGATGGGTATGGCTATACGAAAGAAGAATTATCTTGATTTGAAATTTCCCATGTTATTATGGAAACAATTAGTTCGAGAACAAATAACAAGTGAAGATATTGAAGCAATCGATATACAAAGTTTTACAATGATCAATGAAATGGAGAAAACAATGTCAGAAAATGATCAATCAATTGATCTTGATGATGTACTTAGTAGTATCTTGGATGAACTACGATTTGAAGTTGTCAGTTCAAATGGATCAACATTTGAACTTGTTCCTAATGGTCAAGAAATACCAGTAACGATAGCAAATTTCAAAGAATACTGTGCGAGTTATCGTAATTATCGTTTGAATGAGTTTCATCGTCAAATCGAATTTATTCGTCAAGGTTTATACAGTATTATTCCTGGCTATTTTTTGAGTTTGTTTACAGGCAGTGAATTAGAAGAAGCTGTTTGTGGAAAAGGTGAAATAGATGTAGAATTATTAAAACGCAACACTAACTATGGTTCTGCTTATAGTCAAGATGCGCCATGTATTCAACGATTTTGGATCGTTCTCAGTATTTTGTTTACAGAAGAGCAGAAGAAATTGTTTTTGAAATTTGTCTGGAGAAGATGTACATTACCGAATAGAGATGAAGATTTTACAACTCGTTTTACAATTAATGGATTTGACATAACTAATGGTCCCGTTGATGGAGCACTACCAAGTAAGTTCACATTATTAACGTTTCATTTAATCTAAAATTTATTATAGGATCGCATACATGTAGTTTTGTTCTGGATTTACCAGAGTATTCGTCAACAGATGTTATGTATGATCGATTAAATTATGCTATTACATATTGTTCAAGTATTGATGGCGATGGTAATATGAACGAGATGCCTATGATCCAGCAAGTTTTATCGACGATTGAATCATCTTGAGGCTGTGGGTATAAGTACAGAAAAGATACATCCACACCCTCATGTCTGTTTCTAGTTCAATCAATAACTAATCACTCAAATTTACATCAAAAGTCGTTTCTAATGTTCGTCCTCTCAAACACCAAATTGAATACTACGTCATATAATTCACTTATAATCTCGTCAAAAGTTATTTATACTCTGCGAATTTCTTATTAGAATTTTTCATCATACAGTGTATCTGATAGGAAATATGATTAAAATATTTATAAGTGATCTAAATCAAACTACAAAAATTGTCATTTAAGGAAATTAGTTCAATTGATAGTTAAGTTTTGTTTTGTTATTTATTTTAAACGACTGAACCATTAATCGCTGGTGCATGATTTTGTGTGTTTGTTTGCATAATTCGATTTCTTCGTTTCATGCACTTGTTTGGACCCTTGGTTATTATATTGATGAATTCTTTTCGATAAGGTTTTGATACAAGGATAAATAGATAAAATGGAGACACAACAAGCATGTAGATTATGAATGTAGTGAAAAAATTCATAAATGATTCAATCTGAAGTCGTCGAGTACTTTTATTAACAACATAATATGTTGCTACTCCATAGATGAGATTAACTGAAAACGGGACAGATGTAACTATATTCACCACGACTTCAGCAATAACCATACGTAAAAGATGACGATCTCTAATTTTAGCATGTATTTGAATTGCATGACGCTGATGAAGACTACGAATAGTGAGAGCACTAAAAATGATCATTAATGCTGGTGGTAGAATCGTAATTGTCAGAATTTCATAAAATGCAAAAATAAATTTGTATAAATCAAACATTCCACAAATATTATTTCGTATATACATTAAAATAGGCATATGAATGGCGGCCAATGAACATACTATACATGTAATGACAATAAGCACTATTGCCATTTTAACTGAACTTAACGATCGACGACCAACATCGTCTCGTGTTGCAAAGAATCGATCAACACAAGCACATACCAGAATATAGCGAAAATATAATCCAAGAACATGAGTACCAAAAAGTCTTGTTTTGCAGTAGAAAACCGATTGGTTTTGAAGATCAGGATAATAGAGTGTATGAAGTTGTGGACTAATAGACCAAATTAAATGGAAAAGAGCACAAATTGAGAGAGAAAGATGATAGACAGAACTAGGTGAACGTCGATATAATGGTCGTGTAAATATGATGCAATTGAAAATATTACCAGTGAGACCAAGTGCTAAGCAAATGCTCATACCATAACGTATCATTTCTTCTTGTACAAAGGGTAAATTTGTTGTTGTCATTTTTTCTGTTTGAAAATGCTTTGTTAAAAGAAGGATTGATTAAAATCTAAAAAAAATCTATATGTGCTTTTATAGCGAAGAGGAGACAAAGAGTTCTTCTTGCTCCATAAACTGTTATTTAAGAGAACAATATTTAATTATGAAAAAGATAGATAGTGGCAAAAGTAGCGTTTCTAAATAATTAAATCACATATAAAAGGTGAGGCATAAGTTTTTGTAATATTTATCATCTTCCGGATATCATTGCTCAGGACTATAGCTAAACGTCGATCTTTTTTCTTTAAAATACATGTTATAATAATAGAGTTCGATGTAATAATACAATACGAACTTGCACGGAAAGAATACAGTATTAAACCAGATGTAGGAAATGAAACACAAAAGATAAATTAATGAAGATTATTAATGGCAAAAGACGCGCATACTATTCACCTTAGAAAATGTTTTCTCTATTGGAGCACTTTGTACTGAAATACTTTTCTATTCATTCTTATTAAACTTCTTAACATGTATAGAAATAAACAAGTCAGATACATATTTAAGTGTTCGATTAGACCCTTGTCCTTTCACATCTGATTGCTTTATATATGTGAATATATCTGGATCTTTATACACGAAACATAAATCTAATTCATCCACTTTATATTCTTTATTATTTCCATTCATCTTATCTGATAAATGTAGTGTAACGTGAACTGTGAAAAAAGTTTATTTACCCTTTTGGGAATAATAAAATAGATATTAAAAAAAAGAAGAAACCGTCGCAAATGTTATTTCTATAAAGTTAAAGATTATTTTATTAAATCTCTTTTATTAACTAAGCATTATAAGTTTATTAGAAATGATCCTTCGTTAAAATATCATTTACAGGAGATGCACTTTCTGTTTTAGATACTTTTGTCAAAAATATATAATTACTTATTAGTTTTTTTTGCTTCGTGCGTCATCATCATATTATATTATTTTCTATATATAGTTTTGTTCGAAGAGTTCTTAGAATATTAAATTTCTAAGAACATTTTTAGTTCTACTAGTGAATTATAAATAAAAAATTGAATTTGTCAAGACCATAAATGGAACAGAAATCCTATCTATTATAAAAAATAGCATTACTACTCATATGTTATTTTGTAAGGAAAAGGTCATCTGAAAGATATCATATCAATAATCTTAATAATGCAACTATTTATATATATCGATATATTTTTCCTGTTATCTTTATTTTTGGTAATGTTAGAAACATTTTAAATACTTTAATATTCTTAAAAAAATCTTAGAGAAAAAATGTATGTGTATTTTATTTAATACATTTTCCATTAATTTAAATACATATTTTTTGGATGATTTTCTTGTTTCATGTATTTATCAAAAGTAATATCTATTATATTTATGAAGTAGTAACAAAAAATCAAACACGTACATTATTATGACAAGCTATCGAAAGTTGTTTACTTCATTCTCTTTATTTTCTATATCATATTGCTTTTTGTACCAGTTTTTTTTAATACTTGTAATTGTATCAAAAGCATTTCGAACTGAATTGAAATGAATAATTTACAAGATATTTGCAAAAAATTTAATGGTCATACGAGAAGAAGACAAACGACAAGAACATGTTGCTAATGTTGTAAACATTATTGTATCAATAGTTTCATTCATGAATAAAAGAAAAACAATAGAAATATTTAATTCGACTTATATTATAATGCATTTTTAGTAGGTTTTGTGTTTTCTAAAAGTGAGTGTGGTGTGGGTGTTGATACTTTATTTATCTGACATTCACACTCACATCTCGAAAAAGATACTTTGTGAAATCTTTTATAAAATATGAATTTTATTCAATCTACCCTGATATTTGACAAGCAATTAGTCACATGAATTGTTTGAAAATTGAAAAAAATGATTATCAAAATACTGCGAGTGCCATTTATCTTGGAATATCCGGTTTGATCAAAAGACATTGCCAAAGTTTTAATAAAACAGAGAATTAAGAATGAAAATACCTAAAGGAACTTAAAAATTCCAACAAACTCATCCGTTACTTAATTAAAGTTGTAATAACAATGTTAGTCCAAATATTGCTTCTCATCTCAAACATAGCTGAAAGTACTGAAAAAAAGAATGTTTCTCTTTTGCTTTGTTATTGTTTTTTAAAAATGAATGTTACTTTCCAGTATTAACTTTTATCTTTTTTTTGTCTTATTAGGGATCCTAATCTTTTACATATTAACTGTATCAGATACTCTCATAAACTTGATTATCATCTTTGAAACTGGTGAAAATCTCGATCTTGTTAATGGAAATTAAACTGAAATACTTCTAAAATTTGTCGTTTCGAAATTTCTCTCTTCGACAAATAGTATATACAGTACGAGATCAATTTTGAATACATATCAATCGCTTTGAGATCGGACTTGACATAGTGTGAAGTTTTGTGAACAAAGATATCAATAGATTAGATTAAAACTGATTAGAATCAAATTTTTTGGTAAATCTATTTCCGGTGAGTAACTATTACTGGCAAATGACAAAACAATTCTATTATAGTTGCAAGATCCTCGTTATAACGTTATCTTCTCTGATTTTGGCGTCTTTCCTGTGTGGTACTCATTTTTTCTCCTTTTCATCTTTATGGGTCACACCAGAGAGTATAATTTAAATCTATTTAGAGACTGAAGGCATGTATTTTCAGTACAAAACTATTCTCATTATATATTAAATCAGAAACACAGGCTATCATGCGAGATTTTTAAGCGAACGAGATGAATCGTTTGATGTGTTCAAGTTTTTGATTGTATTTGTTTCTGTATTATTTAGATCTAAATCAACGAATATTTTTACTGCAAATCTACGTATTGAATTGTAATCATGTCGCTCGGGCATGATACAATTCAACAAATCAACACAATAACATTAGTGTTTTTTCTCGTGATATCTTTTGTCAATTTGTTTCTGGGAATATTTGGTCTGGCATTTAATATACTGGTTTTCACTCGTCCAACTCTACGTCGTGAACCATGTTCACTCTATTTTCTCACAGCAACATGTTTTAATTTTTTTGTTATACTAATTATAATACCAGTACGAATGATTTCAATTAGTTTTAATATAGATGTAGGTAATGTGAATACTGGAATATGTAAAATTGAATTTTTTACTTTCTACACGGTACGCGCAATATGCAGTTGGTTAATTACATTAATATGCATCGATCGATATTTACATAGTTCATCAAATGCATCTATTCGACGATTAAGTTCATTAAAAAATGCCAAATTAACAATTGGAATTATTTGTATTATTATTCCTATTTTCTATAGTCATACTTATGTTTTTTTAAACTTGAAATATGTTATAGATCAATATGGAAATGTCGGATCTTCATGTGTGATCGAAAATAGTACTTATAGTACATTCATTGCATTGTGGCATCTAGCATTGTATTCACTTTGTCCATCATTCTTAATGCTTGTTTTCGGTAGTCTTACATTGAAACATCTTCGTCAACGTCGTCGATTACTTGCACAACCACCTGAAAATAATCAAATGCATCGACGAGTTCACATTCATCTGTTACGAATGTTAACTGCCCAAGTTCTGATGATTATCATATGCACAGCACCATATGCTGTTTATCAACTTTATGCATCGTTCACTGCAAGTGTACCCAAAGACTCACTTCGAGTTGCTCAATTAAATATGATATCTAGACTTACATCTGGAATATCATATTTTGCTCATTCAACTAGTTTCTATTTATATACATTAACTGCTACTGTTTTTCGTAAGGAATCTCTGAAGATCATAAAACGATGTTGCCATCCACGTCGAAACGTTATTGCAGTGATTCACGGTGAAACATATCCATTGTCAGTTTTACAGAGAAATCAACAAAGTGCACCTAGATCCATCAGAAGTGATCAGTACGTTACACAAGTCATTCATACACCATACATATCATGAAAAATTTGACATTTCTTCGAATAATTAGTTGTTTATTTGTTGTTAGTCCTTATGTGTTTTATTTATATCTCAATAAAATCTTATTTCTATATTAAAAGTTTCCTTTATTAAATAGATGCCATAAAATCTTGAATCGTATTCATTGATTCTGCACACGCTTGTGGGAACACCCCTAATAAACAAATATAATTTAATAAATAAAAACGTTCTTTTATCCGTCATACCATGTAAACTAAAAAATCCGTGAATAACACCTTTAACAAGCAATAATTTCGTTTGAACACCAACTTTTTCAAGTAATTTTTGATATTCTAAAAGATAACATTATTATTTACAAGAAAATATAGTTTTTTTCAATACCTAAGTTTCCATCTCGAAGAGCATCAAGTTCTGCTACAATGAATAAACATGGTGGCACATCTTGTAATGATGTATTATATAAAGCAGATATTCGTGGATCTTTCAAGTCTTGCGAAGTTTCAAATGCATGTTTTGTGAACCTATAGATAATCATAATATATATATATATATATTTCATTATTCAATCGCTCTTTTACCAATCCATTATTTCTGGTGTAGCATTATACATTTGATGAGTAAATTCGTTGTAAGATGGTGTTTCACGAATAACATCTAATGTTGCATAAATTAGAATCTATTGATAAAAGAGAACTGAATACAGTTGACGATGATTAAATAAATCTATACTTGAAAATCAATGCCTTCAATTGTACGAGCGACTGACGATGCGATCATTCCGCCAGCACTATCACCAGCAACACCGATTTTAGCAGTTTCATTCACACCTATAAACAAAATGAAGAGCAAATATATATCTAAGAAGATCGACTGAATTAAAAATCTACCAAAATTTGTTTTGTTCTGTATGATATATTGAGTAACATCACAACAATCATCAAGCCAAATTGGATATTTATGTTCGGGTGCGAGACGATATTCTACAGAAATCCAGATTGTTTTGGTAGCACTATATGATTATATAGGAACAACATATGGACATAAATATAATCTACTTACTCAGCTATAGTATTAACAATTGTTTGATGAGATTTTCGACTACCAATGACCCAACCTAGTATATATGTCCGATACATTGATGAAGTTTTGTTTTACTTATCTTTTTAATCATACCTCCACCATGAAAATAAATACCCAATTTCCCTTTATTGGCATCTGTTGGTGTATAGACGGTAATCGGTATTTCTAAATATATCAGATTTTTATATAAATTTCTTCATGAATGAACTTCAGAGTGTCAGATTTCAGTCAAAATAATGAACATTGTAGCATCACGATGTTACATATGTAAATTCATTTTTCGAAGTAAAATTCGACGTTTTCAGAACAGACAATACCGATCTTACAGAAAAATCAATGAGAAAGTGGCAAAAGACGTGAAATCAGCGATAACTGACCGGCGTGGGTACGGGTTATTGCAGTGCCATACCCATCCTCTATGAGTGACATCATACTCTAACAATACTGGAATCTTTACGAAACCTTTTCAAGGGTCCAATGTATCTACGGATACTTTTAGATTTTGCCATATTGATTTTCCATACAATACTTAGAAAGCGACATTCACTTACAAAGATTTATCTCAGCATTATTGAGAAATGTGATTACCATATCGCATCAAAGGAAGATCATTCCCTGATGGAATTAATATTTCAAAAGACAAGACAATTCAATTAATATTCAACATAATTCATTACGATAATATGTACATTTTTTCGAATGAGCGAAAGGAATTAAGTTTAAATGCACTTGTATTATATCACTTTAGTATATAGCTGATTGATCTTTATCGAAAAGTTCATATTTACCTGTAGAATTGGTTTTCACTGTGTTTTCTTCTAAGGTACCGGTGAATGTTCCATAGAATTTTTCATTACATACATGATGAAGATATTCTATACCTTGACGCATTGCTTCGACCTCTAAATTATGACCCGGAGGTAAAGTATTTTGTAAAGCCACTCGTAAAAATGCAGTTGTTTCATTAGTAAAACGTGGATCCCTTGAAAAAAAAATTGAATTGTTTTATATTATCAAAAAGATAACTTACATTAACGAAATATGTTTATTAACTAAAATGTCGTACAATGAAAATACAGAACAACGAGCGCTGTAGCTGTAAGTATATATTGTACTAAAAAAAGATAAAATGTTTGCCAAGCAGAACGAATAGATATATTTAAGTCCACATGGTGTGGATGTGAGTTAAGGTAAGAGAAGCGCACTCACATCTTCACCGCATACGATTTCTGAAAAAAAACTGAAATGCTTGTGCAGTATATTACAAGTATTTTTTCTATCTTTCTTTTTTTAATTAAATTCTGATTGACGTGTGTCTTTCACTCTGAAATGATATGTAAGAGTTTGATAGTAATAAGAATTTCACTGAAGTACGAACAGGAGTAAAGCGAATCTTTGATGATATGTTCTGAATTAGTAAATTTAATTTGAGAAATGAAATCTTAAAATACAACTGGTAGTGTTATTTGCGAAAGTCATTTTAAATATCTATCAAAGAGTAATATCAGATCAAACACATTAATATTACATGTAATTTTAGAAATATGATGAGACTATAGAAGAGAGATAAATGTCATAAATAAAAGCAAATTGTTTATAAAATACATGCGCTCAAATTGTCGTTTCATATATATATTTTAATGATCACCTTTCTTATAATAGTAAACTTATTTTGAGAAGACGAGACAACGAGAATCAAGTATGAAGAGAAATAAAGAAAAAATTATTAGAAAAAAGATATACTACAGAACTAATAATGTAATAATTTCTTTATTGCAAATATGTACTTATTATGAAATGAGGAGGATGTCTGTTGAGTCACTCAAGAAAAATCTAAATGAATAAATATTCATATCTCTCTCAACATGTTATTGAGACAAAAATAAATAAACAACATCATTCCTATTGGTCGATACAACCATCAATAAGAATCGACAAAAACTTTGATGAAGATATTTTTTTATTTTTTAGCGTTGTGCTGGCGCCACATATTTGGACACTTTTTTAAGAGTTCTTATAGCTGAAATTTCCACTTGAAACATTAAAAAGAAATTTTAGTCATGTTTAATTTACTAGCTCACAATAGTGGCTGTATTTAATCAATAGAATTTTATTGGTGGTAATACTAATGTCTTTTCTCCTTTTGACAAATAAAAAACTTGACGTGCACAATTACAATACATGTGGGTCGACTATATTAATAATCTTATTATTTCGACAAGGTAAATGCCTTCTGCAATTATTCTATGTGTCGTTCGTGGTAAAACAGGTCGACTTGCTCGTTCAAATCTTACACAACTTTGTACAAGTGAAAGAGAAGAAAAAGTTCGTTTACCATTACGAATTCGATATAAGAAAAAATTAAATCATTCACTCTTAAATGAACATGTACATAAATTGTGTTATAAAGTACTCGTCTACGATCAGTGCTAAGTCTGGAAGATCGAGTCAAACAAATAGATATTCGAGTTCAATATTAAGTTCTAGTTCTACTTTAACCGATGTTACCAACAATCAATCGACACCTACTTAAGTCTAATCAAAAGTTCGTGCATCGATAGAAAAAATAGGAAGATAAAGAGAAAGTTTTAATTTTACTTCATTAAATGTTCGAAGTAGTCACCATGATTATTTATACAAAGCTTCATTCTTTCCAACAATTTGTCAAAGATTTTTTAAACTTTTCTTCTGAAATATTTTTTACTATCTTGGAAACCGCACGAGCCAAAGATTTTTCATCTGATTGATCAGTTAAACCGTTCTTGATATTATCGTTTAGCCAATAATCACATGGTGCAAGGTTAGGTGAATATAGTGGATGCGGCATTATATTGATACCTTCTTCTGTTAAATAGTTAATAACATCTGAATGGCAATGGGGCCCAGCATTATCATGAAACAGTTTTATACCTTTTGCACCATTTGACCTTCTTTGTTTCCATATTTCCTTGACAACGAGCTTGAGCATCTTGAGGGTGGGTGTAGGTGTGGGGGAGGGCGCAGCTAAGTGCGGGTGCCCGGAGGGGTGCAGATGAATGTGGGTGCCTGGAAGGGTGTGGAGGGCAAAACAGCTGTGTTTGGGTACATGGACTGATGTGCGACATAGCCGTATATTGAAAGAATACGCCTATTCACCTATTATATTTAAATAGTTGGATAGTTGGAGAAGAAGTTTATTAGTCGGACCGAGTACACAATTTCTACACTATTCGGTGAGAGAAACAGGTAAAAGAGCTATTGAAAGTTTGCCAAAATATCAAGTTTCTGTGATACTAACATCGAATCCTGTCAATCAACATTGAAGGGTAATATATGTGGAGCGATTTTAGTTTCTGAAATCGAGGTATATGTTATAAATATTCATTGTAACAAACGATATGATATAGAATTCAATGAGATCTAGCTAACATTATTTATTATTTTAAAATGAATAAATCACCATATATTGAAAGTTTTTTTTACTCTCGTATTATATAAAATTAATCAGCTCGCGATACAATTAGTGCGTGTAAGAATCATGAAAGTTTTCTTTATTAAATAGATGCCATAAAATCTTGAATAGTATTAATTGATTCTGCAACCGCTTGTGGAAAAATTCCTAATAGACAAAGATAATTTAATAAAGAAAAATGTTTTTTTTTCCGTCTTACCAGGTAAACTAAAATACCCATGAATAACACCTTTTACAACTAATAGTTTCGTTTGAACACCGGCTTTTTCAAGTAGTTTTTGATATTCTAAAAGATAACATTAGAATTCATAGGAAAATATAATTTTCTATACCTAAGCTTCCATCTCGAAGAGCATCAAGTTCTGCTACAATGAATAGACATGGCGGTACATCTTGCAATGATGTATTATGTAAAGCAGATATTCGTGGATCTTTCAAGTCTTGCGAAGTTTCAAATGCATGTTCTTTAAGCCTATAAATAATCAGGATAATATATATTATTATTCAATCGTTCTTTTACCAATCCATTAATTCAGGTGTAAGAACATACATTTGATGAGTAAATTCATTATAAGATGGTGTTTCACGAGTAATATCTAATCCTGCATAAATTAGAATCTATTGATAAAAGAGAATTGAATACAGTTGACGATGATTAAATAAATCTATACTTGAAAATCAATGCCTTCAATTGTACGAGCGACTGACGATGCGATCATTCCGCCAGCACTATCACCAGCAACACCGATTTTAGCAGTTTCATTCACACCTATAAACAAAATGAAGAGCAGATAGATATATATATTTAAGAAAATCGATGGAATTAAAAATCTACCAAAATTTGTTTTGTTCTGTATGATATATTGAGTAACATCACAACAATCATCAAGCCAAACTGGATATTTATGTTCGGGTGCGAGACGATATTCTACAGAAATCCAAATTGTTTTTGTAGCACTGTATGGTTAGATAGGAACAACATATAGAGATCAATATAATTTACTTACTCAGCAATGGTATTAACAATTGTTTGATGAGATTTTCGACTGCCAATGACCCAACCTAGTGTATATGTCCGATACATTGATGAAATTTTCTTTTATTTATCTTTTTAATCATACCTCCACCATGAAAATAAACACCCAATTTCTCTTTATTAGCATCTATTGGCGTATAGACAGTAATCGGTATTTCTAAATATATCAGATTTTTATATAAATTTATTGATGAATGAACTTCAAACTGTCAGATTTTAGTCAAAATAATGATTAATTATAGAATTAACCTATAATGAACATGATGGTATCACAATGTTATATATATATATATCCACCCTTTATTAGTGACATCACACTCGAACAATATTGGAGTGTTTACAAGACCAAAAAGTTCATATTCACCTGTAGAATTGGTTTTCACTATGTTTTCTTCTAGAGTACCTTTGAACGTTCCATAGAATTTTTCATTAGATGCATGATGAAGATACTCGATCCCTTGACGCATTGTTTTCACCTCTAAACTATTACCCTGAGATGAAGCATTTCGCGAAGCCAGTTGTAAAAATGCAATTGTTTCATCAGTAAAACGTGGATCCCTTGAAAAAGAAACTGAATCGTTTTATATTATTAATAAGAAAAAGATTACATTAACGAAATGTGTTTATTAACCAAAATGTTGCTCGATGAAAATATAAAACAACGAGCGCTGTCGCTGCAGGTATATATTGTGCTAAAAAAAAAGATAAAATATTTGCCAAAAAGAACGAATAGATATATTTAAATCCACGTGGTTTCTTATCATTTACGAACCGTTATAAACACACGCACTCGAAGAAAAAGACAAGAATTTGATTGACTCATGAAGCACAGAAGTGATATTTCTTCTTTAGCAGACTTTCGTCATTAGAGAAATCTGTTACATTTAATATTCCGTAGAAACGAAAGGAAAAAGAATATGACGATATATGAAGAGTCCAATAACGATGTCACTACATTAATATATAAATAATGTATTTTCTAAATTCAGTTCATAATCGTCTTATTACATCGTATATCATTTGATATCGTTCCTTGTTTGAATAGTATGTAGCATATTAGGTGACGTTAGAAGCCAATTCTTGAGGATGAGTGTAGGCGTGCGTGTGGGTGTTTCTCCTTCTCTGTCATCCTCGCCCACACATCCTCATCCACACTCACACACCCGCCCACCCTTAAAAAAGAAAGTCTACAACTTTCTATGGCCTTTTGTGTATCTATGGAACTGACATTTATGCACAAAAGTAACCAGAATTCTGTTGATTTGCTGATTCTATGGGTCTCTTTTCACGTGTTTCGAATGTTTACAGTCATTAGATCCTAGGAGAGAATTCTATCGAAAAACCATGCTAAACACGATTTATTTATATTGTAGAAGAATCAATCATGGCTGATAATAATCATAGTTTCACTGAACACCAATGGAAACCAAATACATGTCTGGAATGTTCTCGATCAAAAGAGCAGCATCAACAAAGAGAAACTTCTAACGTTATTAGTTCAGAAAGTAACTTATCAGGTACGTTTCTTTGCTACAGTGTAGGGTATGGGTGTGAAAATAATCTTTTACCAAATCGACACTCATAACTACATCAAGACCCACACCGTCACACCATTTCGACGAAACTCTCTTTCCTTTTTTAGATCAGTTAGAACGTGGTAAGCAGGACTTCATAGCAAATACCGTGGTTGATACTATTTCATTTTCACCCGACAGCAAATCAGTAAAAGAGAAAGTAGCTCACTTCGAAGCACTGCTAGCAAAACAAGCAAGATCGAAGTCCTACTATGAAAGATTCCCGGATATTCTCAATGTAACAAATGAGACAGGATTGGAAATTAAACAAGCTAAAGAATTCACAACATCGATATTACAAAACTTGCCCTCAGGAAACGTGCAGGACAGTAGTACTATGTGTCATATTATAAACAATTTGCTTGGAAATAAAGATCAGCAATGCTTGTTTTATAATTCTTCGATTGGTATAAACCTTCATGATGCATCTGCAAATTTAGCTGATCTTAACTCAGAAGACAAACCATTTATATTAAAATTACATAGTAGCAAAGGATTAGGAAAAGACAATGTTGAAAACGAACCAGATGACTTAAGTCTTGCTCAACAATTAAATGATGTGATTCAGCAAAAGCAATTCCATCCAGTTATCGAAGACATATGTGAACGATTAGCAAAAGCCCATAAGGTTGATAAAAAAGATATCAAAATTATAAGTGTGTATGAAGGAACCTTCAATGTGGTTTATACTATACCAAATTTGAAATCTGTCGATAACCAATCGCTGTTACAGGTTGAGAAAAACTTGAAGAATGAGTTTAATGAATTTCGAAGTATAAAAATTCATCCATTATTATCATGTCGTCCCTCATTTGATATATCATACTTTGATGAGCGTGGTAATAAAACTTTTCCTAATGATTCAGATACTTACGAAATTGGACCACCTGAACGTACCATGCCGTACATCCAACCTGCTGGATGGACAAGATATGGATTGAGAGTGTTGGGCAAATATAAAGATGGTGATACTTGGCTAGATCCATTTCTACATTCTGAAAATTGGTATAGAGCGTTTCATGGAACTAAAAACGCAACAGCTGAAAACTTTGGCACATCTGGTGGATATATTAACGCATACAATGTATCTGTCGATGCTATGTTAAATATTTATCGCAATGGATTCGAAAAGGCAAGGACTGCTGCATATGGACCTGGTGTCTATTGCTCTCCAGATCCCCAGTGGCTCGAGAACAGCTATGGTGCCACTGTGGAAATGGACACTGAGCAGGGAAAGAAAAAGTATAAATGTATGTTGCAAGTAGCTGCAAATCCCGACGGTGTCAAGTTCACTTCTGACAGTAAGATTTGGGTTGTATCAAATCCTGAAGATATTCGACCATACGGTATACTTATCAAAGAAGCATGATATTGCGTTATCATCAAGATTAATTTTTAAAATTTTTTATTTTCTTTTTCAATTAAAATCACGATAATTTATACAAGAACTTCGTAACATAATGTTTAATTCTATACATTCAATTTCAGGTGTGGGTGAGAATATGCGCAGAGTGTTTGATAAGTATGATATATAATCATCCTCACTCACATCTTCAGAAATTTTCAGCCATTTATAGTCAACTTTAATCGATTATCATTGAATATAATCTGTTACAGGTCCGATTTCAGTCAATATCAACAAAAACATTGATTTTAATCTAGTTTTCCGTTATTTTTACTTGCATGATTAAGTGTCAGTTGATATTGTATATCTCGAAGGGTGACATATCTGTGAAAATTTGATCTAGTTTAGTATTCTCTATTTGTTGAGTCGAGGAGTCCGAAAAACGGACGAGAAGATTAAATTTGACAAGTTAAACTTGCGAAAAACCCATTTTATTGCCGTTAGGATTAAAACCGATAAGAAACCAGTAATTTATTAGCAAAATATCGGCCTATTTCGTCTATAATTAAAAATAATCGTGGTTTTTGCATCAATATTTTCCACTGGGTTAGATGTCTTCTACGCATCTCTGAAGATACTATATTAAAAAACTATTATTATTATGCACACAGTACAGATGTTCTATTAAATTAAATGCTCTCTCTATGCGTTATCTAAAACATATAACAAACTTTTTTTTTATGATTTTTGTTTTATAAAGATAATATAAAAATCAGCAAGAATAAATTTCAGAGGATGAAAGCTTCCGTTACAAAACAAGATCATACAGAATATTCCCATCTGCCATTTTATTGCAGAAGTCAATTCTGTCGACAAACAGAACGAAGAGATGGAATTAAATTTAAAAAAACGGACAGATGGAAATATTCATGGGACACAGTTCATAAAAAAAGAAAAACGTTTTATTTTCTTAACAATATGCTCCATTAAAAATTCAGTTTTCAACAAAAACAATGTTATTCCCATTGTAATTTCTCAGATATCGTTTCTTTTTTTTTCTAGAATACAATTAACTATTATTCTTCTTAATTGGTTTCTTTTTCTGACAATCCATATTGAACTCGAGTTATCAGATTATTAGCACAATGGCGACGTTGGAAGATATATCAAACATTGAAATTGACAATAAAGTATGAAAACAATGTATACGAGTCACTCAATAATAAACAATTTTCATTAGTTTCAGCCACCAGCACCTGTTCAAAATATCAATAAACCATCAGTGAATCGATGGAATATCTCGTATGTAAACTAGAACTTTTAATTAATAATGATATGCGTTGATTCATTTCAGATGTGAACACTTTCGTTATAAAAGATGTATCTTAGTTTTAATCTGTATCATTTTAATTACGATAATAATTACTGTTCCAACGGTTCTTGTACACAAGAGGAGAAGAACAACAACCAGTACAACAACCACAACAGCAACAGCAATAACAGCAACAGCAACAGGAGCAACAATACGAACAACAACAGAAGGTATACTTTAGTAGGAAAGTGATGGAAAATCATTGGTTATATCAAACCATAGATAATTGATAAAGAAAAAGTTAAAATATGAAAAAGGATTTATCTATGGAAATTAATTAAATATAGAATAAGATGAATTTTGTTAATATGATGATTATTTGATACATTGACAATTTACTTTTGCTTTATTATAGTTCCATTATATTTTACTAATACAACAAAATGGAAACAAAATGGAATAACTATTTTTTCTCAAGACGATTATGATGAATTCCGTTTTGATCTTAATCCTATGTATATGGACAACAATGAAGCTATTTATCTTGGTGAAATAAGCAAACATCGCGTTATAAAAATAAAATTAAATGCAATGAATTTTTCAATTGTTGCTGATGCAAATGACACAGATCACTTACGAGCTCCAACCGATATTATTGTTGATAAAAAAACTGATTCAATTATTATTTGCGACCAAGGACTCAGACAAATAATTCGATGGTCTCGTAAAAATGTAACACATAGGGACATAATGATCTCGGAAATTAATTGTAATGGTCTAGCAATGGATGACAAAGGCTCTCTGTATGTTAGTGATTGGCTCAAGGTTAACGTCAGCCACTGGGAACTTGGAGTTAATAATAAAAGCTTTGTCGTTGCAGGTGGGAATGGAAATGGAAATAATTTCGAACAACTCAATCAGCCACATTTCCTCTTTGTCGATAAAGATTATTCATTATATGTGGTGGATAAAAGTAATCATCGTGTGATGAAATGGGAGAAAAATGCAACAAAGGGAATTGTTGTCGCTGGTGGAAATCGTGCTGGAACTAATCTAACACAATTGTCTAGTCCTTCAGGTATAGTTGTCGATCATTTAGGTAATATCTATGTAACCGATACAAACAATCATCGAGTTATGCGATGGATCCATGGAGCTAGAGAAGGTAGCATTGTTGTTGGTGGAAATGGAACAGGAAATGAAACAAACCAATTAGATTCACCAAGTGATTTAGTATTCGATAAACACGGTAATCTTTATGTCTTTGATACAGTCAATCAGCGAATACAAAAATTTTGCATTGAATCAAATTGAAGCTTCTTTGTACTTATTGTAAGAAAACATCTTTATCATAATTCTGTCTCTTCTCATTATATCATATTTTTATTTTAGAAATTATTAAATATTCATCCAACTTTATTTTATTCAATCAAGTATTTAATTGTGAACCAAATTAAAACAGTAAATTTTTAAATAATTTTTTTATATGATAAAACTTGAAGATAATTTCATAAAATTCTGTTTTGTATTACTTATGTATATTGTCTTATTTTATTGTTTAGAAACTTTTAATGTCTCTTTTTTTCAAAAATATTTATTCGAATTTAATGCTAGAAAGTGACGACTTGTCAGCGGTATCGTAATGATGAGGCCATCAAAATATAAAAGTGAATCTGGAATCATTAATACTTCATTGGAATATTTTTCCATTTATAAATTAACGTTAATGATTGAATTTATAGTTCTTAGAAACATAGTCTTGCGATGGTAAGTCACATATACAGCGTGTTGTATTGGCATTTCCAGTAATTGCATAAAGACGATACAAGACAATATATAGAAGAAAAACAATCAGAAACACAGATTTATAAAAATAAAATATGTTAGTTTCTGATGAAGACATCATCAGCTTATATGATGTACATCTCCGTGTGCGGAGTAATGTTACAACAATCAAGATAAACGAAGAAAAAAAAAGAAATCGGAAAATATTAATAAAAACATAGAAAAAGTAGATTGTAGTATTTTTCTTATGAGGACACTGTGAGGATATGAATCCTATGTCTCTCTTTATTCGTAGAAAAACACACGCTATATATAGGATGGTGGAACACCCTGTTAGGGATATGTCCAACAAGAGATCAAGTGAACAAGATGAGGAAAAGTCCCATAACATATAGCATCACATATGTAAACGATAGGAGAGGAGAAATCCATGAACGATATAGAAGAGAACGAGAACACACATATAGAAGAAGATGATGAATCACACTATATATAATATATGTATACGTAACAACAGAACGAAAGAAACTATACATATATGCCGTAAGAAAGAAATGAAGAAAGATGATGATACCACCTAACAACACTCAACGTTTTAAAATAGGAAAATGTTTTTTTTCTCATTTCAAAGCTGAACCAACTTCAATTATAATAAGCAGAGATCACATATATTTCACATTTCTATAAACCGACTGTTCCTTTTGCCATTTAAATTCTAGTTTTTTTCTTGAAGTTAAAACTTCTGTCTCCAAATAATAGTTTGACTAAAGTTTTAAAATCGATGCTGTGAAATATTTCCATTACAAATCATTCAATCCATGATTTCAGTTGAATATATCGTCTTTTTGATTAATTCAACCTGATTGTTCACGCACTACTTTACTCGATGTCATCTAATTGATTTATCTCGGTGAATAAAAATGTTTTCTATAATAATTTCATCAAAATACAAATAATCACTTTATTTTTCTTTATTAGATGATCAAAATTATCTTAAAATTCTTGTCCTTTATAACCATTAATGCTATAGTGACATCAGTATAATTATTAATTAAATATATTATATGATTAGATGACAATAACAGTAAGTAAAGTATTAAAAGCTGAAATTACCCCATTCTATTCTTGATAGAATCATAAATTATATTCATTCAAAATTTTACGGAAAAGAAAAAATGAAGCTCATTTATTCGATGCATACAATAAATTTTCCAAGAAGTAATTTTCATTTACTAATTTGTCTAACAGACAAATTATCATAGTATATGTAACTATCAACATCGGATTTCCAATGATCACCGCTTCCACCACGAAATCTAAAACAAAAAAGTCAAGTGACAGATGAGAGAAATATTTTCAAAATTAAACATACGTATGAAAAGATAAATTACTGATAAGTCGTTTACTATCATTGGTTGTCCAAAGAATACTTTGATCAATCAGTGTGTCTCCATTGATTTTTATTTGAACATGTCCATTAGCATTACTACCAGTATTGGATTTTATATACATATGAACTTTATACCATTTACCTTTTTCAAGACTACCTAAAAAAATAAAAAATAACATTTTCATTAGTTTCATATATTTCTTTAGGAATCTGAATTTTCCTAAAATAATAATACATACCAGATGATGGATATAACTTTCCAAAATTACTTCCACAAGGACCTGCCATTCCTGCATGATATACATATGGATAGAAATAGACTCGTTTTCCATCGTTGTACCACATCAATCGTAGAGTTCCACCTGCTCCGTCGAATGGTACATTACATCCAGTATTTCGATTTCCAATACCTAATCCAAAACCAACTTTTCCACCACGACTCCAATCAAACTGACTGTGAAATCGAACATCAAAATCTAATTCATATGCAGAACCATCTGGAATTCGAGTAGCAGATACGATACCAGATTCTCCGGATAGAGCATTTTTTCTTAAAGTAATACGTAAGTTTTTGTTTGAAATCATTGCACGATCATTGTGCCATCCACTGACTGAACCAAAGTCAGATTTAGCCATCAAATCAGAATACTGTCCATTAGCATAATTGTCCCAGTTGATTGATTTTTGGTATAATTGTGTCGATCCTCAATTACATAAACATAAAGAAATAGATGCAAAGAATGTTATGTTTACTCTAATTACCCAAATCAATCAAGACCAAGGACAAAACAATCACTACAACTAATTGAATCATGTAATAAAAATAAATATTAGAAATAACAACGCAAGTGACTTATTCTTTATCAAATGAAAATAAAAGTAGATAACTGTAATTGTATGCCACTTCATTTTATAGATGAATACATCTGACTAATCTTTAACAAATATTTTGTTGCTTTTTCTTAAATATATTTTTTTCTATCATCTGTATTAGTGCGTAGTTGAGTATCAGCTGTCACATTTCAATTTATTTTTAAATTACTTTTTGAGTACCGATGTACTTTTTCTTTATATGATTTTGACTTCAGCTGGAGAAGTAATGAAACACGACTCCAAGCTCGGGATTAAGTCAGGCACACAAGAGCTTCTTCAGATTTTGTGTTTAGTTCTTTTTCTTTTTTTCCTTATTTTTGTCATTACTGACCATTTTATTCTTTACATATTACTCATCAGTAAAAGTTGTTCAGTTTGATAATTTCTTTTTCTACAAAATGATGTCATTTAAACAATACTTTATACAAGTTCGATGTAAATACGAATGATTTGTAGAGATTTCTATAGCAGAAGCGGAAGAGAAAATAACTTATACAGACAACTAATCGATTCTTTCGAAATTTATGCGGCAATAGAATGTATATCACGCTGTGAAACTAGTGCTTACAAATTATAAAAGAAAAGTTTGAAAGAATAACAATACAATAAAATACTTTATTGAGTATTTTGTTCATTTCGTTGAATACTACCAACGACGCTTTTTTTGTGTATCTGTCTTGGATTTATGGTCTGATATGTCAGGGTGTGGGCGTGGGTAGGTGAGAGATGATCATAACATCAACACCCACATCCTTAAGATCTTGATTAGATCAAATTAAACCATAAACCTAACTCTATTGCAATAAAACTTTGTACCAACAATAAGGAATAATTGAATATATGCGTACTTGGAAAAATGATATGTACGAAATTATTTGCGGATGTCTTTTGTGTTCTTTGTTAGGATAAATACTGGTCAGACCTCTGCATATGATTAATGCGCTTTTGACTTGGTAGAAATAAACATTATTAAATAACATTTGTCTTCTGATGTCGCGGAAAGATTTTTTTGCTGCTATGAAACCTGAAAATTTCATTTATATGGTTGCTTCGTATTGATTACATTGAGAAATATATTTGAATGCACAATAAATTAAAAGAAGAAGGACATCGTAAAAAAGTACATTCAATCTTCTCGATGAGACGACTATAACAACAATGCGAAACCTCATAACAAAGTATACATTGTATAATTATGTCATACATGTATTAACTCAGCTTATGCCATTGTACATATATATATGCTAATATTTTCATTGATGAAAAGAAACGTATTGATTGTATTTATTTCAAACAACGTCGCAGCATCTTTGACAGCATTGAAAAAATGCAGAATTCTAAAATACGTGTAACACGAATCAAATCAAAACGATGTACTATTCATCGAAATCAGTCTAACCATGTAAGTAAATTCGGATCAAATCTAAGACAAACATAATAGTTTGTTCTTTGATTACAATTATATCTTGTCAATGTTTAAAGTAGTGTATGAGACTTATGTTCCTAAATAATATAGTATAAAAAATATTGTTAATTGACTATAGCTTGTAGAAATAGTACTATATTGAACCATTCTGATTTTCATAATTTTAACAGGCAGGAATAACGACTGGCTTGTGTGAGTCGTTTCATTCTAAACAAGCAATATATGAGCAAGACTTAACAAGTAAACAAATGGACTCGATACCTTTGAAAATGGCTGTTTCTTCTTCAACAGTTTCTGCACTAAAAAACAAAATGATGAGAAAAACAGCAACCGTACCAATGGCGCCCATTCTGGAACAAAGACCAAAGTCGAGCACCATCAACCCACATCATCAAGCTATGAATGACAGTTTTGCTCCGAGCAGTGTTTTTGTCAAAGATATAGGAATGCAAAATTACATCAATCTTGCAAAAGATTCACCGAAATTCTCACCACGTTTCAAGACACAATTGTCGACTTTACCAAAGTCCAAACTAATCCAGGTAATGTATTACTTATTTCTGCCTATATCGAATATTTTTCTTCGTAGGATAAAATATCTACCAAATCAGTTTTACAGTGTGCAAATCTATCTCAAATTCGACTATAAAAACTTGACGGTATATACACTCATGACTGTTTTTCTATTGTAGAAGGTGGCACCTGCAAATAGTAGCGACGAAGACAGTGATATAGTACCGTCAACATCACAATTTCCGGTACAGAATAACTTTCATACAACAAGAAAAATACCACTAAAAATCTTCTCTTTGCCCAAAATTGACAAAACCAGTCGAAGAGTACGATATTCTGTCCCAGATGACTATGAGCAACCAAACAGCAATCGACGACGTCGTTCAAAATTATTCGGTAGATGTTGTTCTTTTTGGTCACCTTGTTGTTGTTTGACAACAAGTCTTCTTTTGGCATTGCTTCTTGCTGGTTCTGCAACATTAATTGTAATACTAATGACAATGAATCAAAAATCCACTGTTACAATAAGTATGGTGATCTGTTTTTGTTGAAGTTTGCTTCTTACTATTTATAGTATGTTTTAGCGACAATAATATTAACAACGACTACTAACACAACTAACCAAACCTCTACGACTACCAGTACAACTAATCAAACGTCTGCGACTGCCAGTACAACTAACCAAACGTCTGCGACTGCCAGTACCACTAGTCAAACGTCTACAACCCTGATCACAACGACAACCATAACTTCCATTAATACGACTTCAATCAGTACTACGACTATTACACGCAACATTTGCACTGGTAGCTTAACCTATGTATCACAACTTCTTTATTTGGATTTAACCTCAAATCTTACTTGGACGATGTATTCGTTCAATTACACGGCACCCAACATTACCTCGGCTAAACTTATGTTCGCACTGCGCGATGATCCAGACTATCTGTATTTAGATGATGTTTCCGTAACTAACAGTTCAGGAATTCAGCTCTTATCAAACGGTGGTTTCGAATTGGATACTCTTTCAGGGTGGACGTATTGTAATCCTAGCAATGCTCCTTCTTCTGGTGCCATTAGCTTAGGAAATTCTCATAGTGGTTCCTATTCTTATATGGATGGATCAGTAGGTTCCAGCGACTATTTGAGTCAAACATTTGCCGTTGTGCCGAACAATATCTATTCTATCACATTTTGGCTTTCTTCAAGTTCCACCAGTTCAACTTTTGCTCTCGTTACCATTGGCGCTTAACCAAACTTTCAAAACGGCTAATCTACCCTGTACGAGAGAAGAACTGTAGAGTATCGAATCAGTTATAAACTGGACAATTAATAGCAAACAGTGACGCTTAGTTTTTATCTTTCTTTAGAAAACTTATTGCATATTTATACTATTACGTTTATCACTATTAGATAGTGATCAATAACAGAGGTGTGGGTGTAGATAGTTAAAGATAGGAGACACATATATCCGCCATCAAAGACAATTTCGAGAAGCAAATAACATTTAGCACTCTGATAGAAAAATAATCCACGATTTGTACGATCACACAAATATTCTTGCAGTGGAATGAAAAAAAACGTCGTAGTATTTTAATAAAAGCATGTCTACAAATATTTCATAATAAATGTTTTCTAGTCTAACAAACTCATGATTTTTATTACAATAATACGACGTGCCAGCAGTTATCACTACTCACTCTCTGTAGGAAGGTAAATAGATCTCATATCAATTTTACTATTGCTTTTATTGCATTCTCATATATAAATCTGACATTTCGAGTTGTTGACGTATGTGTTATTATGGGTATGGTTTTGATTTTTTTAATAAGCATGAACATTTATTACTTTTTCTCCTCATATTTATCAACAGAGAGAAATAGAGTTTGAGATACATCTATTGGTGATTTAAAATAACATAGGCTTGAAGAACAGGTAAGTAACAGAATAATCTACTAATGACGTACACTAAATAGTATTATTTATATTTATACTTGAAAACATAGTTAGAATAAAACAGAACAAAATAAACTAAGGAGACTACTCTTTATCAAATGTATGATTAGTTTTTCTTAATAAAGAATCGAATCATAATTATCATTGATATTTATATTTAGTTGAACAAATATAAATCTGAAGACTAAAATTTATTTCAAAATGGGTAGCTGTCAATCATCATTGTCTCGAATAGAAAGAGACGCATATGAAGATATTATCAACAGTATTCCTATCCATTGCCAACAAGAAATTATTAAATTACCAAAAAGAAAATTTTTTAATATCTATAAATTTCATTTAATAGCTAAATATTATCTTCAACAAAAAGAATATCAAATGGCACTTTTAAACGAATGTCTAGCAATTCAGAATTTAGAACTTCTGTTATCCAATCATAAAGATCACATGATTTTTGCACCAATGCACAACTTACTTTCATTATGTTTCTTGGAAACGATGAACATGCAACTGGCCATTCTAGAAGGATTAATAACCTTGAAGATAATACTGAAACATATGGCAACAGATTACCTAGAAATAGGTTTACAATATTTTCGAGTAGCTGTTTTCTGTCTATTGGGAAGACAATTCAAATCAGCTGAACGATATTTCATAAAATCTATTGAAATAGCACAACTTGGCGATGGATTGCGACTAGATTTCATTCAAAAAATAGAAGTACTTCTTCAAACGACAAGGTAAAGAAATCTATGAACGAAAAGATAACTAGCTTTTGATTCTATTATATATTCCTTGAGTAGAACGTATGTGATATTAGTTAAACATTTTCATTTAGTTCACTTTTCTTTTGTTTAATAGAGCACAAATTAGTGGTTCACCATTACGAATTATACCAATTAACTATGAGTCAGGTCTTGATGAGAATCGAGAAGATCTTATACGTCGTGCAACGAATGAAATGAGTGTCATCGCTAATCAATTTGGAACGTTTCAAATTAATGAGACTGAATTGAAGCGTTTACCTGATAAACAAACGGAATTACTAATTAATGACAACATTGTAAATGATATTTTGAATAGTTTAATAACTTTTCTAAAAGAAAATGACCCGTTGAATAAATTAGGAATAAAAGGTAGTGGAATCTGTTTTGTCGCAGCATATTTCAAAAGTATACAAATGGAAACAAGTTCATTGTCAATTCCAATTATCGAAGCTGGATTAACAATAATTATTAATCAAATCAATGATGACGATCGATTTAGACCATTGAAACAATTACCATTTACGATTTCCTATATTGATGATGATCAATCGAATATAGCAGGCGTGCGTGTGTTTCAAATCAAAGGAATTATAACATCTAACAAACAATAGTAAGTCTTTTTTTGGATTTTATCATCGAAAATAAATAATTACTTTTTTTGTAATTTGCTTCATAGAAAAGAAATAAATTTTGGAGATTTATTCACCTTTCAAAGAAGCAACGTTTAATTGATATGTACATCCAAAGATGAATAATAGTTTTTTTCAAAATTCAATCTTTAGTTGAGTAAAGCTCGCTATTGTGTTTGCACTTTGAAAAAAATTATAAAATGTTTCAAAATGTGATTGTAAATAAACGATGTATCTATTTAATGTACGTACAGAAGACAATTGACTATTACTTAAAATCTGGAGAATATCCCACTTTACAACAGTTACAATAGAAAAAGCCAGGGAACTAACGAAATTTTGTTTTATTGTACGAACACTTAAATAAATTAATATATATACCTATATCGTTCAAACCGATCAAAACTCGTCGGTTAAGTGTGAGTGGATGTGAGCACAACGCCTCTTAACCTTCACTCACACCATCAAGATGTGTTTTCATGCGTTTTTTTTCAAAGTAAAGTTTGACTAGATAAACAAAATTGAATGAAAATGACAACCGAAATTAGTTCACCTTTTTGTGTGTTCTTTATCTTTCGCAACCGTTTGGTAGTTGATAGAAAAATATCGACATTTGCCACTTTTCTTTGAATGTCAGTGAGTGAGAATAAATAACAAGTTACTTTTCATTTCTTTAACTGTATTTCACTATGAGTTGTGCAATGCAGGGTGTTCTTCAACAATATTTGTTTCTCACGCTAATGTTCTTAAGCTTCAGTAGCTTTATATCTTCTGAATTCGATATCAAATGTAAATTTGCTGGAAAACAGAATACTCCGTTTTGGGCTGGCGACATTATCGCTGGTACGGTCGAATATGCGCATAGTAAATATCCGGAATGGAATATAACAAATATCAGGGCTGTACTGTTTGGCATGGTTTCATATAAAGCGAGGTTTTTTGAAAAGAGATCACGTCACAGCTATGAATTCTTACGTGAACGACTCATCTTACGATCAGCCAATGGTTCAAAAGATCTTCTTCCAGCATTTCACAACTACAGTTGGCCGTTTAGTTTCCGTCTTGATAAATCTTTACCACCTACGGTTCAAAAGATTCATTCCAAAAGCGCAAATGTTTATTACTACATTATGTTTCTGTTTGAACGACCCGAGTGGTATAGAAAGGATCTTGACAAAACTTGCTCTGTTAATATTCAACATTTGTCGTCGTTGACAAATGCAAAGCAAGTTGAAGAACGAAAAAAGAATGAAAAAGGTACTCACCTTCATGTTATTCTTCATAAAAATATAGTCGTTGCTGGAAAAACCTTCTCATTTACGGTTAACCTGCAAAACTGGAAGAAAGCACTCATACATCGCTTATCCGCTACTCTGTTACAGACAGTAACAGGAGGTCGCATCACAAAAACAAATGACGTTTTACATAAGCAGACTCTTGAGGGAATGCATTCATTTCAAAATGAAACTTTTCATCAACAGTTCGAATTACCTGTACCTCTCAATGCTGCATCCACATGGGCTGCGAATTCTTCTTTCGGGTTTTTTAAAGGCAAACCACTTGCCGTGAGCCATAAACTTCAAGTCGAAGCTCATATTCGTGGTTTCTACACCAATATTTGTCTGAAGATTCCGCTGACCATTATCTATACAAACGAAACACAAAACTGATCAAATACTGTCATCACTATACAAACTAAGGATATTTCTTCGCGAATGACTTCTGTTTTTCTTGATTATATCTAAATCAATATGTTTCTATGAAGTTCTATTCAATAAATGAAAGTTAAACCTTGATGGTGTCTGTAGGTTTCTTCTGAGGGTGTGGGTGAGGGTGTGATTGTTCACTCTGTCTACTCCATCCACACCCTATATGTGCACATGCAAATTATTGTGTGTTTACACGCCTTTCTTTTCAAAATAAACTTTGACTATGCAAATAAAATTGAATGAAAATGGCAACCCAAATTAGTTCACATTTTTGTGTGATCTTTATCTTTCGCAACCTTTTGGTAGTTGATAGAAAAATATCGACATTTGCCACTTTTCTTTTAATGTCAGTAAGTGAGAATAAATAACAAATCATTTTTGATTTCTTCATTTGTATTTCATTATACGTTGTGCAATGCAGAGTGTTATTCAACAATATTTGTTTCTTACATCGATGTTTTTAAGCTCAAATAGCTTTTATTTTCCGACATTCGATGCCAAATGTAAATTTGCTGGACAACAGCATACCACATTTTGGGCTGGTGGTACCGTTGCTGGCACGGTCGAATATACTGATAGTGAACATACGGAATGGAATATAACGCATATCACCGCTGAACTGCACGGTCGAATTGAATTCAAAACGAACGTTTGGGAGAAGAGAAAACGTCGCGGCTACACTTTCTCAGACAAACGATTCATATTCCGGTCAGCCATTGATTCAAAAGATTTTCTTTCAACAAGCGGTAACTACAGTTGGCCGTTCAGGTTTCGTCGTAGCAAATTCTTACCACCTACGATCAAACAGACTCATTCCAAAAGCGCAGAACTTATGTACTATATTGCTTTGATATTTGAACGACCCGGCTGGTATAGAGCGAACATTCGTAAACAGTGCTACATTGATATTCAACATTTGTCGTCGTTAAAGAATGCAAAAAAAGTTGAAGAACAAAAAGCAAATCGAAAAGGTGTTCATCTTCATGTTATTCTTTATAAAAACATAGTCGCTGTTGGAAAAAACATTTCATTGGAAGTTAACCTGCGTAATCCAAAGAAAAAACTCATACGTCGTATAATCGCCACTTTGTTCCAGATAGTATCAGGAGGTTGCATCAGAAAAGAACGTGCAGTTCTAAATTAGCAGAATCTCAAAGGAATTGACTCATTTCGAGGTGAAACGTTTCATCAACAGTTGGAATTACCTGTACCTCTCAAAGCTGCATCTACATGGGCTGCAGACTCTTCTAATGGGTTTTTAAAGTGCAGACCGTTGGTCGTGAGTCATAAACTTCAAGTCGAAGCCGACATTCGTGGCTTCTATACCAATATTCGCCTGGAACTTCCGCTAACCATTATCTACACGAATGAAACACAAAACTGACCAAATACTATCGTCACGAATGAGGGGTGGGTGTGGCTTCAAGAAAAGACACAGTTACTGTGTGTATCGTAGTGCTTTAAATGATGTTTGATAATATTTTAGTATAGATAAGAGAAATATTTTCAGATCAATATCACTTGAATTATGAATACGATCACTGCCTATAATTATCAATGAAGATACAACAGAGGATGAAGATAAATGATTTATAATCACACACGAAGGAATATTCATTTTTTTTATATTATGATTGAGTATAGTTTGCCAGTTATGGGACAATTAGATTTGTTTTTCTATATTTCAAATGATGACTTTTATTTGACTAAAAAAATAAATCGGGTGGAAAATATTCCTCGATAAATTGAAAAAGAATTAATAATACAAAAGTAACTTTTGCAATCGAATGCACATGATATTTTCCAATAGGTAGAAATTAAATTTATTCTAAACTCACATCCATCTCGATCATTTACCGTTTATCGATGGTAAGGATAAGTAATGTCATTATTTTGATGGATTTGAACTTGTATAAAATACATATGAGATAAAAATCAAATAAATCTTACTTTTCATTGTTTCTTAATTAAAAGATCTTCAGCTTAACACTGTCTTACTTTATTTTCTTGTTAAAAAACAAACTATTCAGTAAAGACAATCTATGGGTGGGTGCGAATGAGACATGAGTCAAACAAGCACACTAATAATAAAAATCTTCAAAGTTTTTATTTATCAGTAAGTTTTATATTGTTCATATGCTATTTAGATTTGAGCCAATATTGTAATAAATTAACTTCGATGGCACCTAAAATCAATTGTTCAACATGATAAAGAATCAATGGTAGAGAAAATAATCCAGCAAGACCTTGATTATTAGCTGAATTAACAGCACTTATCAATGGAACACCTTTCGCGACTGTTTTCGTTGCTGCACAAAACATAATAGCTATAGTATCTTCTCGTGAGAATCGCCAACGTTCAATTAATGTCTTTTGTTTGTCTTCAGATTCTAATAACAATGGCTGTTTATCGCTACTAATTGTACGTTGTCCACAAATGAAAATATTAGGTAATCTAGCAAAAAACATTGCTAATAATGAAAATGTTATGTAGAATGTTGCGTTAAGAGCTATGACAATGATAAGATCCCTTGTTTTGATTTGATTTAATAATCCACTTTGAAATAAATCACAAAAAATTGACCAAAGTAGAATTAATAATGCCAGACTATTTAATTCAGGAAAATGAAATTTTGTTTTTGCCCATAATATTTTTTCTGTCCAAATAGTATAGATTATTTGACCGATGATAAGAGGAACTATCACTGTTAAACCTAAATTGAACAATACGTGTAAATAATCATGGATATTATATTCATGTTGTAAAATATTTAAATTAGAATTTAACATAAACAACCAGATAAGAGCTGGCGATACGAATACACCCAGGATATTGCCTAATATTGCATTTACCAATGCCGCTGGTTCGTTGCCACCCGCATTTTTTGTCATGATGACCTATAATGAAAAGAAAAAGTGGTAACTCGAAGAAAATGAGGGAAGGCAATTTACATTGCTTGAGATAGTTGTAGTAGTACAAGCCATCATTATAATACCACCGATTAATATTTTATTAAATGATAATTTAATGAGTAATAAACAAACTACAAAGACAACCAATGGAATAAAAACAAGATTAAATACTTGTGTAAATATATGTAAACGAAAATGAAATATTTCAGTAGCTATTTCGTTTGTCTGTAAGGATAGACCACTAAGAAAAAAAATTATTATAACACATCCCCATTTAAGTGAATATTCGGTATGAAGTATTCCACCTGATGCACCTAAATAAGGAAACAAGGCAGCGAAAATCATAGCAATTGCTAAACCAAAAATAAACCAAAATTTTTTAAGTAATTTAAGTAATATATTTAAACAATATCTATTTGTTGGTTTTGTATAGATACATTTTAATTGTTCATTAGCATCATTTGATTTAGAAAATAGATAAATAGAATCTATTTGTGAATAGCTTTTCAGATGATTTAGTTGATCAGATGATAAATTTCCAGAAATAATTATCACAAATTTTTCATTATTCGTATGTTTCACAATAAAATCTTCGATATCGTTAATATTTTTAAATATTTGGTTTATTACCATCAAATTTTCATCACCTGATAATTCGTTTAGTAAATCAAGACCAATGATCATATATGGTGATTGAGAATATTTGGATAAAATACTTAAATTCATGTTTATCTACAAATAAAGTTCAAATATGAATATATAAACTTGAAAGACAATTAGTATACAAAAACATTTATTTTTTACATTATTACTTCCAGCTGTGAAAATATATGTGTGTCATTCATCTAGTAATAATTATTATTTTTGAAGATCATAAGTATTGTGAACTGATAATGGAGAAAAAATAGTAGATATGCAGTTCGATTCAACTATACTCTAATGTTTTACCGACGTCCAGTTGAAGTCTTCATTCGTAAACTCGTTTGAATAAGCTACAGTATGATATTATTTTAGATATCAACTCATCAAAATCATATACAAAATATAATGGCGTTACCTGCTCCATGTATAACTTTTTTTACATAAACGAAAGAATAAAAATCAATCAAGCATGAATATGTAACAAAAAGAAGAGCTAGTATCGTTTGTAATATTCTCATATCTACCGATACATTATATGATAGAAAACCACGTGTTAGCAAATAAAATTTGTTTTTCTCGTTCGGTACAATATTGAAGCGCTGAAAGTGTGGATATTATAAAATGGAAACATATTTTTCATTTTCTTATATGCCACTTTCATCGAATTCCTTTATTGCTGGAATAATATATCAAATTTGTCTTGTAAAAACGTTGTTGTTTGATATCTTGGTTTATTTTCGTTGTCTACCGATGTAAGTAAGGATAAAAATACGTAATGAGATATGTAAATACAACTGTCTTTTGTAATTTCTGTCTTAACTTGTATATTATCACTTGCTTCGTTAGTAAATTAACACACCACGTGTAATAACTCGTTATCAATAAGCAATGAAGCGTTAACTTTTTCTATTCCATACTTTCTTCTCTTTTTTCGTCACCATTAACTGCATTTGAAATTTATTATCACTATATTTCTATAAGTTTAGGAAAAGCTTTGCTAAACATAAAATAAAATATTTTTATATCTGATTTAAATAATAATAATTCAAAGATTTTTATTTGATTAGACATTTTCGAAATATATAACAAGTCTGTCTTGAAATGCAATAAAAACAACATAAGAACAAAGAGTGAATTAATCTGTATTTATTTCCATTGAAAAAAAATATTCTTTTCTCTTTTCGCCGATAATATCTTGTAGAATTTACATCGGTCATCATGAATAACGATTTTTCAAATTAAAAAAAATCAATTACTCTACATGACATGCTATAATTGAAATTGTAATATGATATCTGTCTTATAACGGTGACAGAGTAAGTATCTGTATATAAAAAATACTTGTTTTTTCATATTATTGTGCGTAAATTACAAAAAGGTTCGTCAAAATGAAACAAACAATATTATTGATAATGTTGATTCTATGTATAAATCAATGTCTAAGCCAAAAAGGTTTTCCAAAACAATTTCAAACAACGTTAAATATAAGTGGTTTACAATCATGGCAAACATCAACACCAGATGTTCAAAAATTATTATATGATTAAATATAAACCTGAAGGTGCTGAATCAAATTCAGTAAGTAGAAAAAAATAATTTAATATGAAAAGAAGAAGATTCTATTTTTAGCCAGCTTCACAAGGTTATGCATTATTTAATTTCAATCCTGATTACTCAGAATCTACCAAAGTAAAGTAAAACAATACTCTGTTCAACATTTTTCTCTTTTGATTTTTGAAGAATGATTGTTGGTACAGAACAGATCCAAAATTGATCGTTGATGAACAAGATCATACTAATATTCAACCATGGTTTCCGTTACCGTCAAATCTTGTCAATAAGGGGAAAGAATGGATACCAGAAATACAACTAAATGCTACAGTATGTTTTCATGTTTCGATTAGAATTAAATTAATCTATGAATAAATGATATGCAATAGAAAGTTTTTTTCATTATTATTATAGAGATATGATTCATCTGAAATATGTGATTTAGAACGATCTGATCTTGGAAAAGTTCCATGTTTAAGTTATTTTGAAACAGAAGATAGACCAGCTAAAACTATTCGTGCACGTGCTGCTCAAGGTGGTTACGATAGTGATGAGTAAGTGCAAATGATTTGCTTTTATTGATACAATACATAACTACTGTTTATTTATCATTTATTTATGGTATTCCATCACAAGCGGAATATTTATTTGATTTATCGGCATTCCAAATACAGGTGAATTATAAATTTCAATAACTTGTTTGGCATTATTATTTATGCTATTGTTTTTCTTTTAGGTTTTAATGTGGAACCTCAACATGGATATGTAGTAACTCCAAATGGTCAAGATCATTTTACATTGAAATTACAAACACCATTAGTTCGTTCACTTGGCGATCAAGTCAAAGTTGAGTTTAAAGTACAACCAAATTTGTATTACAATGGTACACAATGTGCTAAATTTAATCCAATTATTTTTAATCAAGAAAACTGGGATAAACCATTACAAGTTGATATGTCTTTTATTGATTATGGATGTTGCACATATGCAATTACAGCAAATGGTGGTGGATACGAATGGCTATATACAACACAAACATTTGTTGTTTATGCATGTGATGGACAAGCTGGATACGGTTGCATTGGCAAACAACCATGTGGAGCCTAAAAATAATAAGAAAAATCTACTTGTGGTTTACACATATGTGTGTAATAAAATCTATTTTAATTTTACTTAAATAAAATAAATATTGATGTTACTCGAGAATTCCATCAGAACTTTCTCAACCAATGAAGAACATCAATGAAATGTCTAGGATTGAAACTGGACTGATTTGAGTAATTGATTCCACATAAATCTCTAGGTACTTCCATTGTAGAAATTTAGTTTTACAGATTCATCTTTTTTTCTTCGTTCATTGGTAGTCTTCTTTCTAATTTACATGGGACATTGTCATTAAAATAAACTAGCTTGACTGCCTATCAAGTACATCTTGTTGCACGAAAACTAGAAATCCAGTCAGATATGATATTTCGCTCCAATGAATTAAACTTCATTATAAAGGTTATCATAATGTGAACAATTTTAATATAACGTAAAAGACTCTTGTGTAAACGTAGATCTACCTATATATACCATCATTCACACTGTAATCAAAATAATCTTATTTTCTATAAAATACGACGTGAGGATCTGAGTGTTATATTCATTCTAAATCCGCACTCACACTCTCAAGACGCATTTGCAATCGAATCACATGAATATATTGTTTAGTTCAATCGTTTTCTTAATTGACCAGTCGTATTTATGTCACAGTGATGGCATTCTATAATGATGTTACAAAAAACTTGGAGGAAATTATTCCTGATTCTCCATTCTACAAATCTCTAACGATTTCTCTCATTAATGGCTGATTCGAAACAAATTACAAAAATCATTGATTAAACACAATTTTTTTCAAAATCATTAAAATCTTGAGGATGAGTATGAGTGACTGAGTGACTGAGTGTGATAGTGAATATGATTACTCACACCCACACCCTGGCTCGACTCAATCCTGAAAGGAACAATAAATGCACGACAGTTTTCAACAATAAGAGTGTTTGTCCGAAAAGGCAAGTCAACTATCCACAATGCGCTTAAAAACTACACCATCCACTCTCACTCTATGTCACGCACTTCCAACCATTTTCACTTTCTCTCTCCCACTCTTGCCCTATTTGTCACAGTTCTACCTTATTTCACCCACTCTCTAGTTATACGGATTGCTTGATGTAATGATGGTGAAATCTGATTAGTTCAAAAAATTGACTAAACAGACACCGGACAAACACCCGAATTTCCGTGTTCCCAACTCATCCTTACAGGAATGAGAATAATGGTTGATGTAATAGCCATTATTTCGTTATCAATTAAACAATTTCTAAATGTCCAAGAGGCATCATTTTAATGCCTGCGAAGAGCAGTATTTTTTGTGACAGTTTTTTATCATTAAAATTATATAAATTTGAAAGCATTTTAACGCCATTACACCATTTTTTTTCTGCCTGGATTTTTTCTTTTTCATTATATCAACAAAACATCGCGAAAAAAAGATCTGATGTTTAGATAACATTCATATACGATAACAAATTTTGTTTGTATAAATAGGACATCAGTTAACTTATAAAGCCATACGGTTCTGACTATTTTCATACAATTTTTTTTCAAATCGTTAGTTATCGCATAATAATCAATGTTATTTCTTACTATTCTCTTGTCATTATCAATACAAAAAAGTACATGTTATGAAATTGAACCAATGTTTGGTCAAAAATATATACAATTTCCAACGAGTACAAATAATAGTCTAGCACAAAAACATTTTATTTTTGGTCTTGCTCATTTACATAGTTTTGAATATTCATTTGCATCTGAACAATTTGAAAAAGCTTATAGTCTTGATTCTAAATTTGCAATGGCTTATGTATTTTCTGCATTAACTAATATTCAACCTGTTTGGTTAGGAGAAAATCCAAAAGCAGGTTGGGAACAAATCAAACAAATGAATTTACATATTGATTTTGAAAAATTAACACAGCGAGAACAATTATATGTTGAAGCAGGAAGAAATTTATTTAAACGTGGAATACTTCATTATAATGATTATATAAATTCATTAAAAATAATATATGATTTATTTCCAATGGATAATGAAGCTGGTTTATTTTTAGTTTGTGTTCTATTTCGAAAGACTCAACCAGAAATTCGTGGATATTTAAATCGAAATTCTCAAGGTCGTCAATTGCAAATCAAAATTTTAAAAATAATTTTAAAAACAAATCCAAATCATCCAGGTGCATTACATTATTTTACTCATGTTTATGATCAACCACAAACAGCATCATGTGCATTATCAAATACATTGAAATATTCTTGTATAGCACAAAGTTCATCACATGCTCAACATATGTCATCACATATTTTTCTTCGATTAGGATTCTATCGACAAGCATTAATTGCTAATTTAGAATCGGATGAAATCGGAATGAATATTCAACGACAATATCATAGTATTGAATTTATGCATTATATTTATTTAAATATGGGAAGACGAACATATGCTTTACAATTTTTAGAAAATCTAAAATCATTAATTAATAATAATACTTTTTATAGAATGCAATATGGAATTATGTATGATCGACATATTGTAGAAACACAGAATTATAATTTTGCATTTGATAATCCATTTGATTTAATTATTTGTTCGGAATGTACAGTACTTGGTGATTTGCTTTGGTTGTATCAAATTAATTCTGGATTATTACTTGTCAAAGGATTTTCAACAATTAAAAATGATCAACAATATAATTCTACTATTGTTCAATATTATATTGAACAATTAGTTAATATGTCAATTGAAGTAAATAAAACTGAACCAACACTTTCGATATCGATATTAGCTATGACATTACAATTAAAAGCATTTCATCAATATTATCGATTAGCAACGACAAACGATGAAAAAAATCTTGCATTGAATTATGCTCGAATAGCAAATGAACTTGAATTATCTGTTAATCCACCAAGTTATGGTCCTCCAATTGATCCAGTTAAACCTAGTCAAGAACTTTATGGTGAATTACTTTTAGAAAATAAACAATATGAAAAAGCAATTGAAGAATTTTTACATGTTATGACATATTTTCCAAATCGAACATTAACACTTATTGGATTAGCAAGAGGTTATTCATTATTAAATAGAACGAATTTAGCTCGTTTATATTATTCTTGTTTAATTAATGATGTGCTTTATAATTCATAATTTGGTCTACCATGGTATGATGAAGCATACAATTATCTAGCTTCTCCAAATTTCGATAGTGTACCACTTGATGATATACATCTTTGCTAACAGTGAAAGATCTTTTTTCTCAGTTGTTCGTTCTTCAAAATGAAACGATAAACATTGATTTTCAATGTATTGAAATAAAATTATATAAAAAGAGGTGTTGATTGTAGTGTGGGTATAGTGGGCGTATAAAAGACATCAATACTTATGTTCACACCTACATCCTAAGATAAATAAAACTATTATTTTTCTAGAATTCATGAAAAGTCATAATTCTGTTTTGAAACTATTTATCAATTTTTTTATTTGGCCAAAACATAGTGTAAAAATCCAAGGTTTTATTGTGCTTCGAATGATCAGCCCTTCCTCTACAACTAAATAAAAATATGTCTCTGCAGAATAAAACTTCGAACTTATCTTCTCTTCACGCAGTCCTCATTTTCTTTTAGATACCTAATTTTTGTACAGCTAAATAGTCTATTTTATTTTTTGTTGTGCCAGATCTGATTTGCGACATAAGCACAGCGATTCAAATTATTTTTCACTGTGTTGTATACTACAACTGCGAACTTTTTCTATTATACATAGAACATCATTTTCATCTTCATCTTCTTTTTCATATTGACATTTTGTTACTCTTTGCTCTTGAAATCAAAAGATGAGCGAATGCTTGAATTGCATCATCAACCTCTAAGGGTACATTGTGGTTCAGATTCACCTTGGAAGCATCAATCGAAACTAGATAAACGATAACCTTTTCAAAATTACAGTGGGAAATAATACATCAACAGGTAAATATTATATTTTAGTAACTGCCTAAAGTATGTGGGTGTATGATAAGTAAAGACAATATCCACACCTACACATTGCAATCATTCATTCTTGAAGATTTAAAGATGTAGTGACTACAAAATAAACTACAAGAAATGATTCATTATTATTAAAATAAAGCAGGTGTGTTGAAAGCATAATATTGAAAGAAAAAAGTAATAATATTAAATGTTCAAAGTTGTTTGCACTGTTGGTTCATTGGAAATGTCTTACAGATGTATATTATGTAAAATCAAGCCATTATATCAACTATTAATTAACGGTTTTCCATTTGTTAATACTGGTACTTTGAGGTAATCTGATGCATTATTCATTTTATGGATAGATGACACAGCTTTTGTCAATGGAATATATAATTCAGTTATATTAACACCGTAGCTATTACCACCAGCAACTAACACATTTCCGTCTGCTAATGTAGATGCTGTGTGCCATGCTCGTGTAAAACTCATACTACCCGCGGTTGTCCAATTTCCTGTTAATGGGTCATACAGCTCGGCACTTTTTAGAAAAACTACACCGTCATCTCCACCAGTAACCAATACTTTTCCGTTTGCTAGTACGGTTGCTGTGTACATTTGTCGTGCATCGTTCATGCTACCAGTGATTGTCCAAGTTTCTGTCGATGGGTCATACAACTCAGTACTGTAAAGACCATATATATCGTATCCACCAGCCACTAGCACTTGTCCATTTGCCAATACAGAGGCTGTGTGAAAACCTCGTCTACTCTTCATACTACTAGTAGTTGTCCAGGTTCCAGTTGATGGATCATACAACTCAGCACTATCTAGAACAGGTCCATCATTTCCTTCGGTCACTAATACTTTTCCATTTGTTAATACACATGCTGTATGTCTTTGTCGTGAATTACCCATACTTGCAGTAGTGACCCAACCTCCTGTTGATGGATCATACAACTCAGTACTATTTAAAAAAATCTCACCATTAATTCCGCCGGTAACTAATGCCTTTCCGTTGGCCAGTACGGACGCTGTGTGACCATATCGCGGGGTATTCATGGTACTAGCATTAAACCATCCTAAAGAGAATCATGTGAATATAGATTTGCTGAAGAGAATATGTAATGAAGTACACACTCTACCAATAGGTACAATTCTCTTACAACAAATCACCCTTGTGCGATATAATAATTATTGCTGAAGGATATCACTTCTATTCTGTAATGTAACATCTTTCTCACATAATCTCGATCTTTCTATGGATGTAATCGTATCATCTCTTCTTTTGTGTGAAAAGTAACGCATTATAATGACTATACAAAGATGTGTATAAGAAAAGAACAAGAGAGTTGGTGAATAGAATAGTGTATGTAATATCATCATCTATACCGAAGATAATGCTAATACTACTCGATCAATTCGTCTTTGTGAACACAATAAAAGAATATAATGCTGCAGCAAATTAACAGATTTTTCTATCCGCTTTTTCATATGTAAAATTCGTTACACACAAGATATAATGTCGGCGCCAGAAATAGATGGAAAAAACTATGTGATGAATATCTCGACAACGGGAAAAGCTGGAGACCTGTGGTTTTCAACATGTCAAAGGACAAAGTCTGGAGCATCTTGAGGGTGGGTATGGGTTTGAGTATGAATATTCTATATATCGCATACTCACATACACTCACCCACATTCTGATAGAAGATGCAAAGGATCGAGGTTGTGACTACTTTTAATTGATTATCCGTAGAAAAAAATCTATGCATTAACTATGTTTGTGTTCTACTTTGTATTCCAAACTCATTTTTCGTAACAGAATTAAAAAGAATTAAAAAATCTTGAATAGAGGAAGCAATTGCTATGTGTTGTTTTCAATTCCATTTTATTTAAACTTGAAGCTAAATAGAAATCGGGTCTGGCTCTGGGTCTATCTGCAGCTCTCTAACTCTGAAACTTATCGGAAGCAGTCAGATGCTGGAATTAAATCTAACTGTTTTAGAATGCATAAATATCCTTGGAATTCGCTGTATCCGATTGACAGATATCAAAAGAAATTGGTGAATTACATCAGTATCCGGCAAAAATTAACCGACCGAACCCGAAATTATAAGCAAAAAAAGATTAGCAAATTCAACTCTATTAGTTATCTTTACAAAGAAATATTACCCGATTTCACAATTGGTATAGTCTTGAAATTTATTGGAGAAGTCTTAACGAAATTTAAGATCAACAATAAAATTATTGTAGAAACTATTAATAATAACAATAAATACAAGTTTATCATCTTCAATGAAATACTCACTGTATATTTCTTTGCTATACATATTATTTGTTTTTCATTAAAGTCAAATTCACTAAAAATGAATGAAGTACCGTCAGCAACTAGTTTATATATATCTATCATTTTAATGAGAACAACAAAAGAAAACTACCGTTATTTTTAACAATAAAGTAAATGCATTTTTCTTATCTTTATTTAAGAACAAAACTAGTTCGAACAACAACATATATTTTATATAGGACATTTTTTATTTGAATTCGGTCCAATATTCTAGTTTAGATATTATTCTCTTTAATAGATTTTACAATCGAAGATATTTTCATTTTCTTTCATGTGTTGTTTAAGCATTTACTATTGATCTGTTTTCTGTAAATAAATCTCTAAACATACTATATATTGTTTCAATATCTTTTTCGATCAGTATATCAAAATTGTATGAACGTTCGGGGGTGTACAGTACACATACTTTCGTTAAATTATTACAAAGTAATCTATTAGGTCATATTTTCTAGATTTTATCTGAAATTGTGACTATAGCAGAGATAACATTGATATTAAATGTTTTTCACATAGTTTTAATTGTGTAACAACACCAGTCATTATAATTCTTCGGTTTTTTACCTTAATAATAATAATCAAAAACGACAAGCAATATACAGTTGTGTCTAACATTTATATCTACTTAGGTACTACTTTGAAAATACCATCGATGATTGTATCACGTTTCAATTCTATGAATTTCAGTATGGATAAATCAGATTTTTATATCTTGTTCTTATTTTAATACCAATGTTCTATATTTCATCTTTTTAGTTTAAAAAAGAAATATAAATGTAATAAATAGTATATTGTGTTAGAGTATATAATAAAATATACAACAATAACTGAAAAAAAAAGTTCAGAAAAATGAAAAACTCAATACTGTTCGTACAGTATGGCTCTTAACAAAGACAAAAAGAACTGTCTATATGCTCCTTTATCTGTTGTCTATGAAGAATAAAAACAGCGCTTTAACTCATTTCTTTTGCAATGTAACTATACCTCATACAATAACAAAAATGTTAAAGTTTTTTTTTCTTTCTAATCTATTATAGTGATAGCAAAATGATTCATTACTAAAATTACTGTCGACTAGAACAAACAAGATGCGTTAGTATTTTGTTTTGAATAACTCTTCATAAGTAAAAGATGGAGAAGTACGCTTTTCGTTGTTAAATAAAATTAAATTGGCAAATGAAATCAACGGAAACAAATTTGATTTGAAATTTTAAAATAAATCATTCAACGTTTTCATTTAAATGAAAACAAAAAAAAATAATATCGAAAGAAAAATGAGTTGAGAGTATAAATGAATAAGTGTGAAAGGATATAACTATCCACACCCACACCTGATATATGAAATCAGCATTGTTATTGTCATTGTTATTGCATCTATATATTATTCGCAATGCTCTTTATTGCACTATGTTACGATATTCACGTAATTTCATGATATTACAATGTATGTGTACTACAATGTGAAAATCAATATTTTTCATCAAAAACATTTAGTTTGTTTTTTTCGATTAGTACTGTTTTCATAAAAAGGTGTATCTGACGATAACTAACCTTTGAGAGTTGTGGTCACAAGGTAAATGTTCAATTAAATTTAGATATTTTTTACACTGTCAAATAAATCAAAGGAAGGACGGTGATAACAAGTGTGAATTTCATATTTTTGTTGTATTGCATGAATAGTAACAAAGCATTGCTTATATTTTCCCATATGTTTCTCTATCACATGTGCATGTCAGGTATTGTCATGTGAGGATAGTAATAAATTGTTCTTGCTGACTGAAAACAACATTCTCCGTTTCTCTCCCTCTATATATATACCCACATCTATTCTCATAGTTTCACAAACCAGTTCTTATCTTACTTCAGTTTTACTCTTCACTATATTATTACTATTAATATGCCAGGCTGTGGTTGTGGATGCGGTTGCGGATGCGGTTGCGGATGTGGATGTGGTTGTGGATGTGGTTGCGGTTCGTGTTGTAGTTCATGCTGTGATCCATGCTGTTGTGACCCTTGTTGTTGCTCTTGTTGTGATCCATGCTGCTGTGATTGCTGCTGTGGCCCATGCTGTTGTGTACGTAAAACTGTGTGCTGCTGCAAACCATGCTGCAAAGTCATCAGAAAGAAAACTGTTACTGTTAAAAAATCATGCGCCAAGGTTTGCTGTTGTTAAATGAACATTTTTGTTCAATTTCTATGAACTCATTCAATATCTAATGTATCAATGTTAGAGTATTCTCTAACAGCATTCGTATTATTCTTTCTTTTTCTTATTTTGCCCTTTATTTTTGTTTACTTCTTGCACAGTTAGAAAGAAGATGAATTACATCATCTTCTTTCTTCTCTTTATTTCCTCTGCTCATCTCTCTCTTTCACTTGTATGTGCTTGAAGGGGATGGGTATGAATAGCTAGTTTTTTAAAATAAAATCATTTAGTGGATAAGGAAAATATTTTTTTTCCCATTTGATCAATTTAATTACAAAAAGACGTTGCAGTTATAAATAAAACAATTTGTTTGTTTATTGTTTATGCATTTGGTTTCTGTCAGAGTCAATGCAATAAAACTATCTTGAGGGTATGGGTGTGTATATTATTCACGTCTCTGAACCCATACTCACTTATCCACACGACTCACACCCTCAAACTATTTCTTGTTTAGAAAAAAGATTATTGCTTGATGATATTGACTTCTATTCATGGAAAAAAAGAACAGAAGTGACAGTTTTAAAGCAGATCAGCGATATTCATCGGCATTTCTTGGATACTTGTATTATAGAATTTTTCAATGTCGCGTAATGTTTGTTGTTCATCGTATGTGATGAAAGTGATAGCCGTACCTTTGCGACCGAATGCACCATAACGTCCATTACTTAATCAAAAAAGAATAAAGCTTATTTCCATTGAACATTTATTTCTTCTTACCGACGTATGTAGTGTTCACGACGAATTGGTAGCTCATAATTGATTACAAGAGCAACTTGTGGAACATCAGTATTATTTAAAAGTGCATCGGTTCTTATCAAGATTCGACTAGAACCCGTTCGAAATTCGTTCATTGCATTATTGTATTGTTTAGCATCCATATTAACATACTACCATATAGAGAAAAAAGAAATTCATGTAACGATATATGACTTTCCAGCCGCTTATTTCAAAATTATCAATATGAAACTAACCAGAGCAGACGCTGTGAAACCATGTTCATGTAGTTTTTCAGTTAACCAGTCGACCTTTTGATACGTGTTACAACAGATAACAGCTGGAGTGGTCATCAATGTATCGAGCAAATCATATAAAGTATCTAGTTTCCATTCCTAAATAAAAAGCATTCTGCATCAGATCATCATTATAATTAGAATGGCAGGTGCGTCTATTTACCTCACGTTCGATATTGATGTAAAATTGACGAATACCTTCGAGTGTTCGATCGTTTGGCTCGAGAAGAATGTTTACAGGATTATGCATAAGTTTTTTTGTCATTTTGCATAGATCTTGGGGCATTGTAATCGATAAAACAATAATCTGAATATGTGCTGGCAGCATCGTTCGTATTTCATTAATTTGTTCGTGGAAACCCCGATAAAGAATCTCATCTGCTTCATCTAGTACCAATATTTCCATTTTTTCACTACCTACGATGTGAAAGAGAATAAAAATTGTTCAATAAACAAGATAAAAGTCACGTACGAAGTACTGACTTCTTTAACATATCACAAATTCGACCAGGAGTACCAACAACAACTTGAGCACCTGCTTCAAGACGCTTCATGTCGTCACGAATTTTCGTACTACCAACACAAGGATGACATATTACATTCATATGCTCACCGAGTGCTAATACTAATCTGTGAAGCTAAATTACACACATAATCAGTATACAAATAAGAAAGAAAATGATACCCCGTGAGAAAGTTCACGCGTTGGAGCTAAAATTAATGCTTGACAGTCGTTACAGTCCATATCGATTTGTTGTAAAATTGCAATGATACATGTTGCTGACTTGCCTGTACCTGATTGTGCTTGCACAATTACATCACGGCCTGCAAGAAGAATGAGTATTCACTGGATCGACCTCATTTGTTTTAGAAATGGTAGTCAACGAACCTGATATACATGGTTTAAGAGTTCGTTGCTGCAGCTCTGCAGGACGCTCGAAACCATAACTATAGATACCTCGTAAAAGTGATTCTCGTAAGTTCAGTTCATCGAAATGTTCGAATTGTTTTATAGAGTCATTCAGCGTGGTTTCATCTTGCGCAAGGATATATGGATGCGCATTTAACTCAGTGTCATCTCTAAAAACATATATCAACAATTGAATAATTCAAATAATACTCATAAAAGAAACAGTGCATACTTCAAAGAAGATTTGGTGTTGTTGTCGTTGTTTGCTTCAGATACCGTTATGCTATTACTCATAGATGAAAACAAAAAAGTAATGTATTTAAAATTCAATCGATCGATCTACAAAAAAAAATCAAGAATGCAATCAATCACTCGAAAGTTAATCAAAAACCATCTATAGATCGGCTTCATTTATATTCCATTTCACACATGTCGAAGAAGAAAAAAATCGATGAAAACTGTATTATAAACAAGTACTCGTTGAAAAAGAAAACGTACACTATTCATGACGAATGTATATTTACATGATTGTAATTTCGAAATTTCTCCACGATTAATAATGAGTCAGAAAATAATACATATCTTTTATACGCACGAACCAACCGATCGTTTCTTTCAACAATTTCGATCATATGCGAATAGAAATTTTACATTGTTAACAGTGTAAAATTTTTATAATTGTAATAATCTATATTACTCAATTTACTTTCTTTTTATTGAGCGCTACAATCTATCGCAATGATCCTCCAACCACACGCTCGAGTTCTTCTTACTTTTAAAAAACACTTTCTTGCATTTTTCTTCTCTTTAATATTGTAGACTTTTTACTATAGCAGAGAATCCGAGGTTGTACTTTTGCATTTTTTCGTGAAAAAAATCCTATATAAAATCATTTGAGTTGTTCATATCTGGCAATGAATTGATACTGTTTCAATGGAATACAGATTTGGTTATTAATGATGGCGTGATTATGGAGCTCAACCATCTAAACAGTGCACTGCATGAAAAATGACCTCGTTTTCATAAAAGTCGCATCTGAAAAGACCTATTTTCTTCATCTTTTTTGTTACGAATCAATATGTTTTTTTATTTTTGAATTGTTTATAGAAAAAGAAGAATACACTATCGGGGTGGGTGTGGGTATGGGTGTTTGGATGAATGAAGAACACACATCCACTGTGGATGTGTGTTGCAATAAGTTGAATGACTTGTTCTATTGCTGTAGAAATGACTATAGACTAATGGAACTTTTTCTTTATTATAGACTGACTTAAGAAACAACTTTATGATCTGATTGAATTTTTAAGTGAATTAATAGCGTGATCAACAAACAGAACAAAGATTTCAGAGTAAATCAGCACGTATAGATCTCTTATTGAATCTATGTAACACGTTCAGGAAAAAGTTCTGTCTATAGAAACTTTTTCGAATATCTTGAAAGAGTTTATTACGAAATCTCTCGTAAACATTGATTCGAGCAGTCATCCTATTCCGCAATGTTGAACATTTCAGGAACCAGTTCCGCTCCGGAATCGATTCCGTTCAATTCCTGGAACTCGATCGACACATAATATCCGATACCCACTCGAAAACTGATCGAGTTCCGTCCAATTCCGGAATTGGTAGGAATTCCGTATAATTCCGGAACTGGTAGAAATTCCATGTAATTCCGTAATTATAAGTAGTCCACGCAATTCCGGAATTGGTGGGAATCGGTAGGAATTCCCAGGAATTCCGTCCAATTCCACTGAATTCCGTCTTGATGCAATTCCCGGAATTCCGTAACGGAATTGGATCGTATTCAAACGGGATAACTTATCAGCACAACACAACAAATGTGGGTGAGGTGGATGGTGTGATTCCGGTACGGAATTCCGGAATCGGAACCAATTCCCGCAATTCCGGAATCGGTGGGAATCGGTAGGACTTCCGTGTAATTCCGTAATTAGAAGTAGTCCACGCAATTCCGGAATCGCTAGGAATTCCCAGGAATTCCGTCCAATTCCACTGAATTCCGTCTTGGTGCAATTCCCGGAATTCCGTAACGGAATTAGATCGTATTCAAACGGGATAACTTATCAGCACAACACAACAAATGTGGGTGAGGTGGATGGTGTGATAACTTATCAGTACAACACAATAAATGTGGGTGAGGTGGATGGTGTGATTCCGGTGCGGAATTCCGGAATCGGAACCAATTCCCGCGATTCCGGAATCGGTGGGAATTGGCGGGAATTGGTAGAAATTCCGTGTAATTCCGTAATTATAAGTAGTCCACGCAATTCCGGAATTGGTGGGAATCGGTAGGAATTCCCAGGAATTCCGTCCAATTCCACTGAATTCCGTCTTGATGCAATTCCCGGAATTCCGTAACGGAATTAGATCGTATCCAAACGGGATAACTTATCAACACAACACAACACAACAAATGTGGGTGAGGTGGATGGTGTGATTCCGGTACGGAATTCCGGAATCGGAACCAATTCCCGCAATTCCGGAATCGGTAGGAATTCCGTGCAATTCCGGAATCGGTCGAACTCGATCAATCTTGACTGGATGTCTTATGTTGTGTGTCGATCGAGTTCCCGGAATTGGACGGAATCGATTCCGGTGCGGAACTGATTCCTCCGATGTTCAACATCGCGGAATAGGATGCATTCTCATTGATTCGATAAAACTTCTTATTTTTAAAGTAAATATTGTTGAATATATTGATAATTAAAGAATAAGGAATTATTTTGGAACTCTTACACTGATACAACATTCTACACAACGAAACATACAAATACAAAAAGTATAGTAATGAAAAGCTTCTAACTAATGTACAACAAAATACAATTAGTCATAAAGAGAAACAAGGTGATGTTTCACTAATGAATATTGATTTCAATATAATTATTGTTAACATCAAATAAATAAAGAATCGACGATACATGAAGCGAAAGATAAGAGCATGATATAATATGAATTCATAGTTTGTTATTTAATGTTTGCGCTACCAGGAATCACATCTGTATTTACAGGTGTCACATTGTTTGGATTTTTGCAAAAATAACAAAAACAGTATTTGACTTGTTGGCGAAATGTTTTTGAGACAATGAGAAATACATAGAAAGCACTCTTTAAACAAAAAAAGATAATTAACAAATTGATAAAATAAGGGATGTCTTACTTACTCCGTATGTGATATTAGCCACAGAATTGAGAACATTAAAGATGAAATATTCAATACCTGCTTGTTCCACCGTTTTATTCACAGAAAGTGATGCTGATGAGTATGCACGGAAAGTAGCGTCGGGTAGAACAGAAATAATAATCAATATTATTTGTCCGAAAATCATATAAGTAAGTTGACGATCAGCTCCTTGTAGTTGACGTGTATTTGCTAAAGTGCGTATATTTCGATATGCAAGTATACCGAATACAATGACAGTTACCAGCGGAACTATTATATAGAAAAACCAATGATTAACATAAGTGTAGTAAGTTCCCCAAATGACATTGTAATTGCCACAAACGTTCGAGCTAAATATTAAAAAATACAGGTATAGGAAAATGACATGAAACTTTTAAGCTGCTTTCTTCTTTTCCCTATTCATACTCACTGTCAAAATGATAAATTCCACAGAAATTTTTTTATAATTCTCTTCAATTAATGAATGATTAAGTTTGAAATTATACTAGAAATACCTACTTTTTACATTTTTATAATCTGTTTATAATTGTAAAAAAATAAATAGGTAATTTAAAAATTACATTTTATTGTTAATATAAACAACTAATCATCAGTAACATTACGTTAACCATGCATTTCTAATTTGATCATCTAGGTATCTTATCTATATTGAAGCATATACTAAGTTTTGTCATAATCTTTAATACGTTATTAGATAAGCAATTCTGACAGTTGTTGTAATTATATACATGAATTTTCTGTGAATTAACTCACATAGAAAACTAATATATGTATTTAAGAAAATCGCAAATCTCTCAAGATTATTATATTAACTTCTTCTTGCTATAATTAGCTCTAAACTTGACACCTTAGTTTTCCTTGTGAATTAAATTAAAATATAAATTATAACTTACTAACCTTATATAAGTGAAAATAAGATCCGGTACACATGTAAATGTCCAAAAAACAACTACACCAGCACCAATACAATAAGCCCATTTGATCTTGCTCAATTGTCGTAGATTAGCAGATCGTGAGGTCATCAGAAAACGATCAATCGTTGCCAACCATTCGCATGTCAGTGCCACACCATAACAGGTATCAATAAGATATGCTCTTATTTTGCACCATGCAGGTGACAGAAGAGTCAAATCTGTATTATAGCCAATAGCAGAAATACGAGAGATTCCTGCAGTCAAGTACTGCACAGATTGTGCAATCGCTGCTATGAGTAGAAAAAATGTGCATGGCTGAGTACGATACATACGCGAAGTCGAAAGTATTATTGTATTCATTAAACTACCAAAAAGACCTATACAACAGAATGGAAAAAACGCATAAAGTGTATATATTTGAGTGATGTACAACCATGATGCCATATTTTATGCCTATTTATTTGCGAAATATTTTCACTAAATATTGCTTGTGCACTGTTGAAAGAAATAATATAAACATTTTCAAAACTAATTAAAACCGTTCTCTATACGATATTTTTTTTGTTTTATTGAACAAATTCTAGGATACGTTCTTCTCTCCTTAGGGATGAACGTCATTTTTACCATCAATGTTTATGGCAGTGAATATACTAGGCACAAGTAAAACGTGTAGAATATTTTCTATAGCTATATGTACACTGTGTTTTACAGAATGCTTAGAAAATCTAATTACATAACGTACATTTTGAATGGTTGAGAGTGAACGAGTCATTATCATTGTATTTACATCCACATATATATATCTATTACTTGTCATTCAAAATTTCATCTTCATCGACATCATCATTTATCCACTTATTTCATTCTATTATAGTCCTTAAATTCTATGAATTTACCGAATTTTAGAGTGATATGAATCTCCAAAGTACGATAACTTTTCAGTTCTGAAATACAAATATATCCGTCAGAAAGCGTCTTAAACCATCCAGTAATAATAAATATTTCCTCGTTATTGTTTATAATACTACTTACCAAGTATCTGATTAATAAAGCCATTGATCTTGTAAAATATAGTCGTTTGAAATAGTTTTTTCTTTTTTAACTAAAAATGAGAATCATGCATCTTTCTTTCATCTATTATATGTCTTTTATTTCTCGACGTCACAAAATGCGATGAAGTAATGCATATTAAATATTGTGAAGATTTGATTTGATATGTTCTATGCTTTCTGATTCTATTACGTTGTTTCAAAAAAAAGCATGATAATCATAAAGTATTTTCTTAAAATAGTAAAAGTACTCAGAAAACAAAATTTGAATTAATATGTTTTTAATAGATAAGTGGGTAGAATGTCTAATGCCATTTTTTTCATGATATTTTCTAACTGAGACAACAGAAATATTACAAAAAGATCGATTTTCTGTTAATTGACGATATGAATTATAACTGACATAAGATCTTAATGTGTCACTAAATGGTAAAGATATCTGATACCTATTTATAATTGAAATAAATTGTATTTTTAAATATTTCAAGTAATAGAAAGAGATTTTTGATGATATTGTCTAATTTATTCTCGAGAAGGAAAACCATTTCGATAGTTGTTCTTATTATTAAAAAATAATTTAAAAAAGTCTGATAGAATATTTAATTTCATTGCAGGGAATTCTATATGTAATCGTATTAATGATGTGCAGAATATTAAGTTTGAATACTTGTTTTTATAAAGATCGAATTTCTCGAATGAAATTTTTCATTATTTCATATGATTATTATTCTTTTTTGTAAGAAACATGTCTGATAAATAAATTGTTTGTTTGCTTGTGGGTGCAAGTATCATGTTCTGTCCATACCTATCCACACCGACATTCACACCCACATCCTCAAGATGGTTTTAGTACTCTGATTATATTCTTTGTTTTTGTTTGTGGTCTATTAGTTTCAGCAATCAAAATGAAATTTTATTACAGTAGATAGAATTATTTTTCATGTGAAAATAGATTTAAATTCAAGCAAAAAAAACGATTTGTATTCTAGGATATAGTGCTGACAAACTGGAAGCCAAATTCATCAAAGTAATTTTACTGTTTCATCAGACTGAAACAAAAACAAAGTCTTTTTTTGTTATATATCAGTTGACAAGCATGTTTGCTTCTTTTAAGATAATGCACAAGATAACAAATCTGTCTTGAAAAAGAAAGAAAGAGCCTCCATACATTTCGAAATGTTAAATATCCTTTTTGTGGACTTATTCAAGATAAGAGTATAATATTTTTTATTAGAAATTTATTCTTAAATTATATTCAAATAGTACAGGATCAAAATTATAACCAACGAAGTTTCTATTTGAATTGTATTGAAAATAAATTAAGTTCTCCACAATGTTCTAATCGATATAAATAAAACAAAATTATGAAGAACTTCTTTCTATATATATTCTAATATGCAGCATTAAAATCATTACAATTTACATACGACGTCTTTTTATTTTCAAAATATACAAAAGATAAAATAAAAAACTTCTCCTCACTCACATCCACCTTCTGAAAAAAGATATTAAAATAAACTTTATTTCTCTTTAGATAAAAATTACAAATGAGTTCATCCGGATCAATTTTAATGAATAATAAAATTGAAATTCCTCAATTAGCATTAGGTACCTATGATATAGCAAAGGAAGAAATATCCAATGTTATCGAAAGTGCACTTTCAGTTGGTTATCGTCATATTGATTGTGCATGGCTTTATGGAAATGAAAAAGAAATTGGAGCGAGTTTATCTCAACAATTTCAAAAAAATGAAATAAAACGATCAGATTTATTTATAACAGGTAAACTTTGGTGTTCATTTCATAAATTTGAACGTGTTCGTCAACAATGTGTCATAACAATCAATGATCTTCAATGTCAATATCTTGACCTTTTTCTTATTCATTGGCCATTTGCTTTTGTTGATCACGTCTGTTCTTTGTTTTTATTTTCCGAGAATTCATTTTTTTCTGTTTAGGATCCACAAAATAATGAAGAACATCAATCAAATGTAGATGATGAAATTGATTTTATTGAAACATGGAGAGCTATGGAAGTGTTAGTTGATGAAGGATTAGTTAAATCTATTGGATTATCGAATTTTAATGAAGAACAAATAGAACGAATTCTTCAAATATGCAAATATAAACCAGTTGTTAATCAAGTTGAAATTCATCCATATTGTCCTCAAATTCAATTAGAAATTTTTTGTAAAATACATCAAATTCTTCTTGAAGCTTATGCACCATTAGGTAAAATTTTTTATTTCATTAAATGTATCTCTTATTGAAAAAACAAAAATTAAAATAGGTGCAAACAATCGACAATGGAAAAAAGAAAATGATCCAGAAATTTTAGAAGATAAAACGATAAAATCAATTGCCGATAAATATAATGTTCATCCAGCTGCAATTCTTCTTCGTTATATTATCGATCGAAATCTCGTATGTGTTGTTAAATCTGCTAATTATCAACGAATTGAACAAAATTTTCAATGTATTAATCAAAATCATTTTCAATTAGATGAAGAAGATTTTAATAAAATTCATAATGATATTCAAATTAGATTTCGTTATCATCAAGTGGAAGAGAAAAAATATGCAAAAGAATATCCATTCAAACAGTGGAAAGACTTTATTCCATAATAGAAGCCACATTCACTGCAAGATTTTTTGAAAATAAAGAATCTTTAGTTAGAGAAATTATGTTTATGTAAACTCACTTTATGTAATTTTTAACGCAAAAGAAGAATATTCTAAAAAGACGTACGAATTTATTACTTCGTTTAGATATGTGATATTATACTAGTTTTTATTGCCTACCATGTAGTGCTTTTGTAATGTATGTACGACGAAATTTTATCAACGTACGTCAACATAACTTTATATGATAAACAACAACATTTTTGAGTATATAGATCGAACTCTTCTACACTCACACTCCTTTTTTGCCTTGAATTTAAACAATCCTGATAAGTTAAAAGTTCTGTTTTATTGAAATATTAAAAGTAATAATAAAAGTAAAATAAGTTTATGTTTGTTAGATTAAATAAGTTGGTTCAAATGTTTTATTTTCGATAAGCCACTGGTTGAGCACGTACGGGAAATATGTTAGGACGACCTTGTGCTCCACCTATAATTTCATAAAAAAGATAAATGATAGAATATCAAAGTTTATTTAATACGTACCTCTACTCTTCAGTTCTCGAGCCTCTTGACAAATAGCACACGGTCCACAAAAAGCAGTCACAAGGCAATCATGACATGGTTCTTCTTTCAAAAGATATTTTTGACGTAATACTTTTCGTTTCATCATGTGTGGTAGCCAACATAAAGAACAATGAGCCAACACACAATATGCAGCACAACATCCTACACAACTACTACCGTCGATTTTTTCAGCATTTCTACCAAACGACGATGCTGGGCAGCAGAATCCCCAAAAACATATACCGATATCATCAAAACAGCCAAATAATGATTCTAGAACATGGATAAATAAAAACTTTAAAACCGAATAGCTATTCATAAAAAAATTGCAAAACTAACCATTCCATGGTCTGCCAGCTTTTGCTTGATCAATTGCATTGTTGATATTTTCTGTCTGGTTGTCCATAGTGAATAGCTGTATAACGTCGTTGGAAAGAAATAGGTATGAAAAAGAAAATATCGAAAGATATTTTTTATGTATAATAAAAAAACTGCAAATGAATACAGATATATGTGTGGTTACAACCATGTAAGCATGTTTAAAAACACGCGGAGCGTGACATTTTCACTCCGTATATTGCCGTACTATTCTTAATTAGACACTATTTACCTATATTACTTCCTCTCATATTTTCTAATAAAAATATAATATTCGGTCGGTACATGAATACAGAATGAGTCAGGATGTGTATTACTTAGTCAATATTTAAAATATCAGTAAATAATTATGAACTATTCAATTTGTTATGCAAAAGTAGCGGTAGAAACATACAGTTTAGACCAGTAAAAAATAGAAAGGACAAGAGATGGGTTTATGAGCTAAAATGATCCCTTCAATGTTTGTTAGTATTGAAGAGAGGAAGCTGTGTTGGAATTCGATAGTGTCAAATATGAAAGTTGAATTTAAGCTTTCAAGTATTCATGTATATAAAGTGGTCGATAATGTTATGCATTCATTATGTTCTCCGGCAATCAGTCTATTTTATATATATTTTAATTGTCTTTCTTTTGAAATTGCTTCCATATCTCTGCCGAGATATCATTTCCACCGAGATACAAATGCTGAAGTGTCTATGTAGAGAGATAAAAATAATAGTGACAAAAATAAATAGAGACTATGACTCACCACATTACTTGCAAGAGCATTGACAAGATATTGTGCCTCTTGATCTCCGATTTGATTGTATCCAGGTCCAAGTGTAATGACTGTCTGTAGGCAAAAGATGAAAATCGTATTCAGATTGATAGTTAAAAAATTTAATTTTACCTTGTTATTTTCTAACGTATTGGCGAGATTTTGTATACCGCCTCTTCCAATTCCATTGGCATCAAGGTTGAGTGTAGTGAGTGTCTGAATAAAAGAATGTAGATGTTAATAAGAAAGAGGAGCAAGACACTGCTATTCACCGTGTTGTTTTGTAAAGCATGAGCAAGATATTGTGCACCTAGATCTCCAATTGAATTATTTTGAAGATAGAGTTCTTCTAGTGTTTGTAGAGAAAAATATAAATACTAATGAAAGAAAATGGTAGGAGATCAAATTCACCGTGTTGTTACGTAAAACATCAGCGAAATATTGTGCTCCTTGATGTCCAATTTGATTTTGCCAAAGCCCAAGTATTGTGAGTGTCTAGAAGAGAAAGTAAAAATGATATTGATAGAGTTCATTAGAAAATACGGTTTACGCTATTATTTTGTAAAGCATGAGCAAGATCTTGTGCCTCACGATCTCCGATTTGACTGTCGCCGAGACTGAGTTCCACGAGTGTCTGTATGGAAATGTATAGATATTTATGAGAAAAATGAATAGAGAATGAAGTTTACCGTGTTATTGTATAAAGCATTAATCAAATATTGTATCTTTTGGCCACGAATTCAATTCGACTGAAGATCGAGCTTGGTAAGTGTCTACACAAAAAAATTTCAAATAAAATGAAAAAGAGACCAACACTTGCACCCTCCATATAGCAAATGGTTCAGATACAAATGTAGATGAGTAAGAAAAGACAAAACGTCTATCTGTCGTATGTAATCAACTTTTGTACATATCTTGTCTGCAGATGTATCAAGTATTTTATTGAGTGGTCTCTCTGTCAAACGATAACCATTGTCCATCCATGATGTTTCAACTCGAACTAAATCCTTAATGCCAATGCAGTTGATTGGTGTCGTGTGGAGCCAGATCTCATTTTCCCGTAAGACATAAGCACTAGCTACAAACCATCGTTTGTCGTGAAGGGTGTGGGTGTGGATGGGAGTTATAGTTAGGACAGTTCCATATTAGTGTCGTTCTTGGGAACTGTACCAACAGTTCTTTGAATAGAACTGTTTGAAAACTAATTTTTCGTAAATAAAAACAGTTTTGAGATAGACCAGTTCCTCTGAAAGGACTGTTGATACAGTTCAGTTCTTTTGACCAGTTCATCTGAAGTTGGAACTGTGAACTGTTCTACCCCTAATGCGGGTGTGGGTGAGTGTGGATGTGGATGAAGTAGATAGAGAGAACACTCACCCACCCTCAAGACGGCAAAGTGAAGAACTTGTTACTGTGTATACTCATGAAGATCTTGATGTGAATTCAAAATGAGATATTAAATTTTTGTACATAAATGCATTCTCGTCGTCTTCATTTAATGAAACGATCGATTATTGCTACAACAACTTCATATAGTTTATTGATTGAAAAAATTTGTAAAAATATAATCAAAGATCAATGCTTAAAATGATCAGATAAATCCTAATAAATATAAAATCTCGTTTTAGATGTCTGTTTATTTATTGTAAACTAAACTCGAGAATAAATGTTGTTAAAAAATAATTTTTTAAATATTTTATAGAAAAGACATATGAATGAATTTGTAAATGATGTTAAAAACGATGATGCAATGGTAGTTTCTTTTCTTTTTACAGAAAGTGAATGAAGAAGATCTGTTCCGTTCAAAGCAAAAAATTCGAATAATAAAATTTTGTTCCGTCCTTAGAATGTGAATGTGTATTTAATCGCTTGGAAAACTCCTATTCCTATCAAAAATGTGTTGAACACTATCGATGTGGTGATTTCTTCAATATGAAGTCATAAAATATTATTCGATCAAAGATTCTTATTATAAATGATCAGGGTTCGATTTTCATTTCAATTTTGACCAGTATATTCGAAATAGTTGTATATATTATATTCCTTCATCTTTTTTTGATATTAACAAACAAACCATAAGTAAATTAATCAGATATTTTCGTACTGAAAAGTATTTATATCAAGCTCAATATTCTGTAAATGTTTAGAAATTTTATTTTTTATCAACAAGATCTTGCGGGTGATTGTATTCTTCTCATTCAATACCCACACCTACACTCAAAAATAGTACATAATCTTTATTTTATTGCTTACCTCACTACTAAACATTAAAAAAATTATACTTTTTCTATTCTGTTTATATAAACGAATACGTCATTAGAGATACAGACATATGATTACAGAAGGGGAATAGGAAGTGAATCTTTTTTTTTGCTCTTTATTATATATGATTTTAAAGTACCATTAAAAATAGGTAAGTAATGATTTTTATCTGACTCGTCTCTAAACCAGAAGCGTTTGAAAAAGTATATTTATAGAAAAAATACCATGTTTCTTATAATGATTTATTTTGTCCAATGCATCTTATGTTGGTATTTTTCAAGTTCGTTTTAGTTTGATTGACATATAACTATTAATACTATAATATACCGATATAATTTATTGTGTTTATATCGAATAAAAGCTATACATCATTTAATTGAATAATGTTGATAATATCAAACAAGATTTTTACAAATATGCTAAGTCTTTTCGAATCTTATGCGTTTTTCTTAATCTTAACAGTGAGATATAATTTATTTCATACTAATATGTTGTAATCAAATTTTGAAATATTCATCTGTACGAAAATAACTTATTCTTAAGTTGGATATCTTACAATAGATAATAGCATATGTCTTAGATGAATTCAAACAATCCTGATAAGTTAAAAGTTCTGTTTTATTGAAATATTAAAAAAGGTAATTGAAAATAAAATAAGTTTATGTTTGTTAGATTAAATAAGATGGTTCAAATGTTTTATTTTCGATAAGCCACTGGTTGAGCACGTACGGGAAATACGTTAGGACGACGTTGTGCTCCACCTAGAATTTCATAAAAAAGATAAATCGTAGAATATCAAGGTTTATTCAATACGTACTTCTACTCTTTAGTTCTCGAGCCGCTTGACAAACAGCACATGGTCCACAACAAGCAGTTACAAGACAATCATGACATGGTTCTTCTTCCAAAAGATATTTTTGACGTAGTACTTTTCGTTTCATCATGTGTGGTATCCAACATAAAAAACAGGTGCTCGATGCCCAATATGCAAGACAACATCCTACACAACTACTACCATCAATTTTTTCAACATTATCACCAAATAAACATGGTAGACACCAGAATCCATAACAACATGTTTTAATATCACTAAAACAGCCGAATAGTGATTCTAGAACATAAATGAATAGAAATTCATGAAGAAATTAATAAAACTGACCATTCCATGGTCTGCCTGCATTTGCTTGATCAATTGAGATATTGATATTTTCCATATTGTTGCTCATAGTGAACAGCTCCATAACTTTTATGTTGGGTTATGTCGTTAGAAAGAAATAGGTATGAAAAAGAAACTATCGAAAGATATTTTTTTTTAATATATAATAAATAAACTGTAAATGAATATGGGTGTACGTGCAGTTACAACTATATAAGTATGTTAAAAAACACGCAGAGCATGACATTTTCTCTCTTTACATTATCATACTTTTCTTAATTAGACATTATTTACCTGTATTACTTCCTATCATGATTCCTCCTTCTGCACATATAGTAATCAGATGCATATATTCTTAAAAAAAAGAAAATTATTTTTTCGGTACTGTATATAGTATATAACTACTTATACATATACGTAAGCG